AATAATATTTAATTTATTTTCAAACTAAAATTTAGTGGTTTTAATCTCATTTAATAAAATCTTAATAATGTTAATATTTTTTTAAAAATAAATAATTCCATAAATTTGATTTCTAAAGTGCTGAATAATTTAACAGTAAAGTAAATATGAATTTTCATCTAAAACTAAAGTATAATAAAAACTAATATGTTATTATGTCACTAATTGTTTTTATTTCTATCATTTTTCCTACTAATTTTTATTTGAATATTTTAGTGCTATAATCTTTGTACATAATATATAAGTCCTTATATAAGTATAAATGCTTTTAAAGTAACATATTGTAAATTTATAAAGGATTAGAAGATTCAAAACAATATAAATTTTTTATTTAATATTATATATGTTTTGGTATATTTCATTATAATGCCAATCTAGGTTAATTAACTTGGTTTTGCAAAAAAGCTAAACCAAGCAGAATGATCATTTTAAGTTGATTCCTTGTCCAGGAGCATTGGTCATAATGTACTTCTTCGAGTGCACTGATAAAAAGAGAAAAAGGAAGTTAGAGAACGATACAGGCATCAAACACACCTTGATAACCACCTTCGATTGGATCCTCGGCAAGTAACAAGGGAGTGTCCAAGTCGATGTATCTACAAACAATCACTCGTAGGAAGGAGGATTCTCAAGTGTTATGCGTACCTGAAGAAGCCAAATCCGGCAGCAAGATGAGCAGCAAAGCCCATCCCTAATCGGGTCTCCACCATGCCTCCAATCATCAACTCTATCTTGTTCTCACGAGCCAGAGAGATGACCTCGAGAGCTCCAAGGACGCCGAGCTTCGCGAGCTTCACGTTTATCACTGGAGCAAGCTCCTCGTCGGCAATGCGCTGGGCGTCGTCCAAACTCCGGCAGCTTTCATCGGCAGCAACGGGAACCCCATAGAGTTCTCTCGCCTTTTTGCTGACGAGCGCAAACCATCCCAGTCTGCGCGTGCCACTGGCTGCTCGAAGAGAATAGGAGTGATCCCCTGTTCTACATGAAGAGAAACATGGTTAAAGTTTGGAGACTAGAAAAGATTTGGTCACCTTGGAGCTCCTGTAGAACTCGTAGGGCTTCATGCGACGTGTAGCCTTCGTATGCATCAAGAATGAGATTGCAAGTTGGGTGGCTACTTCGAATCGCATGGAGCATGGCAATGTCGGACGACAAATCTCTGCCTCCAACTTTGGTTTTCACCGTCCGGAAGCCTCTTTGAGCATATTCCATGGCGAGGCGAGCAGCATTATCCGGCTCACATATTGGAATCTACAAATAAGAGAAAGAACCAGCTCAAGCACTTACTCAACCCAAATACCGTGATATCCGTCGTGACAAAGTTGGATGCTCCACCAAAAAATTTCCAGAGTGGAATTCCAACGCTACGAGCTGCGGCATCGATCACAGCCATCTCAATCCCTGCTCGAGCCTGCCGTAGAGAAAGAAAATGTGAGAAGCTTGAAGAGAAGAAAAGAAAAATATGAGAAGCAATACTTTACGGAAGCATAGTCGTGGCCTGGAAGAAGATTTCCAACGCTGGAAAGGATTTCCATGCAGCTCAATCCTGGCTCAAGCTGCTCGAGCATCCGGCAGCATCGCCCAGCCTGGTCCAGAGCTACAGTCTGATCCTCCGCAGTGACCGGAAAGAGAGTCGGAGCTTCGCCCCATCCAACGCTCCCATCCGCGAGCTCCACCCGGACGGCCACATTCGCCACAGCCTCGAGCTTGGTGGTAGCGATCGTGAAGCAGCACATCAAGCGGCCGTGCCCGCGCCTGCGCGATCCGCGGCCGGACCGATTCCAGCGCCTTCCGCCATGCGACATTACCGTGCTGATCGCGATCCTCGCCTCGAGCAAGAAATCTTCCAGTTCCTTGCGAAGCTCCCCGCGGATCTGGAACCGGCGGCTGGAAGAGCGTCTGGAATACAAGCGGCGCTGCCGAAATCCATCGCCGGCGACGCGATCGACCTAGAAAACCTAGGCATAAGAACACTGTTGGAAAAAAAAAAAACAAAATTCCCGCCTAAATGAATTTTAGGGTTCTTCCTCTGGCATTTTAACTTCTTTTCCAACATGACCTAGAAGCTTTCAAGCGGACAGGGTTTAATGAGGCCGTCACAGGGGCTGGCCGATTCTCTGTTTGGAATGTGCGATGCGATGGAGGGGGAATTCGAAAAGAACAAGGGACCCGTCGCTGTGCCAATGATCATCAATCCCGAAGAATTCCGGCGTCTCCACCTGGAAACGAGAGCGCACAAGCTGAATATGCTGTACCTCAAGGATAGCGGGAGTCTTTTCCTGCAACATGATCACTCCCTGCCCCATGAGGCCGTGCGCACGTACTGGTTCACGAAACTAGGGATGCAGCTGGAGGGCCTCGGCGTCCAGACCCTAGGGAATCGCTTGGTTGACGTTTGCCCAGGGGGGCTGGTGGAGTACAAGGATCGATTGCAGCAGGTTGATGTTCTTGTGGTGGAGAGATCCCCAGGTCAAAGTATCATCGCTGCTCGGGTGGTTTTGGTTGCCCAGGTTGTTTACCAGAACGAAGACATTGCCGAGGTGGTGGCCGATCTTGATGCGGTTACAGCAGCTGAGAATTCCGGTGCCAGGATTGCCCTTGCAATTCAAGTGCGCAAAGGGTGTGCTCCGGCTCTTCGCGTTTGGGTGAAGGCGAGGGGGGGACCTGTGGACAATCTTGATCCAGAAGGTGTGCTTAAGCTGGACTGGAATGAGTTGTTCGAGGTACCCGAGGTGAGAAATCAGTTGACTGCTCCTGGTATCTCTGAGATCAGCCTTGCAGCCGCGGCTGAACATGCTGCTATGTTCTAGTAGGTGTATTGTACTTAAATATTCTTAATACTCTCACTAAACTGTAATCTCTTTTGCCATCTCTCTCAGAGGAAACAAGGTTGGATTAGTTTGATGGTTTACATCTTCAACTTCTACTCGTCATTGGCCTAGGTTTATGCCACTCAATCCTATCAGTGAAATGGATTGTTGCCACAGCCCGAGAGCCCCAGCCAACTAGCTTGAACCTTAAAGGTTTCTATCGTGTTCATACAACTGATGTGGCAGCTTCTCAAACACCTCCGCCACCTCTTGCACGCCACCACAGATCAAGCAAGAAATCTGTCACAAAAGTATCATCCTCCCTTGACCACAATCTTGTGCACCCACTTCACCTGCAGCATCACTTATGGAGCATCATAGCGTAAGAATTCGCATCACTGCAATGTCGCCCTGCCATATGAGCCATGGTGGCGAATGCTCATAAGTGTTGTCGAGATCAGGTCTGAACACTGAGATGTCACAAGCCCCAAACTGGACATGATCTCTTGTCCCCTTAGACATCCTCGGCCTTCATCGGCAAACCATCGAGAGCTTCCTTCTTAACACCATACTCATCATGTACGTTGGAACTGGAGTTGGAGTTTCTGATAGGAACAGAAGTTGTGGGAGCTTCCAAGGTGGCAAGCACAGTTGGGGCCGGCTTTGCTAAGGACAGTGTCCTTAGAGCCTCTCCCAGTTGGGAAACCGGTAAGACATAAGTCCATCAACATCACTCTAAGTACAAAGAAAGATAACAATTCACTCTAAGTACAAAGACCGTGAAGGAGGCTTTTCCAGGGGAATGATCTTGCCGTGACAGAGGATCGCTCGTGTGGCGTCCATGACCGGGATGAGCCTGGCGCAAAAGACATCCATGCATTTCAGGCCCGCCATGATGAAGGTGGGAAATTTCAGGTGGGTAATTGCGCTGATTCCATGCAACAGCTCTGACTTGCCAAATACATTACGGATCCAATTGGTGTAGGCATAAGATGATAGCTGATGTATTTTATACGCCCATGAAATGTAGGCTGGTATGCCAATCCAAGTCAACTTGACAAAGTAGAACCATGTTGGGAGAGCGCAATCAGGTACGTCGTTTCTTTCTTGATTGATAAGTCATGCCCTGGTCTGCCTGTTCTCGTCTGAGAACCTCAACTCGTCCATGGAAGTGCAGGTCCTTGTTGAGCGATCAGTGGAAAATTCTTTAGAACAATCGCTGGAACATGGAGGCATTTCTTCAAGACGATATATACAAGGTGGAAGACGATATCTTCGATTGAGAGAGGGTAGTTTTTTGAAAAAACGAGCCAAGAGGAAGAACTAAATTAAATTAGCGTTTCACTCTTTCTTTACAGGCATCTCCATTTCCTTTGCTAGTCTTTCCCACTCAATCATCTTAATAACATACTGTTGCAGCCCAAAGAGATCAAACCTGATGCGGTGATCGCCCTCCACATCCCCAGTAAAGCACGACAACGGAAATTCCATTACAAACGCTTCCTTGTTACTCTCGTCCAAGAACTCAGGCCCAAACTTTATCTCCGTCAGCGCCGCTGCGCCGCGCTCTTTGGCTACAAATGTGAGATCGAGCTCCCGGGTGATTTTGACACCAATCGCCAGCCGCGAGCCACTGGCTTCCCACATATCCACCGAGCTCTTGAGCGCCTCCAGCCCCTCGTTCCTGTACGCCACCTCGATCACGGCTCGCACTGGCTCGAGCCTTGACGCGGAGAAATAGCAGAGGTCAGGCTCCTTGTCGCCCTGAACTGTCTCTAGCCGGGAAGCCCCGGCGGCGGAGATCACGTCGATCGCGCACTCAACCTCGGGCATCAGCTGGATCTGGGTGATGATCGTAGCGTTGAACCAGTTTGAGATTGTCCGGTGCACGAGGGAAGGATCCCCGTACATCCACACATCGCCGGCCTTGTATCCTAGCCGCCAGCAACACTCGAGGCAACACATCCATTCATCATACGTTTGCCAAGGTACCTCTTGGGCCACAAGAAATGGCCCCTTGTCGCCACGGTCGTAGTCCGCCACGGCTTCCTGGAGCGCTGCGTCTAACTCTCCCATTGAACTGAAACTAGGGTTAGGGATTCGGGTGGCGAAAAGACCGCCTAAAATAATTTTAGGGTTCTGTCTCTGGCTCAGCTGAGTAAGGAGCTTGAATCATCGCTGTGCCGCACCTAAATCCTCACAAGGTCGCTCTACCATCTTTAGGGCAAAGCATCGCTCGGGAGAGATCCTAGCAGCAGCATCAATCACATTTCACATCACCGCCAGCGAAAGAAAAAAGGAGGGGGAATTAGGGTTCTTCCCTCCTGGATTCTAGGGTTTAAAGAAATAGTCAGTCAAGCTGGGTGAAATGGACTGGCCAGCTGGTCCGATCGATTTGCGCTCTTGGCACGGATAGTCGCAAAGTAGATGTAGATTTTTTCCTGTCAGAGATTGATCTTTTGTCAACATGGCCACCGCGAGTCTTCGTCGTTGCCCATCATCCCCTTTTGTCAATCGCATTGTGCGCGGACTTCTGGTTGGCACAGTTGGCGGGGGCCGCGATTTCCACTTGAAATTCCTCCTCCTCTTCTTCGTCGATCACCCAGATCCACCAGATGGGCAGCGCCGATCGATAGCGAGCAGATCAATTGGAGCACCCATCTATCTGATTGGAAGATCCAACTGGTTTGAGCTATGGAGGATCGCTCCAATCTCCTCGTCCACGAGGTGATCGAGAGGGAAGTGGTGTCAATCCCAGCGACGCCCAATGCATCCACGCCGCCGCTGACGCCCACCGGCAGCCACTGGGCATCGATCGCTCCTCCATTCCAAGGCCACACACCATCGTCCGGGATGCTCACGCCGCAGGGGAATGGGACTTACACTCCCACTCCATCCAGCACTCGCCCGCCATCGAATCTTGGATCCCCGGCTCGCCAGCAACCCAATCCATCCTCGCGCCTCCTGCGATCGCCCAAGGTGCTCTTCTCGCCGATTGGAACGCCCATGAGGAAGGCTCTCACGAATATGAGAGCTTATCTCGAGGATATCGGGCATATCACCAAGCTCAATCCCCAGGAAGCGTGGCTCCCCATCACGGCCTCGCGCAATGGGAATGCTTACTACTCGGCGTTCCACAATCTCAACGCGAGCATTGGATTCCAAGCGCTCTTGCTCCCGGTGGCTCTTACGTTCCTTGGCTGGTAAGATCTTCTTCTATGGTTTCTAGTTTGTTCTAGCGAGCTTTCATCTCTCTTCGTGCTTGCGTGGTTTGTGACGGACTGTTGAGATTTTCTTTGCTTATCTTTTGGATCGATATCATCTCTTCTTTCACAACTTCCTCGTTCTACTATCCAAATCCAAGTTTTTGCTTGACTAATGGTGCGATCTAGCTTTGATTTGTATGAATTTTGAAGAGATTCTTGTCAGGTTTCTTGGTGGATTTGTCTTCCATAGCTAGCTTTTCTCGATCAACTTTTGACAAAGTTCTTCTTTTCCTTTTTGGTACAGGACTTGGGGAGTTTTGGCTCTGGTGGCAGCTTTTATTTGGCAGCTCTACACACTCTGGATCCTCATCCAGCTACACGAAGCTGTCCCTGGCAAACGCCACAGTCGATACGTCGAGCTCGCTCAAGAAGCTTTTGGTAAACTTTGAAACTAACTCTAGAACTTTGCTCACGAAAAAGTATCTCCATGCTTTTTCTTTCAGGACCAAAGCTTGGAGCGTGGCTAGCAATCTTCCCGGTCGTAAATCTCTCGGGAGGAACCGCAACCGGGCTCATCATCATCGGCGGTGGAACTCTGGAGCTCTTTTACAGAACCGTGTGCCGGGATTGCCACGGAGGATCACTCACAACCGTGGAGTGGTACCTCGTCTTCACGATCTTGTGTGCTATCCTCGCGCAGCTTCCAAACCTCAACTCCATCGCTGGAGTTTCTCTGGTTGGAGCCGTCATGGCCGTGGCTTACACCACCTTGGTCTGGACGCTATCCATCAGCAGGCCGAGACCACCGGGAATAACGTATGATATCGTCAAGCCGGATCACACCGCCGGGAACATCTTCTCGGTTCTCAATGCTCTCGGGATCATCGCGTTTGCATTTCGCGGACACAATCTAGTGCTCGAGATCCAGGTACTTCATAGGAAAAATCGCGTTTTTCTTAGCTTTTGCTCTAATCACAGGGAACGATGCCATCCTCTTTGAAACACCCGGCTAAGTCTCCAATGTGGAGAGGAGCCAAAGTTGCGTTTGCGATAGTCGCTGCTTGCTACTTCCCGATCGCCATCGCCGGATACTGGGCTTACGGACGAATGGTGAGCTTCAAAAACTCTCGAACACGAAAAAAACTGATTTTTACGTGGTTTTCTTCGTCCAGATGCTTCCCAGTGGAATTCTCTTCTCCATGTACGCGCTCCATCCAGACATCCCAAGCCCGTGGATGGCCATCACCTTCTTGTTCGTCGTCCTCAACTCGATCAGCAGCTTCCAGATCTACTCCATGCCGATGTTCGACGCGTTCGAGCAGAGTTTCACGGCCAGGAAGAACAAGCCAACGCCTCTCCTCGCTCGCGTTGCCTTCCGCCTCTTCTTCACCTTCTTCGCGTTCTTCGTCGGAGTGGCGCTGCCTTTCATCTCCAGCTTCGCGGGGCTGCTAGGCGGACTGACGAGCGTCCCCGTGACGTTCTGCTACCCGTGCTTCATGTGGCTCAAGATCAAGAAGCCACCGAGGTTCAGCTTCACCTGGTATCTCAACTGGACGCTGGGGATCCTGGGCATTGTTTTTAGCATCACCTTCACGGCTGGAGGGATCTGGAGTATAGTCGACAGTGGTCTCACGCTTAACTTCTTCAATCCATAAGAAAAAATTGGTTTGTTTCTCGCCCAGAGTCGCAGAGATTCCTCCAAGGTAGCAGGAATAGAGATTCTAGATAGAATGCGATCACACTCGTGATCTCTAGCATCACATTCACGCTGGAGGGATCTGGAGCGAAGTGGACAGTGGTCTCACGCATAACTTCTTCAATCCATGAGAAGAGAATGAGAAAAAAATTTGCTTTTCAAGTCATGGAGATTCCTCCAAGATCGCAGGAAAGATAGAATGCGATCATAGAGATTCCTCCAAGGAAGATAGAACTCGTGATCTTTCGATGCTTGGACGCTTAATTCCTTCAATCCATGAGAAGAAAAAATTGGTTTTTTCTTCAGACATTCCTCCAAGATAGAGATTCTAAGAGATTCCTCCAAAATCTTACGTGATCTCTAGCGAAAATGTGATAAACCCCTTAAACCCTAATGGCTATTCTTGCTTTTAGACCTAGCAGGGAAAAAGGACTAGGTAGTCTTTAGTATGGTAGCAACATTTTGATTGACTCTTCCATCGTGGCCTGGCTATGGCGGATGGGAGTGAGGAGGAGGAGGAGGAGATTTGTTTCTAGCAGCCACCATGCTCACGGCGATGGTAAGGAGGAATCTGGGGTCTCGTCCGGTGACGATTGCCGCCCTCTTGCTCATCGCCAGCTGCGCGTGGATCGCCTTTGTCCTCTCCATCGGCAGCGTCGCGGAGCGCAAATCCCATCCCAGCGTGATCGAGCAGCGCCGGATCGTCCACCGCCCCAAAAACAGCACGGTCGATTCCGAGCTCCAGAGCATCGTCTTCGGCATCGCCGGATCGTCGGGGCTGTGGCCGCGGCGCAGGGAGTTCGTCCGGCTATGGTGGCGCCCGGATGCGATGCGTGGCTTCGTGTGGCTGGAGCGCGAGCCGGATCGAGAGGGCGAGGCGATCGATGGGCTCCCGGAGATTCGCGTATCGGAGAACACGCTGGAGAGGCTCCGAGATCCAATCCGGGGCGGAGCTCTCGGGCACCCAAATGGCGTCCGGATCGCTCGGATCGTGCTCGAGACGTTCCAGCTAGGGCTGCCCGGATCGATCAAGTGGTTCGTCTTCTGCGACGATGACACGGTTTTCTCGGTGGAGAATCTCGTGAGAGTTCTTGCCAAGTATGATCCATCGCAGCTCGTCTACATCGGCGCTACCTCGGAGAGCCACGCCCAGAACGTCGCGTTTAGCTACGACATGGCCTTTGGCGGCGCGGGATTCGCCATTAGCTACCCCCTCGCGGAGGCCATCGCCGGGATCCAGGACGAGTGCCTCCAGCACTACCCTCAGCTCATCGGCAGCGACGATCGATTGCGGGCTTGCATCGCGGAGCTGGGCGTGCCGCTCACTCGCGAGATTGGATTCCACCAGGTAAGAGAGATAGAACTCCTAGAACTCTCTCTCCTAGGGTTTCTCCTGTCGAAATATTTTGGTTTCTTGGAGCTGGCTAGCTAGGGAGCGATCGATGGCGCTGCTGATCGATCGATTCCTCTTTTCTTGCAGTGCGATGTCCGCGGCAATGCGATGGGGCTGCTGGCCGCGCATCCCGTGGCGCCGTTCGTGTCGATCCATCACCTCGAGTTCGTGGATCTCTTCCCCAATGTGGATGCGCTCCAGGGCGCGCGGGCGCTGGCGCGATCGATGCATCTCCACGGCCCGGGGTTCTTGCAGCAGGCGATTTGCTACGATCGGCAGCGCCGGCTCACGTTCTCGATCTCCTCCGGCTATGTCGTCCAGGTGTTCCCGGAGATCGTCTTCCCCAAGGTGCTCCAGAAGGCGGAGATTACGTTTAGCGCGTGGAATCACAAGCGTCACAGCCGCGAATTCGATCTGGATTCCAGGAACTCCTTCTGGATCTGCAAGCAGCCGTTCTTGTTCTTCGCCGACGCCCAGGAGAGGGATCCAGAGGGCCGGATCGAGAGCTACTACCAGCGCTACACATCGAGCAAGATGATGTGCTGGTCGCAAGCCAAGCTGCCAGGGATGATCCGCGTCGTGGCCCAGCCACTCCATTCCGATTGGTACAAGGTCTGGAGAATAGGATCTCTCTTTCTTGGATCTTGGATCTATCATTCCCTGCTCTATTCTTCCTTTCCAGGCGCCGCGCAGGCAATGCTGCCAGATCGGAGACTGGGACGATGGAGAAACCGTGAAAGTGAACATGACGAACTGTCGCCCGGGCGAGAGCATCGTCCCTTTCTAGGAGGTACTCCATGATCTTTCTCCATTTCCTCCTTTGACGTAGGGTTTTAGGGTAGCGTCGCAAAGGGATGATGCTAGGTCTGAGCAGGAGGATCGCGCTCTTCCTCAATCTCAATCGAAGAGACTACCGGACGCTGCTCGTGACAGCGTTCTCACTCTCTCTTCTTACCTGCGCCTGGGTCGGGCTCGTCGCCAATTCCTCGCGGGCTCCAACCTTCCCCCGGGACTTTGATCCGATCGATCTGCCCGGGATCGAGCAGGACGAGAGCAGCAGCAGCGGCAGCAGCGGTAGCGGCAGCGGTAGTACCTTGGCAGTGGATCAGATCGTCTTTGGCATAGCAGGCTCCGCGAGCTTGTGGATCGACCGGAAGGAGCTGGTGAGGCAGTGGTGGCGGCCGCTACAAATGCGTGGATTCGTGTGGCACGACGATCCAGTGGAGCCAAACTTGTGGGACACTGGCCTCCCGCCTATCCGGATCTCCGAGGACACCTCGAGGTTCCGGTACACCAATGTGGACGGCTCGCCAGCAGGAATCCGAATCGCCAGGATAGTTCTCGAGACCGTCCGGATGAACTTGACGGGTGTGGAGTGGCTGGTTCTCTGCGACGACGATACCGTCTTCTCGGTGGACAACCTGGTTCGTGTTCTCGGGACTTTCGACTCGTCCCAGATGTTCTACATCGGCAGTGTGTCCGAGAGCCATAACCAGAACGTTGCGTTTAGCCACCAGATGGCGTTTGGAGGTGGGGGCATTGCCATCAGCTATCCACTCGCGAAGGCTTTGGCACGATCGCAGGATAGATGCTTGGAGCACTATCCGCAGCTCACTGGGAGTGACGACCGGCTGTACGCTTGCATTTTGGAGCTCGGTGTCCCACTCACGAAACACTCGGGTTTCCATCAGGTACAAAAAGTTTCTTTTTCTTGTCTTTTTAATCTCGTCCTTTGCAGATGGATATACGTGGAAACCCGCTGGGATTGCTGAGTGCTCATCCTATAACACCTTTTGTGTCCATGCATCACATTGAAGCAATGGATCCAGTGTTTCCCGAGCTCTCCCGCCTCGAGAGCTTGCAGCTGCTGATCAAGGCAATGACAGCGGACTCGTCCAACTTCTTGCAGCAGACGATTGGCTATAACAAGGACAAAGGCTTCACGTTTTCAATCTCGACTGGCTACGTTGTCCAGGTATTTGATCAGCTAGTTTATCCCAGGGTACTAGAGAAGGCAGAGATTACATTCAAGGCCTGGAACTCGAGGAACGGTCCAACCGAGTTCGATCTGGACACTCGCAAAGTTAAGCTACCGTCGCCACCGTTCCTCTTCTTCCTCAATAACACCATGAGCAGTGAAGACGGCGGAGTTGTGAGTGAGTACAAGCTCTACAGTCCATCTGCCAAGGAATGTAAGAACTACTGCTGGTCGAGGCTACTGCTACCTGGGATGGGCCACTCGAAAGCTCCCGACTTTGACACCATCCGAGTCGTCACCAGGCCATTGAGCAACAATTGGTTCAAGGTAAATCTCCCGGCCTCTTTCTTTCTAGAGTTCTCTAAGATCTCCTCGACAGGTCCCGAGAAGGCAGTGCTGCCGCTTTGGCGAGGTAGTGAATCAAGTGCTGAGCATCACTATCTTGCCATGCGAGCCAGGTGAAACTGTTGTCAACCGGAGGAATAGCCAGCACCAAAGTTTTGTCGAAAAGAGGATGTAGATTTTGGAGGAACCGGTATGTGAGAAAGTTTTAGGAAGTTTTAGGAGGCTGGAGACACATTTTGTAAAACAAAGTGGCTCCTTTGCTTGTAACAATTGTCTTTTTTCTTTTATGGACAGCGAAGATTTTTGTACACGGAGAATTAGTATCTCCCGAAGTTTTTGACGAAAGTTTCAGCAGAGTATGAAGAGCTGCTCAGCCAAGAATCGAAGACCAACTTTACCTCCCTGGAAAGCATAGCCATCGCAACGAAGCTCGACGTCCACGCCACAGCCAGCAGGTACTGATTCTTGGAAAGTTTTGGGATCTACACTTGGTAGATTCAATCGTTCTAAGCTTCCATCTTCTTGCTTCTTCTTGAACAGCTTCGTTGTGTAGGACGCACTCTCGCCATCTCCACTGGTTCCAATCCTGCAAAGGTGTGATTGATCTCAAAGTTAGAACGATGGAATAATTTTCTTACTTGATGCGCAGTGCTTCGTCTCCAGTTCCGTTGGCAACCAGCACCGGCTGCCACACAGCAGCGATCCCCATGGAAGTGGACACCTTCTTCACGAGAACCTCGCATTCCTTGGCGATTGCTAGCAGCTTTGGCGTCGGGACGATGACGATGCTGAAAGTTGGCTTGCCATCGCTGCTGTAAGCAAATCTGTCGCTCACACTGAACTTGACCCGGGCGTTTGTCTCGCGAATGCAGAGCTGCTGCGATGCGTGCTGGAGAGTGATCCACTTCCCATCGGGATTGTGCGTGGCGTCTAAAAAGTCCAGGAAGATCTCGTCTGGACGTAAGAACTTGTCGTTCCTTAAATCCTCGGAAACTCTCTCTTGTTCTGTAGCTTGCTCGATTGTTCTTGTTGTTGTTGCAGATATCATGGTGGTTTCTTCTCTCGATTCAAGCTTGTGTCCATTCGCATCGTCGTGTTTGATCGCCTCCTCCAGTGACACGGCCAGCAAGTTGAAATTAAAGGCGTCTCCTCGCAAGCTCGAGAGCCTGGCGCTCTGGCGCCTCTCGGGGACGAGAAAAGGCGAGTTTTGATTTGGAGAGACGATGCTCTCCATTGGGAAGATGTCGGGGAAGTTGGATTCCTAGATTAATCGAGAAGAAAACACCATGAGAGCTTAGAACTTGCAAGAATGGTGACCTTACCAGGAAGAGTACGGTAGCACACAGCTTTAGAACCTCGATGTTCATACGGACGTCCGCGAGACTCCTGGACGAGAAAGAGAAAGTTAGAAACAAATAAAAAAGAGAGATGGGAGTGGATCGCTCTACCTGTGTTCTTGCTTGCCAAGCCCGAAATAAGATGCTAGAGTTGCCATCTAAAGGAAGCCTGGAATCGATGGAGAAGAAAAGCAAAGCAAAACATACCTTGAGATTTCCAGCTCTCTGGCCAAAGCTTTTTCGCAGCAATGGAAATGTATCAATGTGGCCAGCGGCTTCCGGCCCAGCCCTTCCAATGCTCGCGAAAGCCTCCTTGATCCGGAGATTGTCAAAGCGCAAGATGTTATGCCCCGCCCACACGCGCCCTGATCGATCAATCGGCCAAGAAAATCACCAAAATATCCATCAAGAAACTCACCGTGAAGCAGAGCATGGACGCGATCGGCGATCTCCAGGAACGATGGAGCTCCGACGAGGCTGTCCTGGACGATCCCATTGCAGGAGACGCTCCTGGGACTGACCAGGGCTAGGGATGAGGGGCGGACGAGCGTGGTGAAGGAATCGAGCTCCCCCAGTCCCCTGGCCGACACCACCACAGCGCCAAACTCGAGGATATCATAACCCTGCCCCTTCACCTCCGGCACCGTCGTCTCAACATCGTAGAAGACGATCTCCATCGCCGCCCTGGCGCCTTCTTCCTCTATCGCCGCCATAGCTCCAACTTAAAAGCTAAATGGTTGATCCTGTCACAAACCTCGAATATTCTCCTTATGGCTTGATTACGTGTCACTATGACGTGGGACTAAGTCACTATGAAGTGCCACGCAATAATGACACGTAAGCACGCTATAAATGGTAAATAAGTAAACTAAGGTATTTTTAAAAGTAACTTTCCTTGACCTTTAATTTAAACTGTTCTAGGTTATAGACGAGATGGAGGAGCAGCCAGTGCCCGCGAGGAGCGTTCTCTATGCGTGGGGCTACAATCAATGCGGCCAGGCAGGGCAAGAATCGGCAATCCACAACGCGGTGCCGCATCCCATCAGAGTCGCGATCCATCCATCGTCGCTTCGACTCATCGCCATTTCTTGCGGCCTCGAGCACACTGCCGCCATCGCCTCGGATGGATCCCTCTTTACCTGGGGTGAGTTTCTTTCTTTCTTTCGTTCCATCCTTAGAACCGGGATGAACTAGCGTAGGATCCAATCAATTCGGGCAACTCGGCGATGGATCTGAGACAAACTCCGATCGGCCGAAGAGAGTCTATGGATTGCGAGACGAGGCTGTCAAGTCGGTTGCTTGTGGAGCCAATTGCACTGCCGCCATCGCTGATTCTAGAGATGGAACTTGTCGTGGCAGGATGTGGATTTGGGGACAAAACCAGGTAACTCTTTTGTTCTTTCGCATTCTTTTGCTCATTGGTTCTTCCTCTCTTTTTCTTTTGCCAGGGATCAAATTCGCCTCGATTGTTCTCTGGAGCATTCTCATCTAGCACAGTAAAGTTCTCCTTTTTTTTTTGTTCTTCATGGAAGTTTTCATTTCATCGCTATCTCAGGTGGTCATTCAAGTAGCCTGTGGAGGAGCACACGCCGCAGCTCTTTCAGAGCACGGTGTTCTTCAAACGTGGGGTACTTCTCTACCACCTTCCTTCCATTTTTTTCCTTGGTTTGCTCTTTAGTTCTATCTATCATTTGCGAGTGGGGATTGACACAGTTCTAGATTTGTTTTTGTGCTTGCCTTGGCATTGCGGATTTCCTTGAACAGGATACAATGAGCATGGCCAACTCGGCCGAGGGATCAGCTGCGAGGGGCTCCAAGGAGCAAAAATTGTCACCTCTTTCGTTAAGTTCCTCAACGAGCCGGTTGAAACTGTCAAAGTGAAGCAAGTGGTGTGTGGCGAGTATCACACAGCAGCGATTGCACACAATGGCGATGTGTAAGTTGTGCTCTTGCCGGATTGAGAGATGGGAACTGTCAGGGAGTGAGCGATCTTTTTTTTACTCTTGTTTACTGTTCTTTCTTCTTTCGATCGTTTATTGCTAATGGTTTTTGCAACTTTCCTGTAGATACACCTGGGGACTGGGATCTTCCGGACAACTTGGTCACAGAAGTTTGCAATCCGGTAACAAGGAAGTTCTTCCGAGAAGAGTGGTGACGCTGGAAGGCGTGGATGTCGTCCAGATATCTGCCGGTGGAGTCCACTCCTGCGCGATCTCCTCTGCCGGAGGATTATATATGTGGGGTGGAAGTCACGCAGGACAACTTGGTCTGGGGCCCCGGCAAGATCGCATCTGCGGCAGTAGTGACATCGACTTTTTCTTCCAGCGGATTCCGGTTCTAGTGATCCCATCCGGTGCTCGCTCAGCAACTTGTGGAGATCTCCACACTCTCGTCCGGATGGCGAATGGCCGGCTGCTTGGCTGCGGCTACAACAGCTATGGACAGGCAGATTCTGGCAAAGCTTATTATGCCTGGTATCCTTCTCCAATCGACTGGTAAGTTTTACCAAGCAAGCTTTCTTCCAAGCGAGAAAAGCTTTGGTGTGTTCTTCCAGGTGTGTTGGAGAGATTACGTGCTTAGCTGCTGGAGGTGGTCACTCTGCGGTGCTTACACAAGCATCCAACTTGAAAGAGATTTGTGAGCTCAAGCTCGTCGATTATGTTACAGCTTCCACCGCCTCGACCATTGCGGATATTGCATCGAGGATGAGCTGTGACTCGTTAGCTCGGTTTTGTCTAACATTCCGGTAACTCCAAATTGGTGTTCTTCGTTGTTCTTTAAACTTGGTGTGCTCTGAACAGGGATCACTGGGTGTAACTTAATGGACTTGACAAAGCCAGGGACGAGAAGTTCATATCCAATAGCGATTTTTTACCACGATTGATTAAATGCTGTAGTCCCAGCTACAAAGGCATATATAACTTACGGCACACTGCACAGTATGTACACTAGCTTTACTTTAATATCAGCTGCTTGAATCAATCCCTCATCTATTTCAGTCGCCATTGCGTTGTTCATGTTGTCGTCGAGTTTCCTTCAATCCTATCCTTCTATAGCGACTGCTGCAAGTAGATCCACGAGAAATTACAATCTGAGAAGAAGAAAAAAACGATTTTGCATTATCGCTTTACCTGTTTCATCTTGCACGAGAGGCGAAGCTTGTTAAGCTGGTCCCGGCATCGAGCTGTGCAATAGCAGTGTCAAGATAAACCAGCGAGAGAAAAAAAGAGAAAAGAAGATGACAGAACTTACCAGCATCCGCATATCGCTCCTCCACCACAGCCATGAGCATGTCCTTCATTAGAGTGATCTCTTCCGCGATTGGATCATGAGCGTCATCAGGACTACACAAAAACAAATTTTTTTTTATCGTTTTCGCGAGAAAACGAGAACGAACCTATCAAGATAGGAAGACTTTCGGCTCCTCTCGCCAGTGGTGTCCCAGGGCACGGGAGTCGAGTAGACTGGCCTCACGGCATCACTTTCGACTATAGACTTGTTCACGAAGATTGGAATCTGCTTGGGAATTTGTCAGGCAAGAACCGGGCTGGAAATGGTCACAAACCTTGCTTCTTACAGCGAAGTTGATCGCGTCCGAAGGCCTGGCGTCTACGCTAGTGAGCGCTTTCTTGCCATCCTGTAGTCATCGCGTGATATCAGGCTTGGGGGCTCTTTCCTGAGAAGAAAGCTATGCTTACTTGGCCAAAGTAAATGCGGGCATAGTATGTGTCCCTGACTCGCTCAGTGATCCTGACCATTTTTGCCTGGTCCAAGAAGACCGTGTGAAAAAAAGAAGAAGAAAACAAGAATCGAATGTGCATTCACCTCGAAGTCTAGCGCACCAACAATCTGTCTCAGCAATTGATAATGGTTTGGACGGGCCTGCGAAACGTATGGAGACGAAGCACCATGAAAATGGATCATAACTTCGCAATTTACGTTACCGATTTCTCTTCGTCATGGAGTGCTTTCATGAGCATGGTCACGGCCGTTTCGCCTGGGGAAAACCAGTGTCAAAGCACCGCCAGAAGAACAAAGTAGGAAAAAGAAGCTCTTTCTTTGCGCAACGTACCTACAATAATTGGGAGCAGGACGTCCGAGTCGCTGAGAACCTTGAGAAAAATGGCTGGATTCCTCGCTCTGTACAAAAGCCTGCCTTTGGAAGGATGGACGTGATTGACCTCAACTTCTCTTCCACTGGACAGAGTCATAAACAATCGCCCGTGTAGTGGCAGCATACTCACTGCAAAGAAAGGAAAAAAGAAGGAATCAAACCATGTCAATCGATACAATGAGAGGAAAAAGGGGGAAAAGGGGAAAAAGGGAAGCACTCACCAGCATCCACGACCTGCGCTTGCAAATAATCCTCGGCTGGAGCTTCTTGGAACTCGTCCTCCTCGCCCCCATCCTTGCCGGGCTTGCTAGACCAGCTGCTGCTACTGCTACAAACCACCAGCGATTGACGATGCTGCCGGCAGGTGATCCCGCCGCGAGCATTCCCCACTCTTAACCCTAGCCAGCAGCTCCGGATTCTCTGGACGCGCAATCTGCCATAGACAGCGCTCGACCCCGGCTCGGCCGCCGCTGCCGCCAGCATCGCTGCCGCGCCGATCGACTTCCTGGCAGCCGAGCAGTCCATCACCACGGCGGCCATTGCGCGCCCAGCGAGGGGATTGGATCTTCGCCTCTCGGCGCCTCTCGAGCCCTCTCCTCTCTTGATCTTCTACCAAAAAATGCCGCTATCTAGATTATCCTATCCATCTCTATAGAGCCAGAAAATATCATCATATAGTATCTATCGGGGCTATGCCCTATACTTATCTTCCTTTATGTATAAAAGATTACTTTCACCCAAAGGTAACAAATTACATTGTAATACGTATATTTTTTATCTTATCTGTAGAATTACTTGTATTCAATCATTCTAACCATTGTAAATACGGTTTGTACTATTCCTTGTAAAAGCAGAAATAATTTTTTTATTTTTTAAAAAAAATGAGATAAAGAGTCAGAAAAATCCCTTGAATGTCATTGGAGATGAATCCTTCCTCTGAATGTCATTGGAGATCGATCCTTGTCTGTGAACTGTGGCCAGCAATGGAGGACTCCAATCAAAGTCAACAAAGTCAAATAGCTCACGTCTTTGTTGACTTGGATTGGAATCCTCTATTACAATGGAATTTGCGAGCTGTGTGGCGGTTCCACTAGCGAGAATGGGCATCGATGCTCTTCAAAAGGTGTGGTCTTGGGATGCAAACCTCGGAGTTCTCGAGCACAGGGCCGCCAACATCAATGCTAAGATCGACGCATTTGATGCTCCCAAGCACACCAATCCAGGATTCAAGTTCTCGGACGCAGCGGAGGAGTGCTTGGATCGCATCAAGGCTTGGAATCACAAAGCCCAAGAGCTGCTGGTCGCCAGGAGGAACATCTGGAACCCCAAAGTACGGTAAGAGTCGAGATAAGTGCTCTTTAGTTTTGCGATTGAATTACCATTGATGGAATTGCAAAGGTATGAGAGATATGGTGCGATCGACGAAGCCATTCGTCTCTACGATGATCTTCTCTCCCAAATCGAGAGCTACGAACGAGAGCTGGAATTGGTAAAGCGCAGTTCCAGCTATGCCGTACGGACTTCTCCACAGGACAAGGGTGTTGCGAGAACTTATGTACGGCGCGTGGTTCCTGAGACCATCTTTGGCGGCGTGATGCTAGATAAGGTGGTGAAGATCCTCCTCGCGGATAATTCTCATGACATGTGTGTGGGAGTTTTGGGGATGGGTGGATGTGGAAAGACCACTCTTGCAAGCTGCGTCCACAATGATCCAAGGATCAGGGAGTACTTTCAGGACAACATCGTGTGGTTCACAGTGGCCAAGGATGCTTGTGAGGATAGTCTCAAGAGCCAAGTTATTCATGGCCTGGAATGGGGTGACAAGCTTGACATGGTGAAAGCTTGTAGTAAGCTTGAGGATATGAAACACTTTGCAAGGGAGGTTTGTGGTGGGAGAAAAGTTCTTCTGATCCTGGACGATGTATGGCAAGCTAATCTTGCAAGGAACTTCATTGATTTCGTGGATCAAAAGTCTTCATCTCGGGTGCTTGTGACGACCAGGAAGGAAGATGTTCTAAAAAAGCTCCAGGCCAGAGTTATCAGGGTCCGTTTGCTGCCGGAGGGTGAAAGCAAGGAGATGTTTTGGAAGTTTGCATTCGGACCTCGATCAGGATCAGGAAGCTTGCATAAGTTTGAAGATCGTCACCGCGTTGAAAAGGTGGCGGAGAGAATCGCTCGAAAGTGTGAGGGCCTACCTCTAGCTCTTGAAGTCGTTGGCAGTGCCATGGCTGTTTACAGAGACCACGGGTCCCGAGTTTGGAAAGAACGTTACCGACAGTTGCACTTGTCCAACGACGATGATCTTGAGAAGCTCATGTTCAAGCGCTTGAAGTTTAGCTACGACGAGCTGGGAAACAACGATGATAAGTTGCAAGAGTGCTTCCTTTACGTGGCTGCGTTTCCAGAAGATGCCAGGATAGATTTCGAAGACTTGATCAAGTGTTGGATAGCAAGCAACTCACAGCTCTCCTTCAAGGAGATTGCGAAAGAACTGGAGCGAAGATCGATGATCAAGGTGGTGAATGATGCAGATGACAATCCGTTATACATCACGGTTCATGACATGCTACGCAAACTTTGCATTAGAGTTCTGAAGGGAAAGTTCCATTCTCAAGCGCAGCACGAAGAGAAATGCTTCTTTGGACATGAGTGGAAACCAAGCATGGACGAGAGGGCCAACAAAGTCTCCTTTATCTCCAAGAATGTTCGAAGCCTGCCATCAAACTTATCTGTAAGAGACATGGTCTTGCTCGATGGGAACAACAGGTTTAGCGTTTTGGACGAAGACTTGATAGACCGGATCAAGGAACTTAAGGGACTAAGCTTGAAGGGAACAAAGGTGGAATCCATTCCACCAGGGATCTCCAAGCTCACGAGGCTTGAAATGCTCGATCTTAGAAACACGTGGATAAACCACATTCCAGTCGAGATCATGGAGATAGAATCACTCCAATACTTGAAATGCGACAGCAATGTCAGGAACTTTGGTTTCGATATGCTCTACAAGCTCTCAAACTTGAAGGAGCTGACAATCCACGCGAGTGACACAGAGGTGGTGGACTTAACAGGGATTTCCAGCGCCACACATCTGCGGCATTTGGAGATGATAGGCTCGTCCTCGTCGAGCGGCTTGATCATACTCTCGGAAGGATTCACGGCTTTGGAGCATCTCGAGACATTGTTTTTGGTGTCCAGGAACATCGAGTTTCGGCGAGTTTCTGCTGGATCTGGACGCTTCAAGGAGCTGATGCGATGCGAGATCATTTGCATGTCGAGTAGAGGAGCTCGCTGGAGCAGCCTGTTCAAAGGATCACTCAATCTGCAAGTCTTTCGAATCACGGGAGTGGAAGAAGATCAAACACACGACGAAGGTTTCACGTGGATCGAGAAGTGTCATGGGCTTCGAGTTTTTGACCTTTACAACCATAAGATGAAGAATCTCTCCTGTCTCCATCGATTGAAACGTCTCGAAGAACTCCACCTTATCTGCGATGGCGTTGCGTGCCAGCAGCTAGCTCCGCCAGGTTCTTTCCCAAACTTGAAAGAGCTCAAACTCGACTCTTTCCCGGAATCGCTGCAGCTGGATCCCAACTTCATCACTTCATCCGCCATGGAAAACTTGAAAACGCTGCACTTGAGCTTCGCCACTGCTCGCGATCACTTGCCTCTCTTTGTGACGAGTCTCCCAAGCCTCAAGTTCTTGACTGTCGAGGGCTACATGAGAAACCTTGTGTCCACCACCATCACCTCGTTTCCAAGTAGCCTCCAAGAGCTACACCTCTACTCTTACGAGCAGCTGCCGGATGATTTCTTTGCGATCCAAGCCAAGCTCATTACCGTGCAGTGCTTACTTCTAAGCAGCCAACAAGGAAAAGATAGAGGAAATTGGCAGAAAATCCCGGCATCCATCTCTTTGCTTCCCTGTGTTTCATCGCTTGATACTGACGTGGGACATGCTTCAAGACCTTAGAAGTGAGCTTTGGAGCCGCCATGCCCAACATTCTGAAAAGCATGCAGCTGAACCTTCAAGTTTTGTACTGAACAGTGGAGTGTTCATTATTGTAAATTTAGAAATATGTTAAATTGTTTTTGGTTTAGGATATCTTTAAAGTCACCTAAAAAGTATTTTTCTCATTCATTAAACCTTTTTATAAATTAGATTTTTTTTAAAAATAAATAACCAAAACTTTGTGGCGACCATGAATTTGAGAATGGATGAAAATGGATTTTCAGGTTCCTATAATAACACAAAATGTATAATAATGTTAATATCATAAGTGTAAAAAGTTAAAATAAACTTTTATGAATTTCTATAGCTTATTTCGTTTAAACGAGTATTAATTTTTGCAATTATTTTTTAATTAACATAAATTAATAAATGCTACCTAGAATGTCCAAAGAATATCCCCCCTAAAATACAAACAGCCGTTGCGCAGCGAAACTAGCCGTTCTCATCCTAAAGCCCTAAATTTCCATCTCTCGCCCTCTGCTTTCACGAATGCGATCGATCCATCCAGGCGGCGGCGGAGGAGGAGGGTCGCGGCAGTAAAGAAGAAGAAGATCGATCATGGGAGCTTGCTTCGGCAAGAAAGATTGCGAGGCGACGGCGGCGTGCGTGGTGCCGGTATCGTGCCATCCCTACAGGTTTGGCAATGGCGTAGTGCTGCGATTGTTTGGCGTGGAGCTCTGCCCCTTCACGGCCCGGATCCGGATCGCGCTCCTCCACAAGGGCCTGAGCGTGGATCCAATCTGGGTGCCGCCCGAGGGTTTGCAATCCAGCAAGAAGCTCGAGTGGCTGGAATCCGCGTGCCCGGATGGCGATGTCCCCATCCTCCAGCACGGCGGCAGCGTCATCTATGGATCCGCCGACGACATTGTGGACTACATCGAGGCCACCTTCCGCGATCCACCGCTCTTGCTTGAGGGATCGGCCGGGATGGATGTCCGCGACTGGGTGGAATTTGTGCGAGACGAATTCTCGCCGCTCGTCGGCCAGCTGCTCTACGACGCCGATCCGGCAGTCCAACAAGAGGGCAGCGCCAAGATCGACACGGCGTTCGCGAGATTGGACAGGGGGCTGTGGGAGCACGGCAAAGATGGGCCTTACTTCTTTGGCCAAGAGTTTAGCATGGTGGACGTCTACCTCATCCCTTTCCTGGAGCTCGTCCGGCCGCTGGGCCTCTTTCGAGGGGTCGAGATTCGAGCTGTCCACTCCAATCTCCTGGGCTACTACAAGCGAATGCCGTTCTTCCCGAGCTACGCTCCCGTGAGGATGGATCCAGACTTGCTGGAGATGTCGGTCTCCAAGGCGATCGACGAGAGAACTTGCCCGGCGGTGGCGAGCTTGTGCTTGCTCCAGCACCGGAGCATCCTCTTCCACATCGAGAGGGTGGTGAAGATCTCCGAGGAGCTGGCCGCGACCAAGGTGAATTCCAGCACCATCTCGCCCGTCAAGGCGGGGCTGGCGATGAAGATCAAGAAGCTCTCGTCCGAGTACTCACGGCTGGTGGAGCTGATGCAAGAGCACGCACAGATGGAGGAGAGAACCATGTTTCCAGTGCTGGAGAATGCGGACAAAGGTAAGTTCTTTCGGTTTTCCATAGAATTCTTCGCGTGGTGATCACAAAGTTTTGGTTGTTCTTTCTTTTCCTTGCCAGGACTGACCGAGCTTGTGCACGCTGATCACGCCAGAGATTTACCAATCATGAATGGGATTCGCGAGGATCTGAAGTCGGTCCTGGCGTTACAACAGGGCAGCTGCGTCCATAATGAAGCTCTGGTCGCGCTAGCAACTCGGCTAAAAGTGTTCCAGGTACTTCTTGGTGGTAGAAAAATCTCTCTTTTGTGCTTACGTTTCGATATATCGATCCAGGAGAGCACGCGAGATCACTTCGACGAGGAAGAGCGCGACATTCTTCCTCTGCTCGAGACTGTCGGATTCGGGAGCAAGCAGCAGGACGCAGCGATAGAGAGCTGCGTGATCATCATGGAAGCCGCGCATGGACGCTTGCTTCCATACTTGCTCCAGGGAATGCCCGCTCACGAGATGTACCAGTACTTGAGAATCGTCCAGAAGCCGTTCCAGGATCCGGCTTCGCCGTCGTCACACGTCCTCGAGAGCATGTTTCGATCGCTGCGCAATGCCGACGACGAGTATGAGTCGGTGTGGAAGCTCGTCAAGGAGAGGATGCCGGGGGTTTGCAAGCTCGAGGGTGACGAGAAGAAGATCGTGAGCGAGAAGAGAATCTCGACGAGTAGCAATCTGGAAGTACACTTTGCAGCAGCAGCGTGAAGAAGTGAGTGAGAACTTAAAAAAAAAAAAAACAGTGGAAGAACTTGTGTGTAGAATACCTATAGAGGGAGTGATGGCGACTGTACATTGGAATCGAATAAATTGCAAACTTTTCTAGAACTACCTGGTTCTTTCTATTTCATTTGCTCTCTTCTTAGATAGCAGCCAGCGCTTTGAATCGATAGATCGACTTAGCCCGAGTTTAAGTGACTTGGGGAGCGGTCGAACATAACTCTCCACATGAAAGCTCGCGACAGCACCATCTCCAGCTCTTGGTGAGTCCATCTCTTCGTTGGTAAGTGCTGCAAGAAAAGCACCATCTCCTGGAAATCTAGCTGCTGGAGCTGGTCGGTCCACTATAAAAAAGAAAGGAACAGTTTAGAGTCAGGCAGGCCTCTGCGATGATGTGATTTGCGTACCGTCAATAAGAAGCTGGCACAGGCATATACAAGGTACTCTGGAAAAGCGTCGCCCTCGGCTAGATAAGTATCCCACAGTCTAGAAACCAATGAGAAAGGAACCTGCGTGATGGAAGACAAAACAATTGAAGGTGAAGTGATTTACAAAAGAATGTCTTACCTCTCTTATCAAGAGGCAATTAAACCACCGAAACGCAAACTGCAAAAAGTCCAGCCCCTGCTCTTCGACATGCCTGGCTACCGGTTCTAAACAAAGCACGAGTGCTAGTTTTAAAAGTGAAAACTGGAAAGATCTTACCATCAATTCGTCGAACCAGCTCCTTCAGCTTAAAGACAAGGCGCTGAATTCCAGGTTGTGCGAAAGTGTAATGATCCTGGATTCTGTCGAGCAGCTTGGAGAGACACCAGTAGCTGTCTGCTTCAACTTGCGTAAGCTTCTCAGGCGGAAGCTTCGACAAGTCCCAGGTTTCCATCTCTCCTTCAAAATGCTCCGAGAGAAACACCACGAGGAAAGGCGTCGCCAAGTCATTGATTCCCTGGACGTAACCGCTCGCAGGATGTCTCACTGCCCTGCTCGAAAATGCAAACCTCATAAAGATGATACTCGCGAGCTATTTATTCCAGGTTTACCATATATTTAAGATTCGCTCCAGTGAGGTTTGTATAGTAGGCTGATGGAAGAAAGTAACATCCGGCACCGTCCGTGGAATGTCGACGGCAATCTAGGGACAATGTAAAAGGCAGCACATACCGAGCTAATGGAAAAATTCCGTATTACTCACCTGACGAACGGTTCTTATCTCGTCCTCAGTGCGATCCTCATCGGGTATGTCGAAAAACTGCGCAATGTCTTCGACGTACTCTTGTCTCTTCATGGAAAGCACCATCTCCCTTCTATCCGTATTGGAAGGCGAATAACCCTGCACGCAAAGCTCTGAAGTATATAAACGTGCTTCAATTGTCAATCTTTTCTCAGCTCGAAACAAAGTCATACCAGCAACAGTCTCCAAATCATGGGCCTCATGTCAGCGGGAACACCACTCCACGAGAGCTCTCTCAAAGCATCTGCGAAAAAAGAGAACAAGAGTTTGAGAGAGCTGAGTAAGTCTCGTCGAAAGTACCTAGATTTACAGTCGAGGCAGCCAACTCTTTCTTAAATCTTGCAACACGAGCAGTGTCTGTAGCTCGCCCACCGGAGCCTGGCCTTGGAGCGTCCGCCGAGGCTTCCCTGCTTGACGATTCTCCCGGTGATCCAGCAGACGATGAGCTTCCAAGCTCGTTGCCATTGATGTCTTGCAAATCCTACAAGCCACGTCGATTCCATCCTCAAGAAATCCAGAACACACACAAAAAGATAAAAAGAAAACTAGAAAACCATACCCGGTTTCTTCCTGCTCCACTCGAGAACGAGTGGCCATCTTCATCAGAACTCCTACTCTCCGAAGAGTTCCCTCTCACATTAGAGCTAGAGTCGGCCTTCCGCGACAGTAGAACTTTGCCAGGAAAATTGCGCCCTCTTAGCATCCTATATGAGAAGCAACAAGGAGAAGCGAATCGAGATGTCATTACTGATGGAAGAAATCGCTCGAACGGACTCCATACCAGTTCTTTGACATGAGGATCCAAGCTCTAATCCTCGAGCACCATCGCTAGGCCCTGCATTTTCATCCACAGTGAGCCGACAAGAACAGGAGCTAGATTCAAACTCCTGGCTGGGATCCATGATTCCAGATCGTGAGAGCTAGCTCAGTACCTGAGCCTGGAAGCGCCTGGGACGACGATGGCGCTCCTCTTCCCTTGCTGGATCTAAGCGAGAAGTAAGAACCCTAATAACTTCCCTACCTAAAATAATGGAGTGTGGGACGAGGCTCTTGGCGGATCTGGGGCGCCTTCTCGACAGCGATCCCGAAATGTAAGTGCCCGATCCCGATCGATCGATTCGATCCATGCATCCGTGATTTCTGATCCATCGCGCAGCGACGAGCTGGGATTCCTCCTGCCGTCGCAATTGGCGCAGCTCCACGATCTTCCAGCTGATACAGTCGAGATCTCGTTTGCCGCCGCTGACACTGATCCGAGCGCTGGAGAGGGATCCAAGAGCCCCTGCGTGGGCGCTGGCGCTGGGGAGTACTGTGAGGCTTCTTGGTTTTGGCTGCGAGATCACAAGCTAGGGATCGCAGTGAACGCTTTGAGGCCGCTCTACACTGAAGCACAGGCGGTGTTCTCGGCATTGCGAGCGGAAGAAAAACAGTGCGAAAGGCAAGAAAATGGCTTCTCGAAGGAAGAAAGTTTGCTCAAGGTCACAAGAGCACTCCTGATTGTCAACTCGGATTACTCGACCGCTTGGAACACCAGGTATGATCTCTTTTCCTCCTTTTGGTCGTTTGTTTTTCATCTCCAGGCGATCTAAAGTTTCTCGTGATCTAGGAAACGTGTTCTTGGCAAGTCGAGCTTTTCTCAGTCAGGAATGATCAGCGAGCTACGACTATCCAGTCTTGTCTTGACGTATGCTCCAAAAAGTGAGGAAGCGTGGGCTCATCGGTACGTGTTTCTTCTCTCTTTCTTTTCTTTCTTTGTTTCTCTCTTCTGGCACTTGAAAAAGTTTTTTTTTGCAGGAGGTGGGCATTAAACAAAATATTCTCCTCCACTTCCAGCCAAAGCGATGCCATCATTGACTCTGAATCCAAACATGTTGATGCGATTGTCGAGGTTAGCCGTCGTTTACGTATATATGAGTCGAGTGCCATCTCTTCTCTTATATGTCATCTTTGCAGAGATCACTCTCACTGCCCGCTTATTCATTCCAATGTGGCAGAGATCTCTGATGAACTACCGTGCTTGGAGACACCGTTTCTGGCTTATCTCCTTCATGAAGTTCCCTCGAGTACGCACCTTGTTTGCTTCCATTTTTAAAGACGCATAGAGAAGAGAAAGACTGATACTGTGAGTTGATGCCTTACAGATAGAGCTGGAGTTGAAATCCCGGGATTCGTACCGGTGTACAGATAACTGTTTTTTCCACTATCGCAGGGTACTTCGTTACTACGCACTGAAATGGAATAACTCCATTTGGTTATTTTGCAGTCCATGCTGCAACATCTAATTTGGAGACAACACGAATTTGACCTGAGCTGGAAGGAATTGGCCTCGATGTGGAAGGTCGTGCTTATTTGAAGCCAGAATGATGACTGAAAGTATTCATTCCCTGACTTTGAACAGGAGGAGCTCAAGGGGAACGCTGATTCAATTAAGGACATGTCCTTCGGGAATGAGGTTGGAATGTTGCGCTGTAAATGTCTCTCATGAACTTGTTTTTTTAGGCTCTATGGATTCACAGACGGTTTCTGGCTCACGGGCTGCTGACTTATAACGAGCTTTTCGACGAATTCAAAGTTGAACGCTCTCGGGATAAGGAGGTTCACGGAAAGCACGTCTTGTTCATTTTAAACGAGCTTGATCTTGCAAAAGAAGCGGACACAGGCGAACATTCTTGCAGCTACAAACTGTGGCTCCTCTTTGTGGTAGCTGGCTGGCAATGCCACCTCTTCTTCACAAAAATGAGATGATCCGTTTGTTTGTCCTGTGCAGTTTCGGAGGAAGCATGATTCTAAAGAGGTTGAAAATTTGCTCCTGGAGGAAAGCAGCGCTGCTGCCGCGAGTACGCCTCAGAAGGAGAGCCTGTGGAAAGGTGTCAAAGGGTCGTGCAACTTTTTGAAATGAGACTGTTGGCGGTACATGATTTCCTGGATAGGATTATAACAAACTCGATCTAAAGCATTACCGATCGTTCTTATAACTTACTCTTGCTTTTTATTTCTGTTTATGCTTCAGTAGGTGGCACAGGACTATCCATCTCTAAATGTAAGGCATAACGGACGGACGGAGGACTTTAAAGGCTCATCTTTGTGGCACTGCCAACTTCTTTATACACCACAGCTGCGATCGAGCGAGACTTTACAACAGGAACAAGAAAAGCAGCTTGCATTTTCCTTTTCCTTCCTGCACTCGATGATCAAAGCTGGAGCAGCAGCAGCAGCAGCAGAAGCGGTAGAGGTAAAATCAAACTATTCTGCATGCTACTTTTTCCTACTGTTGTGTTTCTCTTTCTTTCAAAGCAGGGAGGGGCAGGGACGAGGTAGAGAATCGAATATAAAAAATAAGCAGTCTGTTCGGGGAAACGAGTGTTTAGGTGGAGCACAGCACCTGGCCAAGTACCTGTTCCAGCTCGTCATGAAACCGTGTCATGGCGTCAGACCGGAAGCCGAGGATGAGATTCATGTCTTTCGTCTCTCTCCCGTGCGAGAGGAAGAGACAGACCTCCGGCTCAGAGAAACCGACGGGGCCTGAATGCAGCGGCTCCCCCCATCCAAAGTCCGTCGTGTGGAAAGACAGCCGAGACCAGGTGCTGACGAGCAAAGTCGAGAAGAGACTGGGACAGAAACGCTGCAGCTCGAAGCAGTCGATGGAGGACCGGATATAAGAGTCGTGAATCCGAGCTATGGCCTCTCTTACGAGCGACACCACCTCGGACAGGTGCTTGCTTTCGAGCTCCGACGCCGTGGTCATGGCGTAAGTCAGCATGATGCCGTTTCCCATGAAACCTTTGGGAAGCGGTGGCTGGATTCTCGACCGGTAGTCCACCGCGAACAGAAGCTTGCTCGGCTGCCTGTCATCCATGGCCAGAGCTTTGGTCCGGCACTTCCACACCAGAGCCGAGAGCGCCTCGAAGGTGCTACACTTTCGCCACCCGGGGGCGTCGACGTTATCTTCCTGTGCCGCCACCATTTCGTTATCGATCTGCGACTTGAGCTGCTCCAGCTGCTGGCCCCGGATACGAAACACTCTATACACAAGTTGGTCGTCGTCGTTAAGGTGTAAGTTCTGCTGCGAGCCGCCAGAGACGTCGTCGACTTGAGCGTACTCGAGGTGGGGGAACTCGACCAGCGGTGGACTCCGGGCCTTGAGGACGCTCCGGTCGAGCTCGGGGGTGAGTGACAGTGGAAAGCCTCGGCTTAGCTCGGCCCAGGCGTGAACAAACTCCATCGCTCCAATCCCATCGAACATACAGTGGTTGATGCAAAGCCCGAGGACGAAGCCGCCGCACTTGAATTTCGTCACCTGGACAGGCAAGGAGAGGATCATACCGAGAACGACAGGAGAAGGAAAGAAAAACCAGGATTTTCGGTGGAGCGATCAAAAACCGGTCTTTTTTCTTCTTCTAGCGACCGTTACCTGGACAGTCATGGGAGGAACTTCAAGGACGTTCTTGGCGCCCGGAATTGCGTAGACAAGCTGGAGCAGAGGTGTGGAACCGGGCCTGATGATATCTCCCAGGTCGCAAATTCGAGCATCGGCCTCGGCCTCGGCAAACACGACTCCTTGCTGCTCGGCTCCATCGCCGCTCTTCTTCATCACCACCTCGAGCTTTCCTTCGCTGCTGATTCCCAGCCTGCCGGCGAGCGGGTAGTAGTGATCCAGCGCCTTGGACAGGCCTTGGCGGATCACGTCGGCGGGATTGTCCGCGGCTCTGGCGCTGCTCGACTCAAACAGGTAGATTGTTTTCATCACCACCGCGATGTTCTGATCCAAGTTTGACAGGAAGTAGTGCTGCTCCTCCACTGGCTGCTCCGGCATGACGAGCTCCGGCTCCTTGACGAGCTCCACCTTGAAATCCACCGGCATTGTGAGAGTGGCTTCGGCCCCCATTGCGAAGAAAGATTGACAGGAAGAGATCGACGAGAAGGAGAGGAAAAAAAAGCGATTTTTGTTCGTGGGAAGAAGCGCCCTCGCCCTCTCAAAGGTTGTTCCTCTGCCCTGCTCGGGAAGAAAGCTTTGCGCCTGGGGAGATATAAAGCAAAGCGGGAAAGCTTTCCTAATTCCTTGTGAGCTGTTAATGGCCCATGTGGCCAAGCCAATGCCAAAGCTCTCTCTTTTTATTTGTTGCGGTTCCTCTCAACTCTTGTCTTTAACAAATCAAAGCACCGTCTCCACCAACAAGACGAAGAAGAAGAAGAAGAAACTTCGCTTCTTCTCGCCTCACACAATGAGAGACTTTGAGCAGAGGAACAAGGAGAAGAAACTAGGTAAAGCCAACCAAGATCACTTAAAAAAAACCTCTTGCCATCCTCCAACAAAACACACAGAATTTCAACACCAGCAGCACCAGCAGCAGTGGAGGAGGAAGAAATTTTGCTCTGGTTGGTGGTTTTCCTCTTTTTTCTTCCTTTATTTGGTAGTTAAATTTTGCTGCTGGCTGGCTGGCTGGCTTGCCTGGCTGCCTGGCTTGCTGCCCTCTCTGAACTTCGCTTGTGCAACCAGAAGTCATCAAGGAAGATCCTCCTCCTCCTCCTTCACAACTCTCACTCATTTATGGAGCGAGCTACCCAACCAACCTAACTCATCAAACAAAATGCAACCAATCCCTCCAACTCTAGAATTCATCACATTGAAAATTTCAAGAGAATTTTCTTCTATTTGCATTTCCCTATGATCAGCTTTTCACCCTCAGCTCCCCCAGCTCTTATGGTGAATCCCCAGGAACAAGAAACAATAGAATGAGGAGCTCCTATGAATGATCAATCAACTCATCCTACACAAACATCAAAACATTGGTTTTTCTTTTCTTTCCTCTCTGGAAATTCTCCTGTGCAAGATCATCACTCAAAGCCCTGGTCTAGTAATAATAGTGAAAAGCTTGCAAAGGTGGTAAGTGGTGGTAGTTTAGTAGTTTTTCTTTCTTTTTTCTTTTTTTTTTTTTTGGTTACTGCCAGACAATCTGGTTGGCTGGCCACACGGGCAATCCGGGGGGCAACCTCGTAACTTTCCTTGATTGTTTAAAAGAGCACTCTTTTTATAACTAAGAAGAGAGTCCGAGGTGGACTCCGAGGTCCGAGAGCTCGGACAGTCCGAGAAGAGCCGAGCTCTTCTTCTTTTTAATGCTGCCGGCTACTGCAATGCTGCACGGGGCTCGGAGCGTGTCAGTCACTAAGTAATAGCGCGGCAAAGTTTTCCAAATCCAAAACGCGCTCGCGTAAACTCTTTGAATGCTCGGTCGGTGTGGGATCGGATCAACCGCCCAAATTCCACTGCCACCACGGTGGTTGCATCGCCAATCAATCGATTCCTTTCAAACTTTCGCTGGTTGATCGTCTAATGAGATTTAGTTCCAGCTGATTGGAAAGGGGAGAGCAGAGCTCTCTAGTCACTCGATCGCTGATGTTTTTCTGGTCCGATCCGATCCGATCGATCGACAACTTACCAGCTGCCGAGTGATGGTGATCTCTAGGATGGAAATTAAGAACTGGCCCAGGGAAGAAAAGCAATCAATCAATGGCGATGGTGTGTTTGTACGTGGGTGTTTGTGATCATCGAACTAACTGACGCTGATGGCTCATCCGATTTCCTCGCAATCACTGCTCGCATCCATCGCTGCTGCTGCTGCTGGCCTGGATCCAACAGTCGTGCTGGCTGGCTGGCTATGGGAGTCAAGAACCAAACCAATAAGCCTTTAATGTGTGTTCTTCCCCAATTTCTCTTTTTCTTCCTCTCCCCCCGGCCGCGAGAGGGATAGATCTCTCCAACCAATTCCATTCATTCTCGTGGCCCACCCCATCGATTTCCAGCCTAGTCTCGGTGGTTGGAAGTTTGGTACCGATCGATTCATCGATTAATTGCGATTGATCCATGATCGCATGAGCTCGCAGGGATGCTCGATCGATCCATCCCGCGAATTGGACTCCATTCTCGCCGCCCATCTCCGCGATGGGCGATTGCGCGACGCGAAGAGAGTCTTCGATTCCATGCCGCGCAGAGATCGAGATCTCGTCTCGTATACCTCGATGCTGGCGGGGCTGGGGCGGGGCGGGCGGCTGCGCGATGCCGAAGATCTCTTCCACGCCATGCCCGGATGGGATCAAGTGGCGCTCAACGCGATGCTCGCGGCATACGCCCAAAGTGGGCAAATCCACAGCGCGGAAGCCTTCTACTCGCGATTGCCCGAGAGGAATCTCCTCTCCTCCAATGCGATGCTCCACGCATACGCACAGATCCCGCGTATCTCCAGCGCTGCCGCCATCTTCGCGGCTATGCCACTCCACAGCCTCGTCTCTTGGAACACCATGATCCAAGCATATGCCCAAGCCGGGCATGTTCATTCCGTACAATACCTATTTGAGAATATGCCCGAGCGAGACTCTATCACCCTAACGACCGTACTGGTTGCGTTCGCCAGCAACGGCTCACTGAGAGAGGCCGTACATATATTCCAGGCCACCCCATGGAGGAATCTGGCATCTTGGAACTCCATGCTTGACGCATATGCCAAAGCCGGGGAAGATTCCAATGTGGCCAACACGTTTGAGAAGATGCCCGAGAGGGATCTATTGTCCTGGAACATCATGCTCTCCTCGTGCTCCCAGAATATCCAAGATGCCGAGCACATCTTCGCCCAGATGCCCCAGCGTGACCTCGTCTCGTACGGCGCAATGCTGTTCGTGTACGGCCAGCGCGGGAATCTGAGAGATGCCAAGCGCATCTTTACCAGCGAAATGCCCTTCCACAACCTCGTATCCTGTACGGCCATGCTAAATGCATATGCCCAGGAAGGGCATCTCCAGCAGGCAAAAGATATTCTCCAGGATATGCCCGAGTGGGATTTGGTGTTAGTAAGCGCTATGATGGTGGCATACTCCCGTCACGGGGACATAAATGCGGCTAGATTCCTCTTTGATACTTCTTACGTGAGGGATGTGGTGTGCTGGACTGCTATGCTCCGAGCATATGCCTTTAAGGGGCATCTTGAGGAATCTAAGCACTTGTTTGATTGGATGCCAGAGCATGACACCTACACCTGGAATGCCATGTTGTCGGCATATTCCCAAAACTGGCATCTGGAAGAAGCAAAGGATGTCTTTGAGACAATGCCCGAGCATAATTCTGTGTCTTGGAACACAATGCTCTCGGTCTATTCTCTTCACAAACGCCCCAAATTAGCTCAAAATTTTTTTGATGCAGTCCCAGAGCACAATCTTGTGACTTGGGGAGCGTTGTTAGCGGCATATGCACAAAACGGGCACTATGAAGAGGCATTTTTTGTTTTTCACACTGCAGCAATGGTTCATGAGCTTGATCTTGCTTGCTTTGTGATGTTTTTCCTGGCTTGTAGCCACTCAGGGAAAGTTGGAGTTGGGAAACAGAGGTTTGCTTCGATTAGTATTGATTATGGTTTGACACCTAATAAACAGCACTATAGTTGCATGCTAGATATCTTGAGCCGTGCTGGACATTTAGATGATGCACGAGATTTACTTGCTAATATGCCTTTTGCTCCAAATTCTCTTGAAAGGTGTACAGTCATTGGAGGATTAATCAACACTAGCTGATTAAAATTGTTAAAACATAAATATCAAAATAGAGTTAATATTTTTTCTACCACTGATGCTTTTGCATGGAATTAGCCGAGCAGGCATGCATCCTGGATGTTAATGTAAGGCTTCTCCAAGCTCCAATTTTATCAATTACATTTTTGGGCACAATTCAAGCCATTCCTACTACACATCATGAAGTCTTCTTTGGTGCTTCTCGTCTTTGTGTTTGCCACTTTCCAGAAGTGGAAGGGGTTTGGGGTTGATATAGATATCTTTCAGGATTTTCTAGGGATGATGTTGATGTTGAAGTCTTTGAGGATTCTCCACAGATGGATGATGGTCATGAGAACGATCAATGGAGTGAAATCACAGGAAGGGCAAGAACAACAACAACATCAATATCAACATCAACATCTGCAAGAACAAGTTTATGGATACAAACACAAGGAGGAGAAGGAGAAGGAAAAGAAGAATTATCCTTAAGACTTTGGCATTTGTACGAGCTCCTTGCCACACCAATTCCGCATCTCAGGCATTCCAGAAAGCTTCGTTAGTATTCCCTTCTGGCTTGTAAAAGCTTTTGCCGTGCATCCTCTGATTTAAGTCTATTGGCTCACCGCGAGCTGCCTTGAACAGTCTCGACTTCGGTGTACAGTATCCTGCGTGTTTTGGCGCAATGGAAACCTCAATGTGGAACCCGATCTGCTGGGCTCTAGCATAAATGTCCAGAGACTTCTGCTGCAGCCTACCTCTTGTTTTATCGGCCTACTGAGAGGGCCGTCTTGTTGTGCTCACACAGCTGGAGGGTGTTCCTCCTCGACTTGGTCCAGGAATGCCCGCTTCTAACCAAAAGCCTCTGCCGGGACCTAATCTGCACGTAAGTTTTCTCGGTGTGGTGCATGGTGATGCTTTTCATAATTTAGAGTACTTGGCTTGGAAAAACTTGATGTCGGAAGTGGCATTTGAACCCATTCATTCTAAAGAGGAGCAGAACTTGAGTCCGCTCCTAAGACCGGTCGGCCACCCTGACATTTATTATTGAAGTTTAGAAAATCCTTTATTCGTGATTACATGGAGTTTTTAAAACTTTTAAAATGCATGCTGGATAGACCTTTTTATAATATAAGGCCTCCTGCCTCTAACAAGTATTCAGCCGTTAATCCGTCACCACTACAAGTAAACGATCGGGAGATTGGTATCACAGCGGCAGGTGTGCCTCCCGAAGGAGTCAATGGATGTATCCATAATTCCAAACTTGGCCATTTTCAAACTTTGTTCTGTATAAGAAAAGACAAAGTAAAAACTTCTCGAACTCACAGGAGGACTATGATCCGTAGAAGAGTATTTTGTTTGTTGAACGCTTTTCCTTCAAAAGATCTCTATTATCATGCTTCCACAAGAATGTCTCTCCATATCACAGTGTTGCTATTATCGATTGTAGAGCTTAATTACTTGCATCTTGCAGCAAGCTTTGGCTACATGACCACGCTAGGTTCACTGTGGACTCTCAGCTATTTCACTCCAAAAAATACAGGTTCTTACTTGGTATGTATTTTACAAGCTGAAACCATGGCACCCGTTTGTTTTGGATCCATTCGCACACACGAACAACCCCAAGTCAAGCAACTAGTCACCATATCCTCTGGAGGGAAATTTGTATGTGGGCTGGAGTATGGCAATCATTTTCCAATATGCTGGGGCAGTCTCGAAGCTCCACAAAGTTTTCTAAATGTTAGCTATACAGCCATAAGCAGTGGTGCAAGCCATGCGTGTGCAATACGAAGCTACGACAATAGAGCCGACTGCTGGGGGAGTATAAACTCTTCTACTGTTCCAAACCAAGCCTTCGTGTCGATCTCATCTGGAAGTGGTTTCTCCTGTGGCCTGACACTAGATGGAGCAACAGCATGCTGGGGAGAAGTGCCAGGTGCAATCCCAAAACCAGCAAATGATAAGAAGTTCATGGCTTTGTTTGCTGGAGCATATGTAGTTTGTGGAATAACAGCTCAAGCAGGAGAAACTCTCTGCTGGGGAGGTGAAAAGAGCAATCCCAGTCCTGCAATTCCTCCTCCTGGTCTCAAGTTTTCTTACATAACTGGAGGATTCCGCCATACTTGTGGAGTGCGTGCAGACAATCACCAAGCCGTATGCTGGGGAGATAACAGGTTTGCGCAACTTCGAGTTCCGGAGAACGCCACCTTTTCAGCCATTTCAGCTGGTGATTTCTACACTTGTGGTGTGAGGCTGGACAGGGCTATGAAGATCGTGTGTTGGGGAAACTCTGGTGTATTGAAGAACGAAGACTTCAATGCGAGCCAGGGAGTTTGCACAAGCAGGTGTGGGAAAAACCAATACGAGCTGCATGGAAGTACATCTTGCCCCTCACTCTCTGACAAAGTGTGTTTGGACTGCTCCATTTGTGTTGGCGACAACGTAGAGATCTCTCCTTGTGGAGATAGCTTCGACAGAAAATGTGGCAAATTGGATATTACTAGTGGAGATGAGATATCAAAGAGCTGGAGGAGGATTATGTTTGTGTTGTATGTAACTTGTTTTGGAGCTGCGGCTGTGGGAATTTTGGTGTATTTGAAATGTGGAGCTGCAAAGTTTGGAAAGATTTCTGGGCATGGAGTTATATGTTTTTCGGCGTCTGAGCTACAAGCAGCCACGAACAATTATTGTGATGACTCAATATTGGGAAAAGGTTCATTTGCAACAGTGTATAAAGGAGTTCTTCACAATGGTTGTCAAGTTGCTATCAAACAAGCAAAGGCCTGTACAAGGTATTTATTTATCTTCAGTATTTTAGTATTTACTTCCTTTTCTTTAAATATAAAAAAACAGGTCTGGTGAAATGTTTAGAAAGGAGCTAAAACTTCTTGCCAGAACACACCACTCTTGCGTCCTAAACTTAATCGGATACTGCGAGCAAGAGAAGCTCCTGGTCTTCGAATTCATGTCTAGAGGCACCCTACACGACAACTTGTATTCTTCCAATTCACTGGAATGGACAACAAGGATCAAAATCTCGGCACAAGCTGCCCGAGGCCTCGAGTACCTCCACAGGTATGTATCGCCCAGCGTCACCCACAGGGACGTGAAATCGTCAAACATCCTCCTGGATTGCGACTGGAACGCGAAAGTATCAAACTTTGGGCTATCGGTGTGCGGTCCTCAAGACAATGCAACACACCTGAGCAATTTGACGATCGTTGGAACTCCCGGTTACTTGGATCCTGAGTATGGGAACTCCTCCCAACTCACAACCACAAGCGACGTCTACAGCTTTGGAGTGGTTCTTCTCGAGCTCATGTCTGGTCAAAAGCCAATCGATCTGTCAAGAGAGATCCAGAGTCTGGTTGCTTGGGTGCTCGATCTGGTGGAACGTGACGAGTGGAGCTCGGTGTTGGATGCTAGACTTGCAGTGCCTTTGGAGCCGGAGCCACTCTATCGTGCAGTGAAGTTGGCGCTGGAGTGTACCAAAGTCAGTGGGAAGGAGAGGCCGTCCATGTCGCATGTCGCCAAAACTCTCGAGGAAGTTTTGGAGGCTGTGGTTTCTCCTCAAACTTGTGCTTTTTCTAGCGTACAGATTCAGGGAGAGTTTCTTGCTGTTTCATCTTGGGATGGATCGAGACTTCCTTCCAGACGTGTATCAGAGCTTTTGGAGACTAGATATATCTAATAAGCAAGGTAGTTTCATAAAAAATAATTTACTTTCTACTTTTTTCATCAGGTGCTAGATATATTTATCACGTTAACTTCTCCAGCCGTTGCATACTTTTGGAGAGAAGAAGATGGCGGACTTTGAGTGATTGATTGAGAGTCCCAGAAAACATTAGAAAACTTTAGTAGCTTTCTCTCTCTCTCAACATATCCATATCAATTACTTTTAGCTCCTTTCAGATGAATTTCTTCCACTTTAGTTTAGATTTTAATGTCCTGACGAGAGGAGACTATATTTAGATACTAATTCAATTTACCTTTTAAATTACAATACTACTGATGCTTTTGCATGGAATTAACACTTGGCTGATAGGCATGCATTCTAGATGTTAATATAAAGCCTCTCCAAGATCCAATTATCAATCACATTTGGGCATATTGCTATTACACATCATGAAGGCTTCTTTGGTGTTTCTCATCTTTGTGTTCGCCACATTCCACATTGTACTGTCTACTTCGAGTGGAAGGGGTTTGGATGCAGATGATGTTGATGTAGATATCTTTGAGGATTTGGATGCTGATGATGTTGATGTCGAAGTCTTTGAGGATTTCCCACAGAAGGATGATGATTATGAGAACCAGAAACGGGGTGACGGTCTAGGCAAGCACAGGAAGGGCAAGAATAATAACAACAACAACATCAACATCAACATCAACTTCTGCAAGAACGAGTCTATGGATCACAAACGTGAGGAGGAGAAGGAGAAGGAAAAGAAGACTTATCCTTAGAAACTTGTTATTTGTAGAGTTTCTTGCAATAAAATAGTATGTTTCACACCATTTTTGCACTCCAGAACAAACTTCTCTAGCACTCCTTTCTATCTGTGTCGAGAGCTTTCGCAGTGCGTCATCTCGATGTGGATTGATCTGCTCGGCTCTAGCATTATGTCCTGAGCCTTCTGAGCAGAACAGGTGGAGATGGGAATCCAAAGTCTTGAACCTTTTGTTTTGCCACTGAGGGGGCCTTCTTGCTGTACTCACATCTGGATCCAGGAACGCCCGCTAACCTCTGCCGGGAACTGACGAGAATAGTGATCATCTTGCACATGGTAATGGTTTTCGCAAATAAACGATAGTAATAGTTTCGTTGGAAAAACTCAATGCTGGAAGTGGCATTTGAACCCACGCATTCGAACTTGAGTACGTTCCTTAGACCATTCGGTCATCCTGACATTTCTGGACAGATTTCATTGACGAGTATACAAAATATCAAGCAACGTGATTGCATGGAGTTTTTTGAGGCACTTGGCAACTTTCCAAAATGCATGCTGGCCTATAATATAAGGCCTCCTTGCTCCAACAAGTGCTGATTGCAAGCGTTGATCAGCCACTGCTACAGCTATGAAGACTGCTTTGGTGTTTCTAGTGTTTGTATTTGCCACTTTCCAAATTGCATTGTCTTCTCAGAGTAGAAGGGAGCTCTTGTCTAAGGACAATGGTGTTGGGGTTCAGAATTCATCAGCAAAAGAACCAGTGTCCAGTTCTCTAATGGATTCTCCAGAGATGGACAATTATATAGATGGAGTTCATGGCCAAGGCAAGCACAGGAGGAACAACAATAACAACAATAACAACATCAACATCAATATCAACATTTGCAGGAAGAAGTCCATGGATTGTGAAGATTCAAAAGACAAAGAGAAGGTCAAGTTCAATCCCTAGATTAGAGGAGACAGATACTCTCTATCATGTATAGATGAATAAAACCAATAAGAATATTTTGTTAGTAGCAATATAAAGCAAAATTCATTGAGAAGTACAACGCAGCCTGTTGTTCCCGGAATTGTCTCAAACTAGCGATTGAAAGCAAACTCCATGGAGAACTACACACACGGTCTGTTTTTCCCAAAGAATGAAACACTGTAGCTTAAGGAGTAACCATTGCTTTACAGACTATTATATCAATTTTCCATCCTCCTGCCCTCCATGGCTTCTCCAAAGTTGCCACTCTTGCAAGGCGATGATGTCATGACATTTGATAATGAGATCACGGTTACTCCATATTCATTCATTAGATAAATAGGTAAACTAAAGTTTAAGTACTAAAGTCAACGATTAGACATCGTGTAAAGGTGGTGGAGATGATCGGCCCACGTTCGTATGTATAATGTGGGGTCGGAAAGAGTGGCGTGGGGGGAAACTCAAATGGAGCACCGGCTGAAAAGGAGAAGCCCACGGGAGAGGTTTCAAATTAAAGCGCAGGAGAATGCGCGGCGGCATGTGACCACAGCCGTCGATAGCCATGCCCGATCCATTCCAAAACATCCATCAAAGAATTTTATACCTCCCTTGTCCATTTGTGTGTGTCTCTGTTCCTTCTTACCTACACTGCGAGAGAGGAAGAAGATAAGAGGAAGCGATCGATCGCGATCGCGATCGCATCGCATCGAGCGTGAAAAGAGGATCGTTTGGATTGGAGTGTCATGGCCTCCGCAAAGGCCCCATTTGGAACGATGCACAACCAGCCGCCGCCCAGGAATCGCAAGCACGCGGATCCAGCGCCCTGGGACAGAGATCCCAGCGGCGGCAGCAGCAGAGCTCCACTCTCCTCGAGATCTTCCGGGAGTGGCAACGCCGCCGCCCCCGCCAGCAAATCGGTGAGCCGCCCAGCGAAGGATCATCAAGTCGAGCAGCCGAGCAGTGGCAGGAGGATCGCGAATCAGGGGGCGAATTCGTCGGGCAAGCCAGCGGCGCCACCGGTGGTCTCGCAAAGATCTGCCGCTGCCAAGGTGGCTGGATCCACAAAAACTGCGCCATTTGGGACCGCCCACAATGCTCCCGCCCAGGTGATCTTCTCGGCTATGGCTTCCCTCTTCTTCTTCTTCTTCTTATCTCGGCATTTTTTCTACAGGCACACAAGAATGTGGGTGCTAGCAAGGCTCCATGGGAGCGGGACGACAGCCAGAGATTCCAAAAGGTGATTTTGGTTCCAAGCTTGCGATGATAGCCATGTTTTTTCTTGTTTTTCTGCCTTTAGATTGCATTTGGGAACCTCAAGAGTTTTGGAGCTTTTATCCGAACTTGAGAAGAGGAAGACGATGCACACCATAGCTTTCTTTGTGTTTAAAACAATTTCCCGACGGCATGGAAAGATGGATCCATGAGTTAGAAAAGTTTCGGGCTCTTTTGAACTGGAAACATTGATCAGGAACCTTGGAATATACTTGGTCACAACAATTAGGGTGCAAGACCTCCTGACCAAGTTATACCAGTTCTTTGGTGGTTATCAAAAGATCAAGTTTGTAATTTGCACTTTTTTTCCAACAACAACAAAACGCTACTACTTACTACTGCTGCAATGCACCTTTGGTAGTGGCCTTCCAAACTATTAACTGAGTGCTCAGATGCTACTTCACATTGCTACTGTTGGAGGAGAAGCAATTTAAATGCTAACTCAATTGGTATTTACTCATTGTTGATATAATAATAATACATGTGTTTGAAGGTGTTTTTATAATATTACAAAGCAATTTATATTTTGAATTGATCGGTCTATATGTTTTACCTCAATTGCCACTGATAAATTGCTGAATTTCATAAATCAAAGAATTTAGAACCGTATTATGGTTTTATCCATACAATTTCTTGTGTATCTGTTCTATAGAGAACAAGTTTCCCATCGTTTCTTACAACTAGAGCAGATGAAAGAACACAATTTGGTTGTGGTTGACAATAAAGATTTAATGCCCATAAAATTGATTTATGAAAGATGTGTTGTATTAGTAAATTCCCATCAACTTGTAAAGAAAGAAAATATCCATCTTCATTAAGGCAATAACTAATGCTTGTCCAGATAATATTATAGTATTCATCTTTAAGTTGCAATTGACACTTACTTGAAAATGTAAATAGAAATTTATTATTAGAAGAATAAATTGATTTATAAGGTAATAAAATTGACTCTGGACCTATTGGTCCACTAATAAGGTTATTCACTCTAAAGTCACAATCATTAATATATAGAATTTTATTTATTTCTACTAATATAAATGATGAAGAACCAAATGCATTCATGAAATAATCAATACCAAAATTTCCATATGTTGCAAACAAACTTCCATACCCATTAATCCTTACATTATCAACAATCACATTGAATATAATCATTAAAAAGTTTTGTAATACATGTCCTTCAATTTGAAGTCCTGTAGGATTAAGCTCACAAGTTCTTGCTCTTGCAAACCATAGCCTTACAGTGATTCTTCTTCCTCCACTTATTATACTTGCTCCAGTAATTGTTGTACCTGAATTATATATTGTATGAAATCCTAAAGTTCTTATTAACCCAAGAGTTAAACCCATCACTTCAATCCTTTGATGAAGTAATAGTGCGTTTTGTTGTCTTTGATATAAATAATTTACTCCAGAACATGTATTATTATTATTATTACTAAAAAGTATAAAAATAAAAAATAAAATATTCATTAATATTTCTAAAGAAATTAGCTTCCTTATTTCTTAAATAATAATTTGTGATAAAGAAATTAGATTAAAACCAGTTTATAATTTTTTTTTTGTTTTTAATTTATTTTTCAACATAATATTCATATAAATATACTTAATTACAACAAATTCATTGGCATTTATTTTAAAGTCTCATCAGGTAAAATACATTTAAGCATGATTTGTTTTGTTTCTCTTAGTCATAATAAAACATAGGAAAATTTTGAGCTCCACATTAGCACAACATGATTGGTTTGCTATCGTTTTAATAATATATATATATATATATATATATATATATATATATATATATATATATATATATATATATATATATATATATATATACATACATATATATATTGTAACCATAGAGTTCCTTTGGTATGGGAGTTTTGGTATTTACAACACTAAAGAAGTGGAGATGAACTTTGATAATGGGTATGGCGTTGCCATGGCCTTGGAATGTAAGAAAATTAAAACAGAAAACATTCTCACTATATTCATGTGGCAAACTTTTTAAATTATCCACCAACACTGGAATTTAAACCATGCTCCTAGGCACAAGATTCCTCTTGTAGCATGGCTATGACAAATACCTGCCAGCCTAGCCCTTAGCAGCCATGGTCAGGAGGTGCACCCAGCTTACCCTTAGCTTAGCCATGGCCAGCACTAATGCTTAAGGCACTGCCCATAGGCCACACTAAGCCTGCCCTCAAAGCCACAGAAGAGGAGAAGCTTAAAATATGTTTAAACCAAAGTCAATTTATAATAATAAAAAAGGAGTTGCCAAATTTTTTGGGTTGTCAAATCCAGCCAATGACAACCATCTGATAGAGGCAACTACCAAAAGGTTACCACATTTTAGAGAATAATCATGTTGATGTTTGTTCTTAACACATGGGAACGGGAGGTTGCCAATTACCTGAAGTGGGAGATAAAAGGGTGTTGTGATGTCATATGCAATGTTCTAACTGGTATTGACAGTTAACCTTTTGCAATGAACATTTGTTGTGTCACTTGGTATTTTATAATTTCTTTTTAAGAAACACATATTTATAGTTACTTCCTCAATTCTTCTTTTAAAGTGGAATATAATATTTATTGTTTTGATACTATTCCAAATTAATTTTTAGTGTAACAAAAGTATGACAATCAAAACAGCGTTTGTTTTTAAATTTTACTAAGAAAATAAGATTAAAACTAACTAAACCTACCAGCTACTTTACCATTTCAAAAGTTTACATTACAGAAAATGTAATTAAAAGACTATTTCAATCCTCTCAAACGTGGTGTGCAGCACAACTGCTGGCCATTGGTTCGGACTACCATGCCCAGAACTGCAGTCACACTCGCCCAAAGCATCGTGAACATCACACGGCCATCGCCTCGAGAGACTATTCAATGCAAATAGTAAGTCACTCTCGAGATGGAAAAACTGGAGATCTTCCTTACCATTCCACAAAGACATGGCTGTGGCACAAATGGAGGCTACTATCACTGCTGCAATCAGCGGCATGTACTGAAAATCAAAGACAAACAGATAGATCAGATTGAGTTGCTACAACACTTACTGTAGCTATCCCGGCAATCACTGATCGATGTGGCGAGCTGCTATCGCTGGCTTTGTAGCGCCCTGTTACGAGATCCATTGCATCCTGGAGTCACAAAGAGTTGGAGGATATGGAGTGCGAATTCATTCACTGGTTACCTGACGGCGGCCATCATGGAAGTTGTTTAAGTAGTAACGACTGATAGCACTGATCCCATCCTGTATCAATCCAGCTATGGTGCGTTTTCCATATCTACAAGAAAAAGAAAATAAAAATCAAACTATTATGCGTTGTGACTAGTATGTAGCACCTTACAAAGTCGCCCTTGAGAGCTGGAGTTCCAGCGTATTGGTAACTTATCTCGTCTCCATGGTTGGCCCACACTGAACAAGGTGGTGTTAGAAATCTGCGGAGGCGATGATTATCACGTACATATATTGAACTGCGAGTCAAATACGTAGTGCTTGTCAATTGTTTCCGACGCTTGAAATAATCCCAAGCGTCGGAGCTGTTCCTCGAGTGCTTTCCTTCCCAGCAAGCTCTGCAAGGCAAGCCTATTACTGATCAAAGCACAAAATCAAATTGACGGCACCTGAGTAACGTTTGTCCGATCGAGACAATCAATGCAGTTGGTTCTTACGATCCCTTTCTGTTCTTCGGTCTTTTCTTTCATAGGATTCACCAAGAAAAACCTGGAATGGCATTTAACATAAGAATACATGGGAAGCGGTAGGATTACCTTTGCTGCATAAGATTCTCGGCAATTTGATCATGCAGGACCGACAAGCGGTCAAAGCGTATGTTTCCACAGATGTGATGAAAATCGAAAGGTACGTAGCTGTGAATCGTTTTTTAGTAGCGGTCGTGCCAAACTATACATACCGACGTACGTCACGTTATTATTTTTCAAGTGTTGCATCGCGTTTCGATAAGCTATGCTTAGAACTCCCTCGCTGCCTTGCTGCAGATCCCAGAAGGGAAAAGTCACACGGTTGTAAAGTCGGTGGAGAATAAGAACCTGATTAATGAGATCGACAGCTAAAACGGATCCATATCGATCGGAGAGATCGCTGAAGTGTCGTTCTACCACTGCAGACTGGCAGGACAATAAAAAAGAGGAAACTTTAGAGACAAGGAGATAAAATGAACAACGATTGATCGTACCGTATCTTCGTGGTTTATAGATCTGATTTGGGGTTTATATCTTAGATCCACTATCTGCTCCCAAAACACAGGGATTGATCCTCGAACCTACAATGTCGTAACACTTGACAGGCTTATCATACAGAAGCAACTATAGAAATTACCTGAACATAAGAAGCAAAGTATCCTCCAGCTTCCAAGATTTGTTCCGTTTCCACAAAGTTTGCAACCGAACCTTCGGGATCCGCTCCCCTGCGCCACATTCGTGTCCCTAGCAAAGTAAAATAAGAGCTAGAAATCCTGGAGACAACAAATGCACAAAGTGAAGTACCAGATCGGCGAATGGATCTCCTCGAAATCAACGTTATTTGCAACAACTGTTCTGCCAGTAAAACCTGGACGCTTTGAAAGCGTATTAGCAAGTTAAGGAAAGAAGAAAAGTAGCAAAGCTTGCACAACAGTGGTGGATATTTCCTTGAATAACCGGCAAAATAAACCCCTCTGCCTGCTTATATCTAGTCAGTAGTACACAAAAGTTGCGAGTAAGAAACAAAGTACCTTTGATTCCAGCAAGTAATCCTTCAAGTGATCATTCCATACGAACTGTGGGTCAGCCTGCAAAGTTATAATGCTTTAGAGAGCCCTGAGAATATCAACCGAGAAAGAAACCTGTTTCCAAAGTGGTTGATTTTCATGATCGTTTGTTAGCAAGTGTGTTCGCTGTGCACTTTTGGGAGGTATAAGAGAATAGGAAAAACACAAAAAGGAAAAACTCGCATACTTGTTTGTGAGATCGGTCTCATACGAGAAGTAGAGCCCAGGCGTCTGTTCGATGTGTTTGAGAAGCCCACGCAAATATGCCTCCTCGATTATCTGAATGAACAAGGAAAAGGGAGTAACATTTTTACAAACTTTAGTTTTTCACTTTACCTTGCTTGGACTTAAGTGTCGAGTGTGCTCGCATTGTAAAAATCGCATCGACTTGACTTTAAACAAAGGAGAATTGGAATAAGATCCAGCGCATTCCCTTTCGGTGACCACCAGGACATAAGTTCCTGGAAGAAGTAAACATAAACAAACGAGAGACTGACAACACTAGAGAAAGATTTACCAGTGAGCAATTTCACAGCTCCAAGAACACCGTAGACAGTGGAGGAATGGATCTGTCCCCCGCTAGCAGCAGCCGGCAGCTCCTCTGGAAGAAAACAAAACGCGAGAAATTTCGAGAAGAATCACTCGAATCTTACGAATCAGCGACGCATTGCCAGTGGCGCGATCGATCGAGAGGATCTGGAGGAGCCCGGAATGGGGCTGGAAGACGAACTGATCGGGAAGCTCCCAACATCGCATCTGGCCCGCCATGGAATGTTCACCCTAACCCTAAACCACGAGAATATTCTCTATTTAAAAAAGTATCATTAGAGCTGTTTACAAACGGTAAAAGAATATTCGCTAGAGCCCTAGCGCTAGCTATGGAGGAGGAAGACATCGAAATGGGGCAAGGCGGACGCTGGAGCCATCGATCCGGCGTCTCCTCGATGATGATTTCTTCGGCCGCCTACAGCGTCATGGGACTGCTTGTCAAGATCCTTGCCGGTGAGTGAGTGAAGCGATCGATGATCGTCCTGATATTTCGAGATTTCGCAGTAAAATCCTTCCCATCCTCGCAAATTGTGGCCGCTCGCTGTGGAATCGTGGCGCTGCTATCGGGTCTGGAGCTCCGCCGCATGAAATATCCGCTGCTGGGATCGGCCGCAGCGAGGCAGCTGGTGATCAGTCGTGCCATCGTTGGCTTTGTTGCGCTTTCTACATATTTCTACAGGTAAGAAAGACCTTTTGGAAGAAAAAATAGCGTGAAAAAAATTCTAAAGCATACAGGTGCTTCCACTGCGAGACGCTACCATTCTCAACTTCACCATGCCTGTATTCACGGCGATTCTAGCAACATTTTTGCTGCATGAAAGCTGGGGAATCTACGATATCACAGGTACTAAAGTGCACGCCTTTTTCTCTCGTTGTTTTTCTTTCAACTTGACCGGCAACGCAGGGACGCTTTTCAGCTTTTTAGGTGTCCTGCTCGTCATACAGCCACAAAATCTCGTCACAGGTCGGTGAATCGAGTCTTGAAATGTTTAATGAAGTCACAGAATTGTTTTTACAGATGCATGCTTGGGAGTAGCTATGGCAATGGTTGGAGCCTCGATGGGTGCGCTGTCATATATTATCATTCGCATGGTTGGAAAACACGGCGAGCCTCCAGCGTAGGTGATGGTTTTTCCCGTGCAAGGCAAGTGCTAAACTTTTAGCTGCAGTGTTTGCGTTTTTGCGTTTGCTGCCTTTTCAGCTCCAATGGCTTTGTTTGCCATGCTCTTCCAGGTAAGAAACATGTCATACTTTTAGCAAGCAATTGACGAAATCGTGCAGGGATGGAAACTTCCCGGCGTCATAGAGACTCTGGAGCTTTGTGGGGTTGGCCTCTCGGCTTATGCGGCTCAAGTAAGATACGCTGCTCTATTTTTGCGTTCTTACGAGTATGGTTTGCCAGATATTCTTAACCAGAGGCTTGCAGCTAGAGAAAGCAGCCAAAGCAACATCAATGCAATACGTCAAGGTAAATCACAACATCCAATCAGCCTGAGCTGCGTATAATTCTTTCTGATTCCACGCAGGTTGTGTGTAGCTACGTTCTCGGGGTGGTTTTCCTTGGAGAGAGACCATCGTTGCAGGGTGCAATTGGAGCAGTTTTGATTACATGCAGCGCAGCATTTGTTTCTGGGAAGGAGAGTACAAAAACTCATCCCAAATAGCACGAAGAAGTTCTCAGGAGAATGAAGCCGATCGCCGCGACTGTCACCAGGAACAGCAGCATGCGGCAGCAATCCGCCACCAAAGTTCGTCGTGGATCCCCCTCAGCAGTGGCTGCAGAATCGTGGCTCTGCAAGAATCAAGCGAAGCGAAGCTAGTCTAGAAGAAGCAAGAAACTGGAAACTACCCGAGCTGGTGGTGCCTCTCGCCTCGGACGATGGTGGTTGCTCGCCTCCGCTGCAAGCAACGTGAAAATCGATCAGATCCAAGAAAGAGATGGAATGATTTGGGTCGTCGAGAAGAATGCCTGGCAGGGCTGCCGATTGCAAGCGCAGGAGCAGCCTGAGAGCGGCGTTGGAACGCCGGAGGGCTGCCATTCCTTGCCGCTGCTGCTCGCTCATTCTCACGCGGAAGATGATTTGATCCAACGGTCAACGCACACTTGGCTATATCTCCACCATAGGGCTCTCGGACTAAGATTTTGTGGGTGGAAGTGGAGGAGAACCGATGGAGGGTGCCAGTTTGGTTCGTTTCCCTTCCAGTTTTGTTCGCTCGAGCTGGACAATTCCCAGCCCACGGGGGATTGTCCTCAAGGTAAGCAACTCTCTTTATCCTTTCTGCATTGCTTCTAACTTTCGATTCATCAGAGGCATGGAGTTAAGCTCTGCATTTCGTGCCGGTCAGAGTCACCTGAGGTACTTCTACTTGTCTAGTCGTAAAGCGTGTAAACATTTTCTTCGTTTGTCTATACTAGACGATGGTTGTCTCCATAACAGGTGCCACGGGATTTATTGGAAGAAGATTGGTACACAGGCTAGCTTCGGGTCTGTTGTATTTTATGAAGACATGTCCTTGAAGATAATGTTTTCCTTGGTTTTTCCAGATGGACACAAAGTCCGAGTTCTTACGCGTTCCATTTCGAAGGCAGCTGATCTTTTCCCGGCAAGGGACTATCCGACCGTTGAGGTATCCTTAGAGCGTGATCTGGAGAAATGCATTCCAGGATCGACTGGAGTTGTCAATCTTACTGGGACACCTATCAGCACTCGCTGGACATCGGAGGTTCGTTTCTCTCTAGCCTTTCTGTATCCACATTTGCTCAAAAGGTTACAGGTGAAAGACGAGATCAAACGAAGCAGGATAAGTCTCACCACAAAGGTACTTCCTCGTTTTCTTCTTCAAACAAGACACGCTTTCTTTCAGCTTGTTGAAACCATCAACACTACTCCAAAAGAACTACGTCCCAAGGTTTTAGTGAGTGCTTCCGCCGTGGGATTCTACGGAGCAAGCGAGACATCTACGTATGACGAAACGAGTCCTTCGGGAAATGATTATCTCGCCGAAGTACGTATACGTAATTTAATCATTGTTTCATACTTATTTTCTCTGCTGCCGTGTGTTTGTCAGGTTTGCCGGGAATGGGAAGCTGCCGCAAGCAATGTTGATGGCAGTGTAAAGCTTGTCCTCCTTCGCATTGGCATTGTACTCGACAAGGAGGGTGGCGCTCTAGGCACGTATAATATTTGAAAATGGCTGTTCCTTAGTTATTGTTGCCTGATTCTGTTATTGGCACGCAGCAAGCATGGTCCCATTATTCAAAGTTTTTGCTGGCGGTCCTATAGGCTCTGGAAAACAATGGTGAGATTTCTCTCCTGAATTTGTTCTTCTAAATGTGGAGAAATCGCTGCCAGGTTCTCGTGGGTGCATCGCGAGGATTTGGTGTCACTGATAATTGAAGCGCTAACGAATCCAACCTACAAAGGTAAATAACCAGTTTCATCGTTTTCTATTCGGCTGCTTTGTGGTGTACCTTCGTACAGTAGATTGCTCGGCAAAGTTCTTACAGCCGTAACTTGGAAGTTCTTGCGGAATGTAACGCCGTTTGGTGTGGTTTGGTCAGGTGTAATCAATGGGACAGCCCCGAATCCAGTCCGAATGGCCGAGATTTGTGACACTCTGGGAAGAGTCTTGGGACGTCCGTCATGGCTCCCTGTTCCTGAGATTGCTCTCAAAGCAGTACTTGGAGAGGGTGCGAGTGCGGTAAGTAGAATCTATCTCTCCCTAAAGATTCACCTTTTCAATGACAACAACAGGTTCTCGACGGTCAAAGAGTGGTACCAAAGAGAGCTCAAGAGCTCGGTTTCAAGTTTAAGTACCGCTACATTGGGGACGCTCTGAAGGCAATCTTTGCTTCCTAGAAAGGCAAAGGACGGACTCTTATTCCTCGTCGTTCTTTCTTCGTCGTCACTGCTGTGGAGCTTGCTACCGCTGCTGCTTTCACCACAGCTTTTTCACCACCAAACGAAGCAGTCACAGCTGGCCCGTGGACGTACGTTTGGCAGCTAGTAGACAGGAAGGAGCAGTCCACACAAGGCTAGTTCCCTGCCCAAAGACATGTACCTGACAACGCTGGTGGACAAGACACTGTTGCAGCCAGCAGGCTTTGAGATATGTGAACTTCGTAGTTCCAGGTCCCTCTATAAGAGCTCGAGCAAGGTATGAGAATGCAAAGGAAAATTTTCTTTTCTTGATAAAAGAGACTCGCGTGCAATTGCTAGATTCAAGTCCGATATCTCAACTACAGGGTGCAGTGTAAAGCTTCGTCCTCGTTCGTTCGAACTGGCAAGGATTATCAAAGAAAAAGATTGGCTGTTAGAGTTTGTGAGGACTGATCACTGTGATTTCAGTTACTGGCATGCATGCAGCAAGCAAGCAGGTTTCATTATTCTAAAGTTTATATCCCGGCAGACGGTCCAATTGCCAGAGGTAACGTAAAAGCTTGTTCGTTTAAACAGTGGAGAGTTTGGCAGATTCTTTCTTAACAAAGTGGTCTCTTATTTATGGTAACACTTGAGCTTGATTTTTCTTCTTCTTTCCTCATGCTACACACCACTGTGTCTCTTTTGTTCTTCAGGTGTCTTATCCTGAACGTGAATGGTCACTCCAGCTTGAATGCTATGCGGTAACGTAGCTACCAGTCCATTTCATTTCCTTCCTTCTTTCGACGTCTTAACATCCCTCTTACAGCTTGCTTTCAACAACGACAACAACAGCTTCTAGACGCGGTCAAAAGAGCGGCAAATTTCGCTCCGGGGCTCGACTTCGAAGTTGTTTTAAAGTACGGTCTACACTCCATTGGCGGAAGGAGCACCCCTATACTTCGTTCGTCATCGGCCTGTGAGAGACGAGACGACGACCCCTGTCGTGGCGCTGCTGCCGCTGCTGCTGCTGTTCTCTCGAGCACCAAAACGAATCAGTCCCCAGCGCTAGCTGGTCCTTGTGACGTAGCACACTTGGAAGTTAGTACTCAGGGAGACCAGTCCGCACAGATAAGATAACTTCCTTACTTCCCATGGCTCTGATCTGACGCTGTGGAGGAACAAGTCCCCAGGAGAAGACTTTGAAATATGTGAAGTTCCAAGCTCCAATCCTCCAAAAGTGCTATAACTCGGAGAGCCAGGTATGCGAGTTCATGAATGAAAATCTGGAGCTGACTAGTGGTGTTTTTTTATTTAATCTCCTCCAGCAGCTTTAAAATACATATACCGTCATGTGGAGGAACACTACTACCCAGCTGCGGTGCTGCTGTAACTTTCACGGGAGCGGAGGAAACACTAGTTTTCTCGTGAGTTTGAACGCCCAGCTCCGCAATTCCATGTGCTGTCCCTGCTAGATTCACTTGAAACACGGCTGCGATTAAGGTATACGATGAGAGCTGACTGACTCCAGTTACATCAATCACACCTCGGTTTAAACTCTCGAGCTTTTCAATTTGTTTTCTTGTCCTCCCTCTCTCTTTCGAGTCTCACGCGTCTCGATTGGATGGATTGACTGATCTTGCCTCTTTGTTTCATGATCATTTGGTTCTCACTCTCTCTCTCTCTCTCTCTCTCTCTTTTGTATCAGCAACACCATCGCCCGATGCGAAGAAACGCCGAGAGAGGCGAAGAAGTCGCCTCCGGCATGTTCCCGGTTTGCCGGATGTAGTCGGCTCTTTGAGCCGTCTTGGCGGCCTGTTCTACTCGCCGGGACTCGGCCGCGGCTCGCAGATCCTCGGCCCTCCGCCGCGCAATCGCCAGCTTGTTCATGAGCTGCTCGTGAGAGTGCGATCGCATTCGCTCCACTTTCACCTGGAGAGAAAGAATCAGATCAATTAAACCACTCTGCGCTACTCAGGCAGAAAAGATTCGACGATGAAAGAGAGAGACGAAGAACAACTCCTAGAAACTTGAGCACTTGCTAGCTACGTACGACCAGTCAAGAGGAGAAAAAAAAAGAAAGAAAAGAAACCGTAGCTCTCGTCGCCTTGAAACAAGCAAGCATTTTCTCAGAGGAAGGAAGAAGATCTTACCTCGATTCGACGCATCTCGGCCTCGGCTTTGGCCTTCTCGTGGTTCTCCCACGCCACGATCTTGGACTCCTCCCTCTTATACCTGCAAGAAACCAAAAACAAAGAAAGGTGGCGGACAATGAAAATCAAAGTTAGCGATGGTTGTCTACCTTGCCTCGTACTTGGCCTTCTCCGCTTCCTCCCACGCCGCCGCCCTCGTCTCGAGCACATTCCTCTTCACCTCCTCCAGATCGATGTTCTTGAGGCACTTGGAAGCATCCTCCTCCTCCTCCTCGCGCGACGCCCAGGCAGCGATGTTTGCCTTGCCCAGCTGCGCTCCCAGCGCTCGAATCTCCTGCCTCGTCTTGTGCTTCTCCGACAGCACCAGGTGCTCGCTCATCCCGGGCGTCTGGCTGCCGCTGCTAATCCCCGCCGCCGCTACTCCACCGCCACCTTCGCCGCCGCCACCACCACCACCATCGTCGTCAATGGTGGCTGTGATCCGCCCGGGCGTGGAGGGCCGAGAGGATACCGGGCTCCGAATGGTCGGGGTGGTGGCTCTTATCGGGGTGCCCGTTCTCGACGGCTCCTGGCTCGCAATGGGCGTCATCTCAGTCCCCATGTCGCGCATCGACACCGACCTCAGCCCCGGCGGCGCTACGTACGACGTAGCGGGGTTTGCTACGCCGCCGCCGCCGCCTCCGTTACCCCCGGGGCTCTGGTGCTCGCCCTTGGCGCCCGGATGATCTAAAGTTTCAAAGATCTCCACGTTAGAAATGCCAAGTAAGAAGAGTTCTAAAGCTGGATGGGAGTTCTCAGTTCGTTCAAAGCTGGAAAAACTAAGAAGAAACTAAGTCTAGAGCTGGAAAACTAAGAAACTAAGTTGGAAAGGACCAAGGAAGAAGTGCTCGAAGAGTTCTAAGTTCTTTCAAAGCTGGAAAACTAGAAAACTAAGTTGGAAAGGAGAGCTAGAGCTGGAAAAACTAAGAAACTAAGCTGGAAAAGAAGCACTCGAAGAGTTCTAAAGAGCTAGAGCTGGAAAACTAAGTTGGAAAGCTGGAGAACTATGAAAGTTTCGAAGGAAAGAAGAGAGTGATCTTACCTGAGAAGTCCGAGGTGGGCTTCTCGGTCCGGAGGGCCGGCTTCGAGAGATCATCGTCCACGGCGTCGTCGATCGCGTCCTGGGCCAAGTTGGTCACCAGCTTGAGCTTGGCATCGTCGCAAGCCAGCTCGTGGAGCTCCTCCAGCGGGTAGCGATCGAGCGAGCTCATCGATCGCGTCTTCACAGGTCCTCCTCCTCCTCCGCCGGGGCTGGGCATGAAAGAGAACTTGTACGCCGCGGGGCCATCGATCTTCTTATCGTCCGGCGGTGGCATCATACCGCCGGCGGCACCGGCGGTACCGCGCGGTGGCTGCCCGAGCAGCGCGGCCTTCTTGCTCGCATTGATAATGACGTGATTGGGGATCGAGGACAGCAGTTGCTGCATCTTGGGCGCTGCCATCATCCTGCTCTTGATCGCCGCTCCATCTGACGAGACGAGCCACTTCTCGGCGTCGTCCCACTTCGAGGGAGCTGGCTTCAACATCGATCGCGCGGTAGTGGTGGCGCCGCCACCGCCGGAGCGCTGCTGTGGATCTCCTCGGCTGTTAAAATCAAAGCTGGAGACGCTGGATGTGTTCTCCAGGCTGCTGTCGTAGTCCGCGGATTCCTCGTCGGTGGTGATCCGGTTCTCCTGCGACCCCGGCTGCGCCGCTGTTCTTCCGCCATTCTTCTTGCCCCCACCGCCGCTGGCCTGGAGCTTCATCACCTTGAGCAGAGCTGCGTCGGGCTTTGGCGTCGACCATCCATAGCCATTGCTCTCGAGCGCTACTGGAGAGGTGCCTAGAGAAAAATTTGGAAGATCTCTCACACCCGTAGATCGAGAAGAAAAGAGAGAGAGTAGAGTTTTCTATACCTTTGAGGAGGAGAGATTCTGATGCGTGGCGGCTATGGATTCCAATCAGCTCCTCTCGTGTTCTTCCTCCTGCCAATCAATCACCACCCAAAACACGATTTTGGGCGAAGGTACGTGAGCATTGGATTCTCTTTCGCGTTTTCTCCCACCTTCGAGGAGTAGTGCGTGATGCTTGGGACTCATGGCGACTTGCTTGGTCGATCCCTCCACCATTTTGCTCGACGATTGCTGCTGCTGCGAGGAGGAATCAATCACCTCCACGGACATTGCTCGTTCCTAGACACGGATCTATCGCTGGTAAGAGAAAGAGAAAATGGAATCGGTCCATACCTTGGCTCCCAGAGAGCCTACATTGGCCCCTCGCTCGAATTCCAAGCTCGCGTCTCCAATTCCCTCGATTGGGCAATGGAATAGTACGTAGTCACGGGCGCCAGCAGAAGAGAGACTTAAGAGCGAGAGAAAGAAGAAGAAGACGAAGAGCTTTCCAGCGATGGAGATGGAAGCAGCATTGATTTCTCTCCTGGCTGCTAGTTTTCCTCCTCACGCTCTGTTGCTCTTCACCTGGAAAACGATGGCGAACGAACTCGAAACACCCACAAACCTACCGAGAAGAAGAGAGGAAGAAGAAAGAACGAGAGAGGAAAATGGAGGAAGAGGGCGATTGGGAGGCGAGCGCCCAGTGGCGAGATCGATCGCGCGGGAGAGGAGTGGCACGGAAAAACGGGATTTTGCGCGAGAAAAATGGGATTTTGGATGGGAAGAGAAGAGCTCCCTCCCACCTCTTTAGATAGATAGAAATGGAGTGGTGGAGTGGAATTCTTTCTCACAAGATTACACACTCTCACACATAGACCCTCGACTGACTGCCTCGTCTCTGACTCTCCTCTGGCAGACAAAACAAATCTCAGGACAGAGCCTCCTTGCTGGCTCCAAAATTATTCTAGGGAGCAAATTAAACTCCGTACCGCCGGCGTCACTTCTTGTACCGCGCGGCACGGGCTGTAAGGAGCGCGCGGTACAAATGTTTTCAAATCTCCTCCACCGTACAATTACCAGCGGCACCGTAGCCTATCGTACACGCCGCGCGGCACCGTGCCGCGGGCGTCACTTCACTCGAGCCGTGCGGCACGCCTGGCCAATTAAAAAACTTTAAGATCAAATCGCGGAGTCAATGACTGCGTTGCTTTCCATTAAGGAATCGCGGATTGGGTTATGATTTTTCTTTGTCTTGTGATCGCGAGATCATAGCATCATCTCCCTCCAAATATTTATTTGGCTTTGTGGATATACTTGTGGTTCTAGTTGGAAGATTGGGGGTTTAGGGTTTAACCCCAAGAAAATGGATGGATAGCTAGGGTAGCGATCGAATCATCGATCGATGGGGGCAGCGGCGGTGGCGACGACGACGACGCAGCTAGGCGGCGGGATTGGCATCGGGAAGCCGCTAGTGGTAGGATCTAGCAGCAGCAGCAGCTTCGCGGGCAGGCGAGGGTTTCTCGGCAGCAATCGCAAGGCCGCGGGAGGATTTCCAGGCGGCGGCAAGAATGCGGCGCGTGTCCACTGCGTGGTAGCCTTCGCGGACCCGCGCTCGCGGAATCTGGACATCAAGGAGGAGATTGAGCGGCGGTGGGAGGCGCTCCAGGAGAATCCTCTCGAGGGCGTGCCGTTCACGGTGGAGGAGTTCGAGGAGGCGCTGTCCAAGTACGAATTCGACCACAGCGTGGGCGATGTGGTGAAGGGGACGGTGTTCGTCACCGACAAGCTGGGCGCGCTGGTGGACATTGGCGGCAAATCCATGGCCTTCCTGCCCATGGATTTGGCGTCGGTGTTCAAGCTCAAGGATCTGCGTGTCATGGGTCTCTTCTCCGGCGTCCAGGAGCAATTCGAGGTGGTCCGCGAGGACGAGGAGAACAGCCGCTTCATCGTCAGCCTCCGCGAGATGCACATCAAGCTCTCGTGGGAGAGGCTCAAGCAAATCCAGGCCGAGGACGCGATTTGCAAGGGCGTGGTGGTGAGCAGCAACCGCGGTGGCCTCTCGCTCCAGATCGAGTGCCTCAAGGCATTCCTTCCATTCTCGCAGCTCGCCGGAGGCCTCAACCAGGAGAATCTCACAGGAAGGGAGCTCCCAGTGAAAGTTCTCGAGGTGGACGAAGAACAAAAGAGGCTGGTGGTGAGCCACAGGAAAGCTCTAGCAGAGAATCAAGCCACGCTGGGCATCGGCTCGGTGGTGGTGGGAACCGTCCAGACGATCAAACCATACGGCGCGTTCATCGATCTGGGAGGACTCACTGGGCTCTTGCACGTAAGCCAGATCAGCCACGACCGGATCACCACCGTGGAGAACGTCCTCTCGCCGGGTGACAAGCTCAAAGTCATGGTTTTGAGCCATGACAAGGATCGGGGGCGCATAAGCTTGTCCACCAAGAAGCTGGAGCCGACCCCTGGAGATATGTTGCGGAATCCATCGCTGGTGTACGAGAAGGCGGACGAGATGGCGATGACGTTCCGGCAAAGGGTCGCGCAGGCCGAGGCTGCTGCTCGGGCCGAGGACTTGCAGTTCCAACAAGGAGCCGGGAGATTTGGCTTGAGCGCCGATATCCTCGGAGTGGAGGAAGATCTCCCGGCGGCGGCGGAGCCAGCGCCGGAGGAGGCAGCAGCGGACATTTTGTCGACACCTCTATGAAAGTAAGCTCTGTTCTTCCTTTCACTTCTCTTCTTCACTCTGTGTTAATGCCACCACCTCACTTGTCCAAAACTTCAGTGTATTTTGAGCCGAGTCGAGTACAGTACCTCTACAATGATGCTAGCTCTAGCTTGTGAACTAGAACGCCGTTCTTGGCCTGAGAGTTTCGAGCCCATCTTCCCAGGCGAGGTTCCTGTACAGTACTTTGTGTTTGAGTAAATCAATGGATGAATAGAGACTTACTTGGCCAACTCCTGCTAGTAGGAAGCGCCCGCTACGAGCAAACGCTAGCGCGTTAACAAATCCTTTCTGCGAAGGTTGAAAGAGGGTTGATCGATCGTCGTGAGAGGCGAAAAGGATTAAGAAACTTACGGCTGGTAGAGTATGAAGAGGCTTGAGACTTTTATTCCCATCTTCTACTGACCAAAGTTGGATTTTGCCGTCTCCAGCTCCACTTGCTACTAGATCGCTACCTCGGCAAGTAGCCACTGCCCCGACCCATGCCTCAATTGCTCCACACGACGCTGGTAGCGATGTCTCACCTGGAACAGTCGAAAGTTAGAACTTTCACAGTGAAAAGAGAGATCCAAGGAGTATCACCGTTCCTGTGTTCTTCCACCTTTGGCCCATGCGCACTTTTGGCTATATACACGGGCTTCTTCCTCAATGCACTCCAGAGCGCGACGGAGCCATCGTCAGCACCAGACAAAAACTCTCCGTTTGTTATACAGCAGCACGACTCGATCGATGCCGTATAGCCTCTAAAGACGAGCTGCGTTTCTTCAGGAACCTGTGCCACGAAATGAACTGTAAGAAAAATTAAGTACGAAAACTCAAAGCAGCCAGCGACATACCTTCCAAAGCCTGAGAGTCCGGTCCCGTCCAGCCGAAAGAACACGTTCTTGCCTTAAGCAGTCGACGGACACAAGCTCGGATTGGTGACCAAAAAGAGTGTCCATGTACGATCTGTCCTCGGCACTCCAGAGCTTTAAAGTCCGATCAGAGGAGCCGGAGAAGAGTTGTGTCGTTCCTTGTCTAAATGCTAAGGAAGTGATAGCACCCCTGTGTCCTGGAAACGCCTATAGTACCAATCAGGATTTTAAAATCAAGCGTCAAAAGAATCACCCACCTGTATGTGTGCTTGAGTTCTCACGTCCCACAAGTGCACTGATCTATCGGGTCCTCCGCTGGCGAGATATCTTCCGCTGGAATCTACCGCGAGCGCAAGGATTCGGCTGCTGCTGGGCTTCTTGCCAGCTTCCGCTGATTTCTCAGGTTTTGGTCGCTCGTAGCGAAAACACTTGCCAGTCTCGACGTCCCATTGCAGCAGAAGTCCATCTTTGGAGCCAGAAAATCCCCACTTTTCGTCTTCGGTAAGAGCTAGAGCCGTGACTGAGAGCCTGTGCTTCCGGATCAACAAGTTTCCTTCGCTTGGAACCTCTGGCAGCAACAATCTAAGACCACAGTTATAAGTCGTTCCTGGGACGAGAGAAGAAAGCTTGTTCTCTTTACCTGGAAGCGATCTTCCTCTGGATTTTCCCACTCTCCTCTAGCTGCTCCTGGCGCAGCAAATCCGCAACAACCGAGTCCCTCCTCCCCTGTCTTTCATCCTCCCCAACCTCCTCATCGCCTTGATCCTCCTCCTCCTCGGCCGCCTTGGCCTTGAGCTTCTCAAGATAGGCCTTGGCAAGGCGTACCTTCTTCTCGTGCACAGTCTCCTCCAGATCCTCGCCATCGTCGGCTACCTCCTCCTCCCGCGCGGCATTCTCTTCCTCGCTGCTAGCGCCGTCGAAGAAATCATCCTCCGCGACCGATCGCTGCGGCTTCTTCTTCTTCCTGGCGCTGGTACCATCGCCGCTGGGGGCCCTGCTCTTGCCGGGCTTTCTCTCCGCCCGCCGCTTGCCCATGCCCTAAACCCTAAACCCACAATAAAGAAAATAGCATCTCGCGAATATACCCACAAAGAATGTGGGTTCGATCCCTCTAGGTTAGAAATTTTCCCATCTCTCGCGATGGAAGAAGGCGATGTGAGATGGGAGGAGCTGAGGCGCGAAGCTCGCAAGATCGAAGGCGACCTCGATGTCAAGCTCTCGTCCTACGCCAAGCTGGGAGGAATGCTGGCGCACGGAGGTAAGAATTTCCCTCTTGCGATCTAGGATCTCTTGCCAGACTCAGTGTAGCTTGGTAGGGTATGTGGATTCTCCCTCCACCACAGACGGGCATGGCGCCGGGGCCGGCGATGTGGCCTACAATTCCATGGAGATGGAAATCGAGTCGCTGCTGGAGAAGCTCCTGGATCTCAACGATGCAATGAGCCGCTGCGTCGCGTCGGCGACGTCGACGGCTTCGATCAGCCAGAAGCTCGCGCGGCATCGCGATATTCTCCACGAGCTCACCCAGGTTCTTTGGATTTTGTTCTTTGTCCTCGATCAGACTAGGAAAGCTTTCAGGAATTCCGAAGAACAAGAGGGAATATCAACTCCATGCGAGAGCATGCCGATCTCTTGTCATCGGTCCGGAGCGAGATCAGTGAATTCAAGGTTCCTTTCGATCAAAAGCTTGATAGAACATTTTTGTGATAGGAAAAATCATTGCAGGCCTCTGGGAATGTTTCGCCGGGGCCAAGTCTACTCCGAGAGCGTGCTGCTATCCACGGAAGCATCTCCCAGGTAAGAACTTGCCGACTTTAACGTGACAACTCGTGACCATCTCCACAGATCGACGATGTCATCGGCCAAGCTCAAGCGACCAAGGCCGCTCTCTCGTTCCAGAGGTCGACGTTTCTCGAGATCCAGGGCAAGATGAAGCAGCTCAGTGATAGATTTCCGATCGTTCGAAGCCTTCTTGGTAAGCCCGAAACACAAGCTTTCGATCACTCCTTGACTCTCTCGATCGCTCTCTTTCACCACAGGTGCTATCAAGAGAAAGCGTTCCAGAGATACGTTGATACTCTCGGCCGTGATCGCATTTTGCCTTCTCTTCTTGCTGATTTACTGGATGGCCAAGTGACAGGAGTTTTTTTCAATGCTTTTGTCTATATAAGTTTCCAAGGCAAGCTCCTGGCTGATAATGCGAAAGCATTGTTCCTCTACAATTTGCGTGCTCAAAATTCCACGATTATAGGCAGACCTTTTCACTCCGGAGAGAATACCAGCTCACTCGTTACTCCTCAATGAAGCAGCCTATTCCATGCACAAGGTCGAAATTTCGAGAAAGAACGAGGAAAGGAGAAAGATTTGTGCCTGCTGAGGATTTAGTAGCGCGAGGATCTTCTTGAAGATTTTCTCCCATGGTTGTAATCACTATAACACAATTGTAACATAATTTTTTTGTTGCAATTTGCAACCCAAAATCATGATGATTGGGAGAACACTAAGCAACACAATAATAATATTCCAATTTGTTGGTTTGAATAACATAACAAGTTGTCCAAGTTCTCATAATAAAATGCATTATGAAAACTTATTACCATTAGTATTAATATTACTTTTGCATTCTAATTATTCTCTTCTTTCAAAAAAAAAAAACAAAACAAAACAAAAACTGGACTCAATGTCCATGAGGAATCTATGGATGGAAGAAGGATCTACACTAAGAATATCTTAGAATATTTAAGCATATTTTAGATATATTCGCTACAATCTTAAGCAAACCAAAAATAAGAATGTTTAAGTTTATTATGTTACAAAAATTATGTTGCAATTCCAACATTATATGGTATTAAAAAACATATAGCATTATATTGTATAACAAAGTAAAATGCTAGTTTTACTATGTTGCATAAAACAACACTATATAACATATCAAATAATTGAGCTTGCTTAAGCTTCATTGGTTTGCTGGTTTATTATTAATATTATATCACACTAATAATATTAATAAACATTAAGATGTTTATGCACTTTTTGCTTTCACTTTTTGCTGATTTACTGGAGTTTTGTTTCCATAATATTGTCTGCTTGGCTGATGATGCGAAAACATTGTTCCTCCACAATATCCTTACTACAGTAAGTTTGGAACTCTAGAATCACAATCTCTTTTCAAAGATTGCAACCATTGATCTTATTTTAGCAGATAAAAATTTCAGCTATGTGCTCTTTGCGGATCAGATTAGTGAGGGATCGAGCGTAGTTTTTCTTTTTCCTTTTTCTCTGTTTTATCTGACTTCTCCAGTGCTGAAAAGGTATTCTGAGAAGCAGGAAAGAAGAAAAAGACTAGATCTTCCATCAAAAGTACTTCTCTCCAGGGATTTGTAAATACTCTATTGTGGTAAACTGCATTTTTTTGCTTGTCTTTTTTCCTCTGACTTCTCCAGTGCTGAAAACGTGTTTTGAGAAGCAGAAAAGAAGTAAAAGACTAAAGCTTCTATTTCTCTCCAGGGATTTGTAGATACCCTATCGTGTATCCACAAAAACACATGAACTTGTCTCTACTTTGAAAGGCCCACTCGAGCAGTGAACTCTCCACTGCTTGCTACTCAAACTATAGCTCACTAGATTCTCTACACTACCCTCTTCATCAGCCATCACCACCCACAACACATCCACTCCATCAAAACAATATCCCTTGCTCGACGTCCTCCTTGCCCCAACCGGGCAGTTGGACTCCACCAGCCATTCACCACTCTTCCATACAAATCTCCACACCACTATTGTATCTAAAGCTTGCAACTCAACGCTTCTCGTCCCAACATCGATAACAAAGAGATGACCGCCACAGTAGACCATCTTTCCACCGCCGGAGCCCGTGCAGTTATCGGGCCACCTTGACACAGTCCATGCCGTTGACTGGTCAAGCAAAGAGTAGCGAACTATACGGGACAAGAACTGGGACAGGGTGGCCCTATCTATTTGGTCCTCGTAATAGATGGTGTCACCGGCAATGGTGTGGTAGGCACGGTCATGGCAAGGAATCTTGGCTGCCTGGAACCGGGGGATGCACGGGGCTGGTTTACGTGTGGACCAATGACCTGGCCGGCTCGAGTCGTAGAGACTTACGTAGCTTGTGTGGCCGTGGATGGAGATGACCTGGAAGGCATCGTGTGGTCGCCTTGTGAGGAAATGCACGGGAGCTACTGCCATGTCGGAGAGCCACATTGGCGGTAAAACCACGTCAGCCCAGCCACCTCCCAGCGGGCTGCCCACCAACACCCTGCCCGGGCACTCGGACTTGGCAAGCGCCACGTCACCGGCTGCCCCAAGCAGGCGCGAGGCTCCCACTGGCAGGGAGCAAGCGTCGGGCAGCGCTGCCCAGAAACCGTGGCACGTGTCAAAGGCGATGAGCTGGCGGGAGTTCCAGGCGTTGAGCACCACCAGCGTGGCTGGGGGACGAGTGGAGAGCTTGGAATTCCAGGCGCGCGACACTGCCCGGGCTGTCATGCGCGAGGCGAGAGGGATGCGTTCCAAAACTAGCCTTTCGAGGTCCCTATCTAGAAGCCCTAGCTCTCGATTCTCCTCCTCATCGTATGGAATCGCTACGCGAGATCGCTGCTGCTCCTGCGGAGAACTACAACTGTCCTGCCCACAACTTTGGACCCTCTTTCGCGGTGCGTCCGGCGGGAGAAAAGATTTTCTACCCGGGGCATTGATCGCTGGCGGCTCCGAAGCTTTGGGAGTCTTTCTCTTTGGTGGATGCTTCCAGACGAGTTTAGTCCTACTTAGTGGCTTACGCGCCATCGTCTAGCCCTAATAGCCTCGTATCTTATATACTCGCACACTGACCTTTATGGATTTCTTCAGATTAATAAATTCTTAATTATCATATATACAACTATTAGTTTCGCAAGCTTATAAATTACTTTGCGCCTCTTCCCTGTTCTGCCTCACACAAAGAACTACCTTGTAAGCTTGCCAAGCCCGAATTCAACAATGCAGCTCCCTGAAACAGGTCAACTTCGATATAATCAATCATTGTTGAACTTTACTAGGAATTGTCTATAGAGCCAATCAACAGCAACTATCTCATAATAGTATGGATAAGCTAATTTTGAGCTCGACCTCCAGGTATACACCAGAAACTTAGAACACTTCTAAGTCTTCTCTTGACACAAACGCAAGGAGAAAAGATTCCCGTTCTGGAGAAGCTCTGAAGTTCTGAAGAAAACCCTGCAATTACACCTAGTGAGAGCCAGGCGGATAATGCAGGGTAAAAATCATAGAGCTCCAGCTAGACAACATGGCCGGCTCAGGCACGCACTCGCCTCCAGATCTGGCGCTGCTCTCTCTCGGCATTGGCACGTCTTTGAGCGAAACATGAAGTTTGGCCCTGAAGGTAGCCTCTGGCAAAGTTCCAGAGCCTTAAAACTAGAAACAAAGAACAATTATTATACGAAGAAAGGAACATTACTAGATAACGAAGTTTGTTTTTCCAAATCGTCTATCAGTACTATTTCCCTCTAAAAGCTCCGAGTCTTTAATTTTTATTGAGTATCTACAAAAACACATGAATGCGTCTCTACTTTGAAAGGCCCACTAGAGCAGTGGACTCTCCAGTGCTTGCTACTCAAACTATAGCTCACTAGATTGTCCTCTTCATCAACCATCACCACCCACAACACATCCACTCCATCAAAACGATACCTGTTGTTCGTCCTCCTTCCCCAGTTGGGTGGAGGTGTTGGTTCATTAAGTTGGATTTTGCCTCTTACTAGAAGTGTTAATGAAAAAAGATGCTACATTATCTAGAAGGAATAGATTTAATATATTAGAAGATATAGCAAAACACAGTAAATCAACAAACATCAAACTCCAAGTGATACATGATAGAATTTAGAAATAGATAATGAACTACTAATATAAAAAACATTTATTATAGATATAAATCATAATAATAAATTTAATAACACGCCATTTACAATTTACCAAACCAGTGATATTGAGCTGACATATTATATTTGAATCTCAATTTATAGCTGTCAGCTGCATGACATTTTTGACAAAATGGTTAATTGATAGACTAACAAGTTAAATTTTTTATCCCTTGATTTTCTACTCACTTGTGGATCCCTTGAGCATATGCTGTCTTCTCTACCTATGCTTGATTTTCTACTCTCTTAATCTATTAAAATAAACATTGTCATAGAAGCTTTCATTAAATGCATGTTAAACGATTTATAATATACAAATATGCTGGTTGGAAAGCAAGAGATTGCAATTCTATCTATCTGAGATCTAGGGAATTGCAAGTCCTTTTTCATTTAATGCTATATGACAAATCAACTGTAAACTAGTAAGCAATCACTTTATAACCTACGTTTAGAAGACATTGGGTCCTAGCTAGCGAGTGCATCTCTCCCAAGCGTTTTAGAGCTCCAGCTCCTGTTTGAGTGCACCTCATGACACGCTTACCTGAATTGAAACCTTTAGAGAATTGACACCTTCATGGCAATGCTTCTTCTTCCTCTTCCTCTTCCAGGTACACCCTCATGGCGACGAGCTGCGGAGGGGATATGGCCATGACGAAGTCCTTGCTCTTGTCATTACCCCTGTGAAGGTCATCGTAGGAAACGTCGGCCGGTGCATACCTGACATGGATCACATTGGCCTTGATCATTGCTTGAAGCTGTGCTCGGGCCTCATTCACGTCACCACCGAATGCCTTGCGATAGACAGTCCTAATACCAACCGCCCCGTTGTTCTGCAGGATGAGGCGCGCCACAGACTTAAACTTCGCCCCATCCCAGCCGAGTTCTCCCTTGATAGCCTGCGCCCCGGTCTCCACGCTAGTCTTTGCCGCGTCTACCATGCCGTCTAGAACCGCTTCCATCTGCTTCCTGCGCTTGAAGACGCCCGTGACGAGGTTCGCTAGATCAAGCGGGCTGCCACCGCAAACTGCATAGATCCTCTCCCACTCCTCATCAGTGACATCTGGTTGCTGGACCTCGCGCTCCCTGAGTAGCCTGCAGTAGAGCTGCCTCGCATGCTCCTTGCTGAAGTGGCCAACGCCCAGCGGAGTCCACTGTGACGAATGGACGTGCCCCTGAAACCACTGCCGGAAGAAGTCGTCCGAAGTAGACATGATGACCACGGCTCGATGGTCTTGTTTGGTCATGGCGACAAAACCCTGCAGCAGAACGTCCAGATCTTTATCGTCCCATCTCTTGAGCTTGTCCACGTCGTCAATGATGAACACGGGCCTGATATTACAGTCGGCATACGCCAAACCTGTGAAGGCGGCCATGACCGAGGCCAGATCCGACTGTGGCTCCTTCTTGAGGACACTGGCGAGGCTCATTGCATCCGAACTGACACCCTTGAACGTGATCTTCAGGCTCGTAGCCGCGGCTGTCCCCAGCTTCCAAAACCACGAAAGCCAGGTGCGCAGCTGATTGCCAATCTTCGCTGCGGCCAGCGCGGGAGTGTGCACGTCTGCAAGCCTCATGTCGAGATAGAACACGGGCATCGTGGCCTTGAGGCGTTGATCAGCCTCCCACAGACTCTGGAGGCGATGCAGGAGGGCACTCTTGCCTGAGTTGGCGGGGCCGATGAGTACTATCATGTTGGGCATGGCACCCACCTCCAAAAGCGTCAGCAGCTCCTGCATCTCCCTCTCCCTGTCGAAGAACAACTCGTCATCCATAGACGCAGTGGGGGACGAGCAAAGATCCTAATACAGGAACTGTTTAGGGTACTTTGGGAAGATAATATCCTCCCACCACCTTTCCTTTGTCCAAGACTTCCTTTGTGAAGAGAACATCTCCCGGTCTCCAGATGATTCCGACGCCTCCCAGTGAAATGTCACCTGGCGGCATTGCTCGAATTTTCAGCCCTGTAAAGAGCATTTCAATGTCAAACCAGGAATTTGGCAGACCTCCTGATTGAGTTTCCGATAGTACATGTAGTTTTCGCAGCTCGTCAAAATATCTGACTAGAAAGATGGGAGGATTGTGAATGTGGAAGTTCCAGGATATTAGCCTTCAACTCTCAGACACACAAGCTTCCACTCACTCCTCGAATCTCTCGCTCGCTTTCAACATAGCAGGTAGGTGCTAAAGATCGTTGATACTCTCCGCTGTGATCGCTTTTTTGCTTGAACTCTTGTTGCTGAATGGCCAAGTTGACAGCGGAGTTTGTTTCTGTCGAAGACAAGCTGGTTGATTGATGATGCGAAGCATTGCTCCTCCACGCTTTCGAACGATCGGAACTCTAACACTGAGCTGCTTCGTCTTGCTCTGGAAACGTCGGTCTCTGGAACAACTTGGTAGCTTGAGCTTGGCCGATGACATCGTCGATCTGTGGAGATGGTCACGAGTTGTGATGAAAAACTCGCCAAGTTCTTACCTCCATGGATCGGAGTAGACTTGGTCCCGGCAAAGCTGACAAAGATTTTCTATCAGAGAAATGTTCTACAGGAGAAAAGCTTTCCACGATTATACTTTGTCCAAGTCCAAAGGATCGCTGGCTAGCTCCTGCGCCAGCCTTCCTGACAATGCCAAAGGGCTGTTCCTCCTCGAAAGTGACAATGGTGCCGCGGGTGTGGCTTGAGAAGACCACGATATGTGGATTGACGGTCTCCCGGGCAACTTGGTGCTGCTACTGCCGCTGCTACTCCTGCTGATTCCGCTGCTGTTGCTCGTCTTGGGATCGAGCAGCGATGCGTGCTGTGGATTCAGCAGCAGCAATTGCTGGGTGTCTTTCGGTAGCATGTCGAAGACGACTCGCAAATCGGCCCGGAGTTTCTCCGGAAAACTCGGGGTTTGCGTCATCTGGAGAGAAGAGAGAACTTTTAGAAATGGTGTTCGAGCCTTCTGGTGTATACCTGGAGGTCGAGCTCGGCGACTAGATGGCGTAGAATAGCGTTGAAAGTCTCGACGAGCTCCAGCTCGGGCATCTTGGACACGATGGTCCGCACGTCGGCCCGGGCACGCGCTTGCCTCCAGATCCGCCGCTGCTCTCTCTCGGCATTTGCACGTCTGGATCGAAACCACGGCATGAAGTTTGGGCCACGGAGGAATCGTCTGGTGGCAAAGTTGGAACAAACCCAAGAGTGAGAAAAACTTCGAAAGATTGTAGAACCAAGTACCTGTACAAGTCGATCCAGTTGGAACGAAGCCTCTTGGCCAGAAACTTCCCGGGACCCCTGCTCGCCAGCGCGCCCAGGAACTGTTGCTCGTCGAAAGCTGGCAGAGGTGGCGGATCAACGAAAGGATTGTTTGATCCAGAAGATGGCACTGCGAAGTATGGCGCGATGGGAGCGAGAAAGTTGGTGGTGAGCTCCTCGAAGTGGCGGCGGAGGATGTCACTGTTGACGAGAGACATGGATTCGTCCATCCTTGGCGAGGATGGAATCGCGTCGACTAGCCTGTTGAGAACCGAGGTGTCCGGCTTGGTGGCCGGGGCGTGGGTGCTCCACACAGCCTGGCTATGGCGGCGCTGCGTCCAAGGCAAAGAACTCCACGGCTTCTTGTCGACGAACTTCTTGAGCTGCTGGAACTGGTGGTGGTGGTGGTGAGGATCGAGGAGGGAGACGACGCTGGGGAGTCTCTTGGAGGACGAGAATGCCGGGAGAAAGAAGAGATTGGTGACGCCGAGAAGGATGGACGACGACGCTGCCAAATCCGTGTGGAAGTCGGGGTCGTGGATCGTGAAGTAGGGGCGGAGATCCGAGCTGCATGGAATCGGAGCTAGCAGGCTGGAGATCGCTGCCACTGCCTCGCAAGAGACGGATGGAGAGGGAGCCACGACGAGCAGCGGCTCGCCGACGAGCGCGAGCTCCCAGAGCAGCCAAAGCTGCATCAAAACACCCTTGAGCACCGCGAAGAGATCCACATCGTGGAACACGATACCTTGATCGGGGAGAGGAGCCAGATTCGCGACCCGGATCACCATGTTGTTCACCACCGGGAGCTCCAATCCGGCCTGGATCTTGGGATTGGGCGGTGGCGGCGGCCAGGTGGAGGAAATTATCGAGGAGATCCTCTCCAGCGCCGCGCTGCCGCTGTCGAAGAAGAGAGGGCCGGCGATCTGGACGAGTGGCTTGAAGATGGAGCTCCAGTAGGGAAAATAGGAGAGGATGACCACGGATTTCTGGTCGCCGCCCCGGATCAACCGCTCGTCCTGGCGCTGGCGATTGAAGACGTAGCCAAAGAGATGCTTGTGATTCTTGGCGCCGCTGCTACGCGGGATCCGGAAGAAGAAGACCGAATCGTGGATTGCCGTGCGCTGCGACGAATGCTGCCGCTGGCGCTGCTGCTGCGAATCCGGGAAGGCGCACAGCGCGATGTGGGATCGCTCGAGCTCGGTGAGGCGATCGGGAGGGAAGCAGTAGTCCATCACCTGCCCTTGCTCCACATCGAAGCGGAGCGCGCAGAGAGCCACGAGCCATGGCACCATAAAGGGGAGAGGAAGTAAAAATTAGGGCTCTTGGCCGAAATTTAGGGTTCTTGGAGATAGCTCCTCGATGAAGGCGAAGAAGGAGGCCGGCGCGAAGAAGAGCGATGCCACGGCTGCGAAGAAGGGATCGGCAGCGACCAAGGCGGCGGTGAAGAAGGAATCCAAGGCGGTGAAGAAGAAGGAGGATTTGGATGAAGAAGCGGCGCCGGCGGAGCCTGCTGTGGAGGCCGTGGTGGTGTCCAAGACTGTGACAAAGAAGGCTGCTCCAAATGAGAAAGAGGTGAGCGAAATGGTGGGGAGAGTTAGCGCCAAGCAAGAGCACGAGAATGGAGTGGAAAAGACGCTGGTGGTGCAAGAACAAGTCGAGAACCAGGACAAGGAGGTGATAGAGGTAAGCTCCGTCATCCATCGCTTGGCTTTCGCCATCCAGTGAGAATGCTTTCATTGATTTCCACAGCCGGGGACTGGGAAAGTTGTGAAGAAAAGAATCGTGACGAAGAAAACAGTGGTGAGGGAGAAAAAGGTTTTCGATCTTCCGGGACAAAAGTATGAGATTCCAGAGGAGGTGAGCGTGGGTTCGTATCGTCTGGCTGATAAGTCACTCGTTGTCCTTCGCAGAGAGATCCCTTGAGAATTTTTTACGAGAGCACTCGTGAGCAAATTCCTACCAGTGAGATGGCTGAGATCTGGTACGTTTTATTTTTTCTCTCTTCATTGTGAACTAGAGCATGATGTTCCAGGTTGATGGAGCACGGGCTACTCCCCGAGGACGAAGCAAAGGCCGCTTTTGACAAGCGAAATCAACAAAAGAAGTCCAAGCAGCCATCGACTCCTGTGAAAGGTGCCTCGACGTCAACTCCAGTGAAAGGTGCTGCTGCTAAAACGAATGGAAGCTCCTCCAAGAAGCCCGCGGCTGCTGCGTCGAAATCTAAGCCCAAGGACAAGGAGCCTCCTCCAAAGTCGAAAGCGAAGGCCAAGGCAAAGAAGAGCGAAGAGGAGGAGTCTGAGGAAGACGATGAAGACAACGCTCCTGTTGCTTCGAGAGGTGCGAAAGCCAAAGCCAAGGCCAAGAAGGAAGAAGAGTCCGACGACGACGATGCTCCTATTGCTTCGAGAATGTCTAGAACCAAGTCCAAGGCAAAGACGAGCGAAGAAGAATCAGAGGAAGACGATGAAGACAACGCTCCGATTGCTTCGAGAGCTGCGAAAACCAAGGCTACGAAGAAGAGCGAAGAGGAAGAAGAGTCGGAAGACGATGATGAAGACAACGCTCCTATTGCTTCAAGAATGGCGAAGACAAAGGCCAAGTCGAAGCGCGGAGAGGAATCCGAGGACGAAGAAGACAAAGATTTTGTTGCCAAGCCCAAGAAGAGGCTGAGAACTTAGAGAGCGAGGAAGGAAGAAGCTGTGAGAAGTTCTTACATCAATATGAACTTTATTTTGTACATTGGAAGCTTTCTCTCGATCAAGCCTTTCTCGCGTTCACGAGAAACCATGAACAGGCAATGAAAGCGAGGCTACCAACGAGGAAAAACTTTGGATTTGGGTACAAGCTTAGACCACCTTGCTCGATCGGGAGGAGTTGCCTCTGGCGGATGAAGTTTGTGAGGAGATCTAGCTGCGTGTTCATGTCATGCTGGCCTCGAGCAAGAGATCTCACCTGGAAGTTTGTGAAACTTTGGGTGAAAATTATTCGCAGAGAACTTTACCTCGTTGCTCAGCACTTGGTCGTCGTTGGACCCGCTAGGAACTCGTCGAGGAGGAGTGATTATAGGGACTGCTGAAGAAGGCGTGATTAGTTTCTTCTCCAGCTCTGCGAGCCTTGAGACGAGCTCGTCGAGTTTTTCATTGACATTCGCAAGTTGCTCGACAACACGAGGATACACCTGCGAAGAAAAGAAAAGTTGGATCTTTGGAAACTTTATCACTCACTTGATCTGTCAACGGAGACTCCGATCCTCGATCGTCTTGAATTCTCTGGAGGTTTTCGATCTTCAGCGGTGGAGGCTTTCTTTCCGGCTGCTTTCTCAAGCTATCAAACACTTAACTCTGTGAATCGAGTGTTTTGAAGAAAAACAAAATGACAAACCTCGAGGTATTCCAGCTCAAGCTGTAGAAAAAAAGAAAGTTTTTGAGCTTGGAAAAACGAGAATTTCTTCATACCTTCTGCTATAAGTTTTGGATGAAACTGGACTTCCCGGAACAGTGGTAGTTTTCAAGCTTAATTTGTTCTTGAGGTCCTCCGGCAATGCCTGTTTGGACGATCGAGATGAGAAGAACACGTCGATTCTTTTCCATACCACTACTTCGGCAGTGAGTTTCTCCAGTTGTATTTGTTCTATATAAGAGCGTGGAATGTACGAGCCTTCGAGCCCCAGCTTCTTCCCGATATCCGCGACGAGCGATCGATCTTTGCCTTGTATCTGTCAAAACTTGGTGAGATACAAAAACCTCAAGAACAAAAAAGCTAAGAAAGGATCTACCTGGACATACTTTCGCTGGACTTGCTCGAGCTTGTCAATCTTGACGACGATCTTCTCAGTCTCGTCACAAAACACCCGGCTCGACCGCTTCATAATGGTGGCCATCTCGTATCCAAGAGCCATGAGGCCTCCCAAGAGCCTCACGCTCACGTCAAAAGTGATCCTTGGCGAGATGATAAAATCCTCATCGGTCACAAGTTCCTAGAGAAAAATGAGAAACATGGTCATGGTAAGTGACAAAGATAGATCTTGGAAGGAGCATTTTTTCTAAAAGACCTCGAAGATCAAACTGTATCTTCCATCGCGATTTCTCATGCGAAGATAAGACTGGCAAGTTTCCGGGTCTTCGCCTGGAGGCAAGAGATAGATATCGTAAGTATCTTCTGTTGCTTCAGTGAACTTGGAGCCAATGGCAGCTTTAATCTCTTCTTCCGTGACATGACGAGAAGACTGGAGCATCGAAAACTTTGAATCAGAAAAGGAAAAGAAAGAACGAAGGAAATCTCCAGAACCTTTAGGATGTAAGTTGGACTCTGAAATCCCGAGAAAGGATTAAACTTGTTGACTACTTTGATGTGTGCTGTTGCTAGATCCGGCTCTATGAACACCTTGTACATGGGATAAACCTGGCAACGACACAAAGTTAAGTGCGAAAAACAACAAAGAGATGAAAAAGAGAGAATTATGAAACCACTGCTGTTCACAAGAACATACATGAAACCACTGCTGTTCACAAGAACATACAAAATCACCGTTTCTGATATCTGGTGGATGATGTCTTCCGGAGCTTGGCCGGAGCGATTGATATCACGGAGAACCCGCTTGACGAGATCAAAATGGACTCCTCCGGTTATAGAGACTCGCAGATCCAGGAATGGACGTAGCTTCTCACACAAAGCATATATCCCTTCCACGATCACAATTCTCGTCGATGGATGCTCCAGACGCCTGGAAACAACGCAAGAACATACTTGGTCCTTGATCCCAATGCGAGCAAAAAGGAAGGAAAGACAACTCACCTATAGCCAACTCGACGACTGAGCTTGAAGTCATATATCGGAATGTCGGCAGAGTTCCCAGCTCTCAAGCTCTTGATGTTGTCTAGAAGAATTTCGTAGTCCACGATCCTGGGATCTATCAGCACGAAAGCAAAACAACCAAAACTATCGAATAGAAACGAAAGAACAAAGAACAACACACACCTTGTTTGGATTCTTACCATCGTAGTTCCCGTCGATGACAAGGCTGGAATCGTTGTAGTTGTCCATGCAAATGATCGCAATCCCGGGCAAGAAGCTCGCGACCTTGTCCGTGAAGACGGTCTTACCAGCGCCCGAGGGGCCGGCAACTCCCACCACAATTGTCACCCCTTCCATCTTGCGCGTGAGGAGCTGACACGCCCGGATGAAGAGAAAGAAGCCCTTGTCGAAGGAGAGGGGGTCGGAGATTGGCGCAATCTCGTAGCGATCCTCGCGGCCGCCATCGCCCTTTCTCGGCACAAGTTGGAGCTGATCCTTGAGAAGCCCAGTCCGGCGATGCGGGCTTGGCAGGAGCTTTCTCATCGACGATTCCATCCTGAAACTACTTCGAGCCCTAGTGAAGAACTGGAAGAATCTACAACATTCTCTGCAACCAGTCAAACATTAGTCAAAGCTTTAGTCAAAGTTCTAGTCAAAGAAGCAATGTCAAAGTTGGAATTCTTCCACGCGGCGACTTTCCTAGATCTCATCGGCGAGGAGGAACCAACTAGGGCTACTTCATTCCGAGAGGATTGGAATGAGCACTGGATACGAGGAAGCCCAGGTAGCCTGGAACGAAGACAACGCTATTGCTGGTAATCTATACACTAGTTCCCAAACTTATCGACTGGAAACGCTCGAGTTTAGCAAGCTCACAGAGATTGGCGCTGGCGGCTGTGGCACCATCTTCAAAGGTACCATCACTCGCAGCTATGGCGTCCAGCACAAGCTCTACAGAGGCGTGTGGGACTCCAAACGCATCAAAGGCGGCCCTTTCGACTCGTATAACTACTACAACTCCTCCAGCAGCGGATCAAATCCCAGCGAGGGAGACAACGAAACGGTGAGCGTGGCTGTCAAGACGATTCACAGCAGCGACGATGAGGTGATAGATCTCACCAGGGAAGCGAGCAGCCTGCGGATCCTGCAAGGAACCAGGAACGTTGCAAGCGTTTATGGTGTGACACACAACCGGGAAATGCAAAGCGTTTGCATTGTCATGGAGCTCGTCCAAGGTCCCGACTTGAATTCTTTCCTGAGATCCGGGAAGCCATCGTCGTGTTCTTGGTCTTGGTGGAAGACAAAGCTGGAGATCTTCATGGAGCTCGTGATTGGGCTCTCGGTTTGTCACCAGCGGGGTATTTATCACGGGGATTTGAAAGGCAAGAACGTGCTGGTCGACGAGTTCATGGTTCCCAAGCTGATAGATTTTGGGTTTAGTTTCCGGAAGAAAGATGTCGACTACTTGAGGTCACTAGGAGGATCACCGTTTTGGATCTCCCCAGAGCTGGACGAGGCGGTAGACGAGATCCCTCCGGAAGTTCTTGCGAATCCATTCCCTTCGGATGTCTACTCGCTGGGGATGGTTCTGGTGGAAATGATTATAGATGGTGAGATACCCGAGTACATGGACTCGGTCTTGGTGATGAACAAGTATATGGGAGGGTCTCCTATAGAGCTCCAAGTTCCAGAAGGCATGGAGGATCTAAAAGAGAGTGTTTTTTATGAGATCTTTGCCGTGGTCGATGGATGTTGCTCTGCGGAGCGTGACGACAGGATTTCTCTAAAGGAATGCCTAGTACACATCCGAGCAGCTTATAGCAACCTTTGCAGCAGTTGCAAAGTCAGTTCTTCCAGCTGGGAGGAGGAATTTACGAGTTCCAAGGATTATACAGACATGCTAGCTGTTCTTCAAGCGCGGTTTCCCGAAGTTCCAGACGCCATAGCTCGGCAACCAGCCAAGAACATGATGGTGGACATTCAGGGAACTTTGCTGGTGGATCTCTTTTGCCAGCTAGATTTCAAGCTGGGCGTAGAGTTCGTCATTGACAAGGCAGCCTGGGACTTTGATCCGAAGAAGGCAGTGCCTCAACTATGCCGCATCTGCGTCAAAGCAGGGAGCCATGGCGTGCTGAAATTTCTGGGCGAAAGGTGGCAAGCTATAGTTGCGCAGGAAGAATGGCTGATGCACGACGCATGCGAGGGTGATAGCTTGGAAGTCTTGCGAGTTCTTCTCGAGGATATCAACATGGAGTTCGATACCTGGCCAAGGAGCGGACAGCTTAAGCCGTTTCACAAGTTGGCATTCCACGGAAAGATGGAGATGATGAAGCTTTTGCTAGACAAGGCAAGCATGATCGGTGACTATGTGAATGCTACAGTACACAGGAAACCACCTCTGGCTAGGAGACCCCTCAACTATGCCATCCAAGGAGATAAAGTTGAAGCGGTGTTCTTCCTCATCGAGCATGGGGGTGTTGTGACGACGCCACGCAACCTGGACACCACAGATTATCTCGAGCAGCTTTTCTACTGTGCTGTCCATGAGGGGAGCTTGAGCGTTGCAACGAGCCTTCTCGAGATAAGTTACTTCCTCAAGACAGGCAATGGCGGAAGTATGAAACAGATCTCTCCCAAAGTCTTGGAACGATTTGAGAATCACGAATTTGGCTGCCTTGATTACTTTGGGCACGAGTTCCGGGACCATGAATACGTGCTGGCACTTTTGAGAGGTCACTTGGTGGAGTCTGGGCTTCGTGGAATGGAGCCTCTGAGGTTTGCTTGCTCTAAGGAAGGGAATGCACACTGCCAGGAGGTATTTCAAATGATGGTTTCGTTTTGCAACGACGATAGTAGTGTTTTAGAGGACAAATTGTGGAAGCTCTTAGGGGGTCATGGGAGTAAGGAAATGGCTGCGTATGCAATGGAGAAGATCAGCCAAAGCGGCCATGAGCAGATTTTAGAGGCTGCTATAGACCAAGGAAATTTGGAGGTTGTGGACTTTCTCAGAGCAGCAGAAAAGTCAAGAGATGGCGAGGAAAGTGACCAAGAAAAAGACGAAGGTGATGGGAAAGAAGATGAAGAATTGGATGATTCAGAACTGTCATCAAGCTCGGAAGAGCCAAAGATCAATGAGGAGCTTCCTGATCTCGATGACGATTCAGATGGTGAAGTCATACCTAAGAAAGACCGGCAAGCTTGTCTTCTCTACGACGTTTGCAAGGCTGTAGTACAGGCTGATATTGGTTTACTCAAGAGAAAGCTCCCAAAGCTTTGCTTAGATGGTATGAGTTTTGTGGAAGAATCATGGGAACCAGGCATAGGGATGATCCAAAAGGTTGAAGATATCACCAAGAAAGCAGGGATCTGGAAAACTTTGGCACCAGAGCTCTTGAAAAGATTTGCTTATGCTGGGAGCTCGGAAATGGTATTACATTTGCTGGAGAAAGGTGTTCCGGTAGATGGCCCGGACTACACACAAGGATGGATCACAGAAACACCGCTAATGAGAGCTGTTACCGGGAGCCACTTTGAGACTGCTGAGATCATTTTGTTGGCCGGTGCTAATCCAAACACGAGAATGAAAGCAGGATACTCAAGCATGGATATTGCCTTGGGCATGAACAACAGAAAGATGGTGAGGTTGCTTATCAGGTTTGGCTTTGACACGGGGTCCAAGAACAGGGACAATGAAACTTACATGGACTTGATAGCTCATCTTGAAGACTAGCCGTGGAAGAACCTCTGAAACCAGTCAAAACAAGTCAAAGAGGTCAATCAGCCCATGCACAGGATGTTCGAGACGAGGATGTGCCCCGTTGCGTTGCTTGGATCCAACCCAAGCGCGAGCTTCGATCCGTGGAAGCGGGAGCTATGGCTGCTGCAAGCTCCCGCAAAGCCGATCCAATCCGATGCCTCGGTGGTGAAAGGCATGGATTCCATGAGCTCGCGCGCGTCTTGGAGATATCCAGCCCGTCCCAGGAGATCCACCATGCAGCTGTAGTGGAGCTTGGCTGGAGGCAATCCATAGTCACAGCTCATCAACGCCAAGTAGCTCCTTGCTCGAGAAACCTTCCCGCCATGGCTGCACGAAACCAGCGCTGCCGTGAAGCAGAACTCGTCTGGATTGTCGGTGAGTTTGAGCTCGTCAAGCATCCCTCTGGTTTTGGTTTGCTTCTCGCTGTCTTGGGCAAACATTGCGAGCATTGCATTCCATGCAAACAGGTCTCGCTGTGGTGTCTCTTGGAAGATCTTGTAAGCGGCATCTAGGTTTCCAGTTTGAGCATAACCAACCATGATTGACGTCCTTCCTACTGGATTTTGGAAAGGCAGTGAATCAAAAACCACCCTCGCTTCTGCAAGATACCCTTCTTGGGCATATGCTGTGATCATGAAAGACCAAGAAGATGCATCTCTCTGCGGCATATTATCACACACGAACTTACCCTCCTCCAATTTCCGAAAGTTCATGCAAATGGCGAGATAAGTGTTCCAAGACACCATGTCCGTCTGCGGCATGTCGGAAAAAAATCTGTTGCACTTACAAAAATGCCCTTCTTGGGCATATAGCAAAAGCATTATATTACACGAAGTAATGTCCCACTCCACCATAGTCCTAACAAATGTCTTTGCGTTCTCAACATCATGATTTTGGCAATACACAGCGAGGAGACAATTCCAAGCTATCACATCCAACTGGGGCATGGTACTAAATATTCTTTCGGCTTCTTCCAGATACCCACTCCTGGCATTTGCTGCAAGCATAGAGGTCCAGGAGATCAAATTCCTCTGCGGCATCTCATCAAACACTCGCCTAGCCGTGTTGTAACACCCGCTTTGCGAGTACGTGACAAGAATCGATGTCCAGGAAACCAAGTTCCGCTCGGGCATCTCATTAAAAAGCCTCTAAGAACCATCCAGATGCCCATTCGAGGCATACGACGCCACGATAACATTCCATGCCACGAGATTCCGCTGGGGCATCGCATTGAAGATGGACCTGGAGCTCTCGAGCCAACCATTCCTTGCATACGTCGTGATCATGAGAACCCACGAGAAGAGGTTCTTAGCAGTCATCGATTCGAAGACCACCTGCGCGTCAATCGGGCCACCGGAGCGCCCAAACATCTCGATCACCCGGTTGCGCGCGTAGAGACCGTCGGGCGACACCACCGAATCAAACACTTAACTCTGTGAATCGAGTGTTTTGGAGATCGGAAGAAAAACAAAATGACAAACCTCGAGGTATTCCAGCTCAAGCTGTAGAAAAAAAGGAAGTTTTTGAGCTTGGAAAAACGAGAATTTCTTCATACCTTCTGCTATAAGTTTTGGATGAAACTGGACTTTCCGGAACAGTGGTAGTTTGCAAGCTTAATTTGTTCTTGAGGTCCTCCGGCAATGCCTGTTTGGACGATCGAGATGAGAAGAACACGTCGATTCTTTTCCATACCACTACTTCGGCAGTGAGTTTCTCCAGTTGTATTTGTTCTATATAAGAGCGTGGAATGTACGAGCCTTCGAGCCCCAGCTTCTTCCCGATATCCGCGACGAGCGATCGATCTTTGCCTTGTATCTGTCAAAACTTGGTGAGATACAAAAACCTCAAGAACAAAAAAGCTAAGAAAGGATCTACCTGGACATACTTTCGCTGGACTTGCTCGAGCTTGTCAATCTTGACGACGATCTTCTCAGTCTCGTCACAAAACACCCGGCTCGACCGCTTCATAATGGTGGCCATCTCGTATCCAAGAGCCATGAGGCCTCCCAAGAGCCTCACGCTCACGTCAAAAGTGATCCTTGGCGAGATGATAAAATCCTCATCGGTCACAAGTTCCTAGAGAAAAATGAGAAACATGGTCATGGTAAGTGACAAAGATAGATCTTGGATGGAGCATTTTTTCTAAAAGACCTCGAAGATCAAACTGTATCTTCCATCGCGATTTCTCATGCGAAGATAAGACTGGCAGGTTTCCAGGTCTTCGCCTGGAGGCAAGAGATAGATATCGTAAGTATCTTCTGTTGCTTCAGTGAACTTGGAGCCAATGGCAGCTTTGATCTCTTCTTCCGTGACATGACGAGAAGACTGGAGCATCGAAAACTTTGAATCAGAAAAAGAAAAGAAAGAACGAAGGAATCTCCAGAACCGTTAGGATGTAAGTTGGACTCTGAAATCCCAAGAAAGGATTAAACTTGTTGACTACTTTGATGTGTGCTGTTGCTAGATCCGGCTCTATGAACACCTTGTACATGGGATAAACCTGGCAACGACACAAAGTTAAGTGCGAAAAACAACAAAGAGATGAAAAAGAGAGAATTATGAAACCACTGCTGTTCACAAGAACATACAAAATCACCGTTTCTGATATCTGGTGGATGATGTCTTCCGGAGCTTGGCCGGAGCGATTGATATCACGGAGAACCCGCTTGACGAGATCAAAATGGACTCCTCCGGTTATAGAGACTCGCAGATCCAGGAATGGACGTAGCTTCTCACACAAAGCATATATCCCTTCCACGATCACAATTCTCGTCGATGGATGCTCCAGACGCCTGGAAACAACGCAAGAACATACTTGGTCCTTGATCCCAATGCTAGCAAAAAGGAAGGAAAGACAACTCACCTATAGCCAACTCGACGACTGAGCTTGAAATCATATATCGGAATGTCGGCAGAGTTCCCAGCTCTCAAGCTCTTGATGTTGTCAAGCAGAATTTCGTAGTCCACGATCCTGGGATCTATCAGCACCAAAGCAAAACAACCAAAACTATCGAATAGAAACGAAAGAACAAAGAACAACACACACCTTGTTTGGATTCTTACCATCGTAGTTCCCGTCGATGACAAGGCTTGAATCGTTGTAGTTGTCCATGCAAATGATCGCAATCCCGGGCAAGAAGCTCGCGACCTTGTCCGTGAAGACGGTCTTACCAGCGCCCGAGGGGCCGGCAACTCCCACCACAATTGTCACTCCTTCCATCTTGCGCGTGAGGAGCTGACACGCCCGGATGAAGAGAAAGAAGCCCTTGTCGAAGGAGAGGGGGTCGGAGATTGGCGCAATCTCATAGCGATCCTCGCGCCCGCCATCGCCCTTTCTCGGCACAAGTTGGAGCTGATCCTTGAGAAGCCCAGTCCGGCGATGCGGGCTTGGCAGGAGCTTTCTCATCGACGATTCCATCCTGAAACTACTTCGAGCCCTAGTGAAGAACTGGAAGAATCTACAACATTCTTTGCAACCAGTCAAACATTAGTCAAAAGCTTTAGTCAAAGTTCTAGTCAAAGAAGCAATGTCAAAGTTAGAATTCTTCCTCCTAGATCTCATCGGCGAGTAGGAACCCTACTTCATTCCTAGAGGATGAGCACTGGATACGAGGACGCCCAGCTGGCCTGGAAGAGAGACAACGCTATAGCTGGTAATCTATATACTAGTTCCCAAACTTATCGACTGGAAACGCTCGAGTTTAGCAAGCTCACAGAGATTGGCGCTGGCGGCTGTGGCAGCATCTTCAAAGGTACCATCACTCGCAGCTATGGCGTCCAGCACAAGCTCTACAGAGGCGTGTGGGACTCCAAACGCATCGAAGGCGACCCTTTCGACTCGTATAACTACTACAACTCCTCCAGCAGCGGATCAAATCCCAGCGAGGGAGACAACGAAACAGTGAGCGTGGCTGTCAAGACGATTCACAGCAGCGACGATGAGGTGATAGATCTCACCAGGGAAGCGAGCAGCCTGCGGATCCTGCAAGGAACCAGGAACGTTGCAAGCGTTTATGGTGTGACACACAACCGGGAAATGCAAAGCGTTTGCATTGTCATGGAGCTCGTCCAAGGTCCCGACTTGAATTCTTTCCTGAGATCCGGGAAGCCATCGTCGTGTTCTTGGTCTTGGTGGAAGAGAAAGCTGGAGATCTTCATGGAGCTCGTGATTGGGCTCTCGGTTTGTCACCAGCGGGGTATTTATCACGGGGATTTGAAAGGCAAGAACGTGCTGGTCGACGAGTTCATGGTTCCCAAGCTGATAGATTTTGGGTTTAGTTTCCGGAAGAAAGATGTCGACTACCTGAGGTCACTAGGAGGATCACCGTTTTGGATCTCCCCAGAGCTGGACGAGGCGGTAGACGAGATCCCTCCGGAAGTTCTTGCGAATCCATTCCCTTCGGATGTCTACTCGCTGGGGATGGTTCTGGTGGAAATGATTATAGATGGTGAGATACCCGAGTACATGGACTCGGTCTTGGTGATGAACAAGTATATGGGAGGGTCTCCTATAGAGCTCCAAGTTCCAGAAGGCATGGAGGATCTAAAAGAGAGTGTTTTTGATGAGATCTTTGCCGTGGTCGATGGTTGCTGCTCTGCGGAGCGTGACGACAGGATTTCTCTAAAGGAATGCCTAGTACACATCCGAGCAGCTTATAGCAACCTTTGCAGCAGTGGCAAAGTCAGTTCTTCCAGCTGGGATGAGGAATTTACGAGTTCCAAGGATTATACAGACATGCTAGCTGTTCTTCAAGCGCGGTTTCCCGAAGTTCCAGACGCCATAGCTCGGCAACCAGCCAAGAACATGATGGTGGACATTCACGGAACTTTGCTGGTGGATATCTTTTGCCAGCTGGATTTCAAGCTGGGTGTAGAGTTCATCATTGACAAGGCAGCCTGGGACTTTGATCCGAAGAAGGCAGTGCCTCAACTATGCCGCATCTGCGTCAAAGCAGGGAGCCATGGCGTGCTGAAATTTCTGGGCGAAAGGTGGCAAGCTATAGTTGCGCAGGAAGAATGGCTGATGCACGACGCATGCGAGGGTGATAGCTTGGAAGTCTTGCGAGTTCTTCTCGAGGATATTAACATGGAGTTCGATACCTGGCCGAGGAGCGGACAGCTTAAGCCGTTTCACAAGTTGGCATTCCACGGAAAGATGGAGATGATGAAGCTTTTGCTAGACAAGGCAAGCATGATCAATGACTACGTGAATGCTACAGTACACAGGAAATCACCTCTAGCACTCAACTATGCCCTCCAAGGACATAAAGTCGAAGCAGTGTTCTTCCTCATCGAGCATGGGGGTGTTGTGACGACGCCACGCGACCTGGACACCACAGATTATCTCGAGCAGCTTTTCTACTGTGCTGTGCATGAGGGGAGCTTGAGCGTTGCAACGAGCCTTCTCGAGATAAGCTACTTCCTCAAGACAGGCAATGGCGGAAGTATGAAACAGATCTCTCCCAAAGTCCTGGAACGATTTGAGAATCACGAATTTGGCTGCCTTGATTACTTTGGGAACGAGTTCCGGGACCATGAATACGTGCTGACACTTTTGAGAGGTCACTTGGTGGAGTCTGGGCTTCGTGGAATGGAGCCTCTGAGGTTTGCTTGCTCTAAGGAAGGGAATGCACACAGCCAGGAGGTATTTCGAATGATGGTTTCGTTTTGCAACGACGATCGTAGTGTCTTCGAGAACAACTTGTGGAGGCTCTTAGGGGGTCATGGGAGTAAGGAAATGGCTGCATATGCAATGGAGAAGATCAGCCAAAGCGGCCATGAGCAGATTTTAGAGGCTGCTATAGACCAAGGAAATTTGGAGGTCGTGGACTTTCTCAGAGCAGCAGAAAAGTCAAGAGATGGCGAGGAAAATGACCGAGTAAAAGACGAAGGTGATTGGAAAGAAGATGAAGAATTGGATGATTCAGAACTGTCGTCAAGCACGGAAGAGCCAAAGATCAATGAGGAGCTTCCTGATCTCGATGACGATTCAGATGGTGAAGTCATACCTAAGAGAGACCGACAAGCTTGTCTTCTCGACGACGTTTGCAAGGCCGTAGTACAGGCTGATATTGGTTTACTCAAGAGAAAGCTCCCAAAGCTTTGCTTAGATGGTAGGAGTTTTGTGGAAGAATCATGGGAACCAGGCATAGGGATGATCCAAAAGGTTGAAGATATCACCAAGAAAGCAGGGATCTGGAAAACTTTGGCACCAGAGCTCTTGAAAAGATTTGCTTATGCTGGGAGCTCGGAAGTGGTATTACATTTGCTGGAGAAAGGTGTTCTGGTAGATGGCCCGGACTACACCCAAGGATGGGTCACAGTAACACCGCTAATGAGAGCTGTTTCCGGGAGCCACTTTGAGACTGCTGAGATCATTTTGTTGGCCGGTGCTAATCCAAACACGAGAATGAAAGCCGGATACTCAAGCATGGATATTGCCTTGGGCCTGAAAAACAGAAAGATGGTGAGGTTGCTTATAAAGTTTGGGTTTGACACGGGGTCCAAGAACAGGGACAATGAAACTTACATGGACTTGATAGCTCATCTTGAAGACTAGCCGTGGAAGAACCTCTGAAACCAGTCAAAACAAGTCAAAGAGGTCAATCAGCCCATGCACAGGATGTTCGAGACGAGGATGTGCCCCGTTGCGTTGCTTGGATCCAACCCAAGCGCGAGCTTCGATCCGTGGAAGCGGGAGCTATGGCTGCTGCAAGCTCCCGCAAAGCCGATGCAATCCGATGCCTCGGCGGTGAAAGGCATGGATTCCATGAGCTCGCGCGCGTCTTGGAGATATCCAGCCCGTCCCAGGAGATCCACCATGCAGCTGTAGTGGAGCTTGGTTGGAGGCAATCCATAGTCACAGCTCATCGACGCCAAGTAGCTCCTTGCTCGAGAAACCTTCCCGCCGTGGCTGCACGAAACCAGCGCTGCCGTGAAGCAGAACTCGTCTGGATTGTCGGTGAGTTTGAGCTCGTCAAGCATCCCTCTGGTTTTGGTTTGCTTCTCGCTGTCTTGGGCAAACATTGCGAGCATTGCATTCCACGCAAACAGGTCTGGCTGCGGTGTCTCTTGGAAGATCTTGTAAGCGGCATCTAGGTTTCCGGCTTGAGCATAGCCAACCATGATTGACGTCCTTCCCACTGGACTTTGGAAAGGCAGTGAATCAAAAACCGCCCTCGCCTCTGCAAGATACCCTTCTTGGGCATATGCTGTGATCATGGAAGACCAAGAAGATGCATCTCTCTGCGGCATATTATCAAACACAAACTTAGCCTCCTCCAGTTTCCGAAAGTTCATGCAAACGGCGAGATAAGTGTTCCAAGACACTATGTCCGTCTGCGGCATGTTAAAAAAAAATCTGTTGCACTTACAAAAATGCCCTTCTTGGGCATATAGCAAAAGCATTATATTACACGAAGTAATGTCCCACTCCACCATATTCCTAACAAATCTCTTTGCGTTCTCAACATCATGATTTTGGCAATACACAGCGAGAAGACAATTCCAAGCTATCACATCCCACTGGGGCATGGCACTAAATATTCTTTCGGCTTCTGCCAGATACCCATTCCTGGCATTTGCTGCAAGCATAGAGGTCCAAGAGATCAAATTCCTCTGCGGCATCTCATCAAACACTCGCTTTGCCGCGTCGTAACACCCTTTTTGCGAGTACGTGACAAGAATCGATGTCCAGGAAACCAAGTTCCGCTCGGGCATCTCATCGAAAAGCCTCTGAGAACCATCCAGATGCCCATTCGAGGCATACGCCGCCACGATAGCATTCCATGCCACGAGATTCCGCTGGGGCATCGCATCGAAGATGGACCTGGAGCTCTCGAGCCAACCATTCCTCGCATACGCCGTGATCATGAGAACCCACGAGAAGAGGTTCTTAGCAGGCATCGATTCGAAGACCACCTGCGCGTCAATCGGGCCACTGGAGCGCCCAAACATCTCGATCACCCGGTTGCGCGCGTAGAGATCGTCGGGCGCCACCACCGGTTGGATGCGCGCGTGGATTCTCCTCGCCTCGGCCAGATCCGCGCACGATTCCACGAGCTCCAGCCATTTGCCGCGCTCCATGCATTTTCAAAAAAACCCTAAAATCAGTTAGCGATCCATAAAAAGCCCTAAAGTTCAAAAAAGTAGAATATCTGTGACTTGCTATAAAATGAGAGCTCACGCACAATTAGTGGAGAACTTGGAGGGATTGTTTAGAAATATTTAAGCGAGAGGCCATGGAGCCGCTAAAGCGATCCGTGGATCATGGAATGGTGTTGCTAGAGGCTTGGCAGCATGAACAAATGGAACCTCGCCATTCTCTACTTTTTCATCGTCTCGTCCAATGGGTAAGAGTTAAGCTTTCTCGATAGAAAGCGTTAGTTCTTGGCTGTTTGATCCGTTCGCTATCCAAACTTTCCAAGAGTTCCAGCAGCGGTTTTAATTCTTTGTTTCTTTCTTGGATCTTATTTTGTGAGCGAAAGAGCTTTCACGTGGAAAGTTTTGTGGGGTTTTTGTATTGGGAATTTTTAGATTAGAGGTAGGTTGTTATCGCGATGCGCCAAGAAACGGCAATGCGGGCACATCCATGGAAGGACGGGGTGAATGTGATCTTTGCTGCGCTATCGCGATCATCGGTAGGTTTCTTTGCGGCCAGCGAGCGATGGAGCTTATAGCGAGCGATCTTGGCTTCTCTTCCAAGACAAGCTTTGCGTTTCCAGGCTCTTATAAAAGCCCAAACAGTGACTGAGGAAGAAGAAGAGAGAGCTTTCGCTTTGAGTAAAAGCGCGCCAAGCGTATTTCTTCCAGAGCTCGTTGGTGGTTTTGGTTTCCCGAGATGGATTTTCTCGCTATGCTTTTTAGATGCTCGTTTTGACCATCTTTCTTTCTTTCTTCCCAGAGGATTCGGTTCCAGGAAAATGTTCTCCAGTCGTGTACAAGGAGGAGGATCGCGAGGCTCCGATGTTCGTCTCGTCGACAAAGGCAAATACGTGAGAGCTCGAGAAAGTGTTTCGTGCCAAGGCTATCTTACTACTCCATCGTCTTTTGTTGCAGATTGTCCTGGACAATGGAATTGTTCGCATCACACTGACGAGTCCCGGCGGGTTGATCACGTCTATTTCTTACGGAGGCATCGACAATCTGCTAGAAGTTGCCAATGCTGAAACAAATCGAGGGTGAGGCTGCCAACTTAAAAGCTAAGATCTCTCCCATTGATGCCAGTGTTTGTTCTGTAGTTACTGGGATCTGAATTGGAACGTCCCCGGAGGAAAGGACACCTTTGATGTGTAAGAACATCGGCTACCTCGCTGGAACTTTTTGACATCTAACGCTTAAAAGACAGGCACCACGCTACGAGCTTTCGTGTTATTTCTAGCGATGGCAACAAAGTCGAGGTCTCTTTTCTTCGTCCATATGTCCCCGACCGAAGTATGGTTCCTCTTCAAATCGACAAGAGGTATGAAAGTTTATACATACTTCCATACTTCAAAAGGTGGACATGAACTCGTTTAATCTGTGCAGGTTCGTGCTTCTTCGGGGTAACACAGGATTTTATAGCTATGCCATTTTTGAGAGGCCCGAAGGCTGGCCCGATTTCGACATGAACCAATGCCGTATCACGTTTAAGCCACGGAGTGACAGGTTCACAAGAGCAACTTTTAAGAAGCCTCACAGTTTTTTTCCTTCCTCTCGCGGTTTTGCAGATTCGAATATATGGCTGTTTCCGACACTGTGTTCCGACAAATGCCAACATCTAGTGACCGATCACCTGAACGTAGCAAAGCACTCGCCTATCCTGAAGCTGTGATCCTGGAAGACCCGCATAATTCGGCGCTCAAGGGAGAGGTTTGTAACTATGGTGCTCTGCTTTTCAGAAGCTAAGACTGATTTGCTTACCTTCGCAGGTGGATGACAAGTATCAGTACTCTGCTGAAAACAAGGACAATGTGGTGCATGGCTGGGTTTCTACGAATCCACTCGTTGGTTTTTGGATCATCACAGCCAGTGACGAGTTTCGAAATGGTGGCCCGCTGAAGCAAAACTTGCGCTCGCATGCAGGACCCACTGCTCTTTCTGTAAGTGAGCTCTTTCTCGATCCTATCAGAAAGTTTTTGCTTCTCACGACGAGTGTTTGCCTGCTAGATGTTTCACAGCGCTCACTACGCAGGGGAAGCATTGTGTCCTTCTTTTCGAGATGGAGAGCCTTGGCTGAAAGTATTTGGACCGGTTTTCATCTACTTGAATTCAGCTCAAGCGAACTTGGACCCTCGTTATCTGTGGGACGATGCAAAGCAGCAGGTATCAAACGTAAGAATTTTTTCTGAAGTTTTATTCATTCTCTTTTGTTTCAGATGCTTGTGGAGGTTCATTCCTGGCCATATAGCTGGCCTGCCTCACCAGATTACGTGAAGGATGATGAGCGTGGCTCTGTTTCTGGACGACTGCTAGTTTATGACAAGTATTGCCTTTTATACATGGTGTGTCTTTCTTAACAGGCTCTCTTTACTTACACTGCAGGTACGCAGACCCTCAAGTTCCAGCGTCGTTTGCGTGGATTGGTCTCGCTAAACCGGGGATTGCTGGATCATGGCAAACCGAAAGCAAGGTATTTAACAGTAGATTTGCTCTCTAAAACTTTAATGTTCGTTGGAATGCACAGGGGTATCAATTCTGGGCCGAAGCAGATGCCAGTGGCAGTTTTATGATCCATAATGTTATTCCCGGGACTTACAACCTCTTTGGCTACGTTCCTGGTGTTCTGGGCGATTACAAAATGGAAGCCGACATTACAGTGCAGGAAGGTAAAAAGATATTGTGTTGTTTCTTGTAACAGGCAGGAATAATGAATCTCGCAGGTTCTTCCTTGGAGCTTGGAGAACTTGTCTTCAATCCTCCAAGGAACGGTCCTACAATTTGGGAGATTGGAGTTCCTGATAGATCGGCTGCTGAGTTTTACATACCGGATCCTGATCCGGGCTTCGTCAACAGAGCTTTTGTGAACATCACAGCTGACAGGCATGCGTCTCTACGCAATTCTTTTTTTTGATCATTTGTTGTTTTGCTCTACACACAGGTTTAGACAGTATGGATTGTGGGAAAGATACTTCGAGCTTTACCCGGAGACCGAGGTTGTATACACTGTTGGCGAGAGCAAATGGCAAACCGACTGGTTTTTCTTACAGGGATGCTGGTAAATTTTCGTTTCTATGGACATGTTCTTTCGCACCAAAGGTTTTTCTTTTTGTGTTTCCATCCAGGAAGTCGAAAGATGGAAACTTGAAAGCATCAACTTGGAAGATCAAGTTCCAACTTGACAAGGTCTCTCTAGTGGGAACCTACACGCTACAACTAGCAATAGCAGCCGCAACCAACGCTGCTCTTCAGGTTCTTCACGAGTATATTGACTTCTTTTTTATTAAACACAGTGGAGGTGTCGCAGGTCCGGGTGAACGATCCAACGCTTTACACTCCACATTTTGATACACTCCAGTTTGGCAAGGACAATGCCATAGCTCGCCATGGAATCCACGGCTTGTACGCGATGTGGAGCATCGACGTCGAGTCGAAGCTCCTCAAGGAGGGAGAGAATATCATCTACCTCACACAGAGAAAATACGCCAGTGTATTTAACGGGGTTATGTACGACTATTTGCGTCTTGAAGCCCCTCCGCTGTGAAAGACATAACATGATAAATAACTTACAAATTCACTCAAAATAATTCAGTGGTATATAATATTTTCTCAAATAATTTCTGGCCAGCTGTTGTAAGCATTAATTTGATATCTAATGTATTTGATGGAGCTCGGTTAACAATGCAAGAGTTCTTGGTTCATGGCTCACCACCTTAAATGAGTGTGGCGAACGAAGCACAGAGAGACAGTCATGGCCTAAGCTTTCAAATAGGAAAATTTAGGGCTGGAGAGGGATGGAGGACTTGGAGCTCTTGGAGCCGGTGTTTGGCGTCGCCAGTGGCAAGGTAGAGGGTCGGGAATCCTCCGCCTTCCTCCCTCTCGCCTTTCGGCTGCGCGCGCGGGACGCTCGCACTCTCGACTTCGTCGTCTCGGATTTCCACGACAATACCTGGGAGGCCACTCGAAGCATCCAGCAGCTGGAAGACCTGGTAAGCATTTCTGACGGACTTCTACAGCCTCCTGGTGTTTTAGCGAGACGAGGTTGGGATCGGTGGAGCGTGGAGTGAATTCGTGAGCTACATCGGTGCCGCGTTCTCGTCCGGAAATGTGACTCTGGTTTTGGGAGGTCCCGCGTCCGCGCTTGCTGGTCGTGGTAAAGTTCTTGGCCGAGAGTTTGTCCTCTCTTTATTTTTTTCTTCGTTTCCAGGGGCGACTTCTGGGAGAATCGTGGCTTTGAAAGCTAAAGGAATGCCTCGTGTCTCAATTGGACTCGTGAGAGCCACCGATGCCAGCGATCGCATGGCGGATATTGCCGTGGACGCTTGCAGCAGCTGGCGGAGCTTGCTCAAATCTCTAGCAAATGGTAAAGCTCTTTTTTTCTTTTTTTCTTGCTTCGTGAATTGCGTGTCTATCATCGTCCAGTGGAAGCTTACTGTGTGTTTTGTTCTCTAAGAGAAGGCCGAGGCTGCAAGGTGCCGGATGGAACTAGAGGCTGAAAAGGTAGACAGTCTTATCATCTCGCCGGATGATCTCTCGCACGATCTTTCGCAGCTGAAAACGTCGATGCTGGAGGAGAAGCTTGATGAGATGAACCCCGGCGGAAAGAAGAAAAAGGCTAACTCCAAGGAACTCGCCATGGCCTCGCAGTCTAGCTCTGGAACAAATCAAGCTAGTAAGTGTGTGCTTTTTACTCCTTTAAAACTGTTTTCTTTGTTTCTTGTTTAGCTGGAGGCGAGGTAGAACGCACGAAGGCCAAAACAAAACGAAAGGTTGCACCCATATCTTCCAGGTACGCTCTCGTCCATTCTCAATCTATACTCACGTCTGTTCCAGATCAAAACGGAAAGGAGCAAAGCTAGAAGACGATGACTGACCGTTATCCTCAACTTGTAAGTATGTTTCTCCACATTTTCTATCGAAATATTTCTCTTCAGGGATTCTAGCAAGGGAAAGCGCTCGCTCTAGAAGCCAGCAGAAAAGGTAAAAAAATTGAAGTTTCCGCCCTCGAGTTGTAAGAAAGTCATCGGGCCTTTCAGAGAAGACAACTTGTTTGAGACTTTGGGTGGCCCGTCACGGGAGAAGTTCAAGCAGATGGAGAAGACCAGCCCGCTACGAAGAAGATTGAGTATGAATCTTCATGTAGCGGACGGGGTTAGAGCAGAGCATGCTACCAAGATTGGTCCTGATCAAACCTGGCAGACCTGGACTGTTTCCGGCAGGATTTGCAAGGAGGGCTTGAATATCAGTACTGATTAACGAAGCTTCATGAGATCAACCCCTTCAAAGCTGTTTGCCTCTTGTCATCTCCAAATGACAACTTACGAACAAAGAGTGACAACCAAAACATGTGGTGGAAAGATTTCAAAGGAGAAAGTTTGGAGGCTTTGAGACGCTCACTCGCCCCTCGAGCATCCGGATTGCCATTTCCATCGACGGACGCTGCGCTGAATCCTCTTGGATGCACCACATTGCCGTGTAGATGACGAGCTCCACTTGCTCCCACAGGGCCACCATCCCGCTCTGGAGCTCTCCCTGAAGGCTTGAGTCGGCAATCTCCATGATCTGGCCCCGGCAGATGCGAGAGCTCGCCCAGTTCGGGAAGTACTGCGTGCTCGTCTCGGCCCTCGAGTTCCCCAGGCACCTCTGCCCGCTCACAATCTCGAGCAGCACGATCCCAAAGCTGTAGACGTCGACTCGCTCGGTGATGGTGGACTGGAGCCACTCCGGAGCCAGGTAGCCTCGAGTTCCTCGCATCATCGTGAAGACCTCTGACTCATTGCGCTTCATGAGCTTGGACATGCCAAAGTCGCAGAGCTTGGCATCAAAGTTGCTGTCGAGCAAGACGTTCTGGGGCTTCACGTCCAGATGGAGGATCCGCTCGCTGCAGTCTTCATGCAGGTACTTGAGCCCTCTTGCAATTCCCAGAGCGATCCGCAACCTTGTCTTCCAGTCGAGCGCTTCGCCAGCTTTCTCGTGATCACCATCGCTTGGGAAGTCACGAAGAAAGAGCCATTTGTCTAAAGAACGTCGAGGCATGTACTCGTACACCAGGAGCCTGTGGTGTTTCTCGGCACAGAATCCCCGGAGCCGGACCAGATTGAAGTGGTGGATACTGCTAATGACGTTCACTTCCGTCTTGAATTCCTTCTGTCCCTGACTCGAGCTCTCGAGGCGCTTCACTGCGACTTGGGAGCCATCTTTGAGCGTTGCAAGGAAAACCGACCCGAATCCACCTTGCCCGAGTTTCTTGCCAAAGTTGTTCGTGGCATGCTCCAGCTGCTTGTACGAAAAACGTTTGAGTTGGCCGGTTTCCAGCTCTTGAAGCTCCATCAAAGCTCGAGACTTGCTTTTCTGGTTGTAAATGTAGAGGGAAACGAGGACGATGGCAATCAAGGCAGCTCCAACCGGCACTAAAATGATGAGTAGAACCTTGGAGAGTTTCGATTTTTCAGAGTCCTCCACTTTCAGGAACAACTTCAACGACACAGTTCGGTTGCTTGCTATTGATGCTTCTCTGAAACCCGATGCATGGTCGAGTATTAAACAGTCCCCTCCTCCTTGAAAAGCATAGAGTGCAAATTTGCAGGAGCACTCCATAGCACAGCTTTGTAAGCAGATGTCTCGCGAGACATTCGATCGTACTGTTGTCGCCAAGCTAACCGGAACTGCTATGTCTTGCCTTGCATCGACAAGACGGGTACTCCTATTCGTGTTGTTGGCATCACAAGTAAATGGAGAGCGAAGTTCGCATGTCTGAGCATTCACTCTCCTAAGTTCTTCTGCAAGATTCAAACACTGGCAGTTCCCACCTCTAGTACAGAACGCGTAATCCCCACAAGTGCTGGGAAGCTCGCACTCTTCCTCGCTGAGAAGTGACCGAGTTGCAGTCCACTGGTTGCCAAGGAGCTCATATAACCTCAAGTTTCCATCCGAGTCGAGCCTGAGATACCGCAAAGACTGCTCCTGGCGTGTTGGGAATGGAATCCTGATGACTTCGTCGCTAAGAGTGCCATTCCTTGCGAAGCTCTCGTCTGACCCCCTCGTGACAAACAGGAGAATGCTCCCTCCTGTGTAGATCATGTAAGGTATGAACGAGCCAAGAGTCGAGGCATTCCTCGACCAGTATGTAATAGATCTGACACTGTTGTGTGTCATCTTTAGCTCCTCCCTGGTCAGCTCTAGCGAGTAATCGTCACCCAAAGAGCTCATCCTCCATCCTGCTCTTAAAGCCTGTCCCTCGACGAGAGTATCCCCCGGAGATGCAAAACTCTGCCAGAGAGTGGAAGAGCTATTTGACTGAAGCACCAAGTTGCCCGATGCTTGGAGCTCCATCGCCTGGACCTGTAAGTTTGGTGGTGTGTTCCACACAATTCTTCCTGTTTCGTCCAGGATCATGAGCACCCCATCTCCATTAAGTGTCAGCGTGCTGTTCTCTCCAACCGGATTGTTTCCATTGGCTGACCACACTACCTGTGCCGAGCTCTCGCGAAAAATTACCACTCCAAACACGAAGGAGCTCGAGTTCCCATAGAAACCACACCCAAAGTTCCCTCGAACCAAGATGAGCATGTAGCTTACAGTTGAGCCGCTCTGATTCAAGTAGACGAAGCTACCATTTCCAGGTTGATTGATCCAAACACTACCCAAGCTAGCATTGTACCTCGTGATCTGGGCGGTAGCCAACAGCGTCAAGAACCCTATGGCGCATAACAGCCTCTCTACCATCATCGTAGCACAAATGCCGTGAATAAGCTTCCCACTCAGCAATTTGACTGCCACAACTCTTTAAGTTTGAACAAACTACTTACTAAGGAGGATGATGGTTTGAAGTTTCATGTTTATGCGGTATAGCTTGTACAGTCCCTAGGGATCGCACGCCCATACAAAGCAAGGTGGCGATGATAAGAGTGACCCGCAACCAAGAGAGAGATATGATTGGTATTTCCATACTCATTCATCCTTGATCGTAAAGTCTAGCCCATGCATACGAAAATCTAAAAAGGTTTAGGGATGAAGGAGGAGGAGAATTGGATTGCTCACTGCGGCCTGTTGAGGAGCGTCCGGGTGGGGCAAGACGGCCTCCTCCACACCGAGGATGTGTGTGCTGCCTTCGATCTGGACGCTGAGGCGATGCTCACGATATGCGGGCAGAATGCGTCGAGCTCGTGGGGATCTCTGTGTCTCGACATCCTCCGGTATAAGGGCGCCTCTCGGGGCCAGACCGGATCCTCTGAGAAGCCGTTTGCGCTAGTCGCCAACGTTCTCGTGTGGCTGCGATACGGGGGTGCGACAACGCCGGTCGAAGTGGATAAAGTTTTCACTCTTGACGAGCTCTGTCGCCGATTCGACCTGGATCCTCTAATGCACGAAGTCTTCCTCTGCGGCATTCCCATCTCATCGCCGCCAGCGCAACTCTACACTGTTCCTCTCATCAAAAGCCACGGCCAACCTTTCGAAGATGGCTCGAGAGAGAGACCGTTCACGATTTCGGATAGATCCAGATTCAGATTCAGTAGGAGGGGTGAGTGAGCCTGTCGAGATTTTCATCCATCCACCATTTACAGGTTCTTCGTTTTCGTGATTCGCAGGGGTAGGAGATTGGAAGTATTTTTCAGGCTTGTGACGCGTTCAACGTTTCTAGCTCGAACACTTGGGAGGGGATTCGTGACTTCTTGCTTGACATCGGCAGTCTTTTGGGAAAGGTTCCTTGCTGCTGCGCTCCACCAACAAAAGAGTTCTTTTACAGCCCAAGCAGCTTCGCAGTTTCCATCGCAAGCACCATTCAGATGTCGAAGCCAGACGGGCAAGATGACTTGGTTGTGTTCGCTGATACTCTGCCGTTTTACCAGATACTTCAGAGGCTTACAGAGAGTGCCCCAGGAGACAAAAGACTGCGTTCTACCATCTCAGCTGACGGAAACAAGGTTTTTCCCCCATGTATTCCTAGTTTTGCGAAGCAAAGGAGGGCTTGTTATCGGGTGGAGGTGGACGGGACGCCTTGTTTCTTGGGCAAGCTAAAAGATTCGAGTTGGGACATCGTTGTTGCACCCTTCGACTTGTCAGCGATCGAGCTTCCACCAGATTTCATCTATGGCGACGTGAGATTTGTAGTCTGCATTGCAAGGGCTGGAAATGAGCTGCGTTTTTACATCAGAGACACCTCCGGTCGGGTACAGTTCCTCAAGACTTTGAACTGCCACTAAAAGTCTTTCCTTTTTGCTTGTAGGATGCTGCTCGGCACCTGGCGGGGCCGTATGATATGTCCAGAGCTGAAGATCGCGCCAAGGTGATTCTTGTGCACATAAAGCTCTACTTTCTGCTGCTCGGCACACAAGGTTCCTTAAGAACTGAAAGGAGGTACTTTGCAACAAAGTGCATCATTGATGGCTTCATGAGTGTTTTTTTCAGGACGCAATTGTTCCATACAACCGTGTTAAAGAACCAGTCCAAGGTTGTTTTGTTCAGAGATAGCTGCCGCAAGAAAATACGTGATTGGGAAACCTACGCTGCTCAGATGGAAGTAAACTTTGTGGATGTCAAGAGAGCATATTGCACCACCAGATTTCGGTGTCCGCACTTGGTGTCGGCGTGTGGTAACCCGACCTTGCGAGAGGATGGTGTATACGAAGTTCTTCTCTCTCCTATCGGTGGCAGAGTCATGATCAGCACGGAACAGGAGCTGAAGTGGCTCGGCCGAGACGTTTTGTCAGCGCTGGATGCTCTCCACTCTCAAGGTTTTGTCATCCGTTTCTCTCTCTCTAGCTTGTTTTTCTTCTGTATATCTTCCAGGACTCGTCCACAGGGATGTGCGCCTCGAGAATGTGATTTGCGTCGACTATAGCAACGATGGAAACTTTGTGCTGATCGATCTGGAAGGTGTCAAAGAAGCGGATTCTGAGGTGGGGGATGCTTTCAGGCTGGTGGACTGGACGAGGGAAACGCTGGTGTGGAGGAGTTCCTCCTCAGAAGCCAAGAGGAAAAGGCCCACCGGGGTGTATGCCAAGACATCAGATTTGTATCAACTGGGAGTTATGCTCAAGGGTCTGGTGGAGACCAAAAGGATCAGCTTGAGCGCAAGCGGTGCCAGTTTTATTGCTGATCTCAAGAGCCACACCAAGGAGGCCAAAAGCTTGCATGAACATCCATGGTTTTCGGACTTAGGCATGAGGAAAGAATCACTTTTTATTTAACTGCTGCATTATGTTATAGCTGTCATCTTGAAATTGCAAACCAAGATTTTGTGTTGACCTTCTCTATTTCTGGTGGAGGAGTGGATCTCTGCATCTCGATATCCTTCGGCATAAACGCGCCTCTCAGGGTCGGACCGGATCCTCGGACAAGCCGTTTGCGCTCATGTTCTGGCATTCGACCTGGATCCTCTAATGCACAAAGTCTTCCTCTGCGGCATTTCCATCGCCTGATCAAATGACACGGCCAACCTTTCGAAGGTTGCTCGAGAGAGAGACCCTTCACGATTTCAGATCCAGATTCAGATTCAATAGCAGCGGTGAGTGCGCCTGTCGAGATTGTCATTCATCCACCATTTACAAGTTCTTTGTTCTCGTGATTCGCAGGGAGGCTTGTGCACACAAGCACCGAAGAGATTGGAAGTATTTTTCAGGCTTGGTGACGCGTTCAGCGTTTCTAGCTCGGACACTTGTGAGGGGATTCGTGACTCTTGGGCAACCGTTTCCGAGGTTGTTTTGTTTAGAGACTGCTGCCACAAGAGAATACATGACTGGGAAACCTACGCTGGAGTAAACTTTGCGGATGTCAAGCCTTTACGTCCCCGCACTTCCGACGTTGCAAGCTGGTGCTTACGAAGTCCTTCTCTTTCCTATCGGTGGCAGAGTCATGATCAGCACGGAACAGGAGCTCAAGTGGCTCGGTCGAGACATTTTGTCAGCGCTGGATGCTCTCCACTCTCAAGGTTGTCATCCGTTTCTTTCTCTAACGCGCTTTTCTTCTCCAGGACTCGTCCACAGGGATGTGCGCCTCGAGAATGTTACTTGCGTCGACTATAGAAATGATGAAAAACTTTGATCTGGAAGGTGTCAAGGAAGCGGATTCTGAGGTGGGGGATGCTTTCAGGCTGGCGGACTGGACGAGGACAACGCTGGTGTGGAAGAGTTCCTCCGCAGAAACCAAGAGGAAAAGACCCAGCTGAGACATCAGATTTGTATCAACTGGGAGTTATGCTCGAGGGACCAAAGGGATCTGCTTGAGCGCAAGGCGTGCCAGTTTTATTGATGATCTCAAGAGCCACGCCAAGGAGGCCAAAAGCTTCCATGAACATCCATGGCTTTCGGACTTAGCTATACGGCATTATGCTACAGGTGTAATTTGAGCTAGATTTTGAAATTTCAAACCAAATTCTATGATGTGTTTGATGTTTGAGCAACGGTTTTGTATCAACGTGGTTGAGCATCCAAAGGGATCAGCTTGAGCGCAAATGGTATTGCTGATCTCAAGAGCCAACCCAAAAGCTTGCATGACCATCCATGGTTTTCAGACTTAGCCATACAGAAAGCATCACGTGACATTTCGTAATTTGAGCTACATTTTGAAATTGCAAACTAGATTTTGTATATATTTTCTTGATCACAACTAAATAAGAGTGATAATAGGTGGAAAGATTTTAAAGGAAGGCTTTGAGACAGTGCCCCTCAAGCATCTAGATGGCCATGGCTTCTTAAACATTTGATTGTATGTCTCAGCAACCAATATGGCCCATGCGTGTCAGAAGTCAACGGAGTCTGAAGTTTGCATCTCTGAGTGTGCACTCTCGCTAAGTGCTTCCGCAATCAAGCAGTGGCAATGTGCAAAACGCCCTTGTACTGAAGACTAGGGTGATTACTGATAAAGTTTTCAATTTGCATCCATCTTCCAATTAGGCACTGCAACACCTTCAAAAATTAAAACGAGTAGTCTCCTGGCTTTTCCTCATTCAAATCTACTTTACAGAAATTTACACATATTAGTCATAAGAAAATTAAAGGTTGACTATCTTTATCAAGCTGTAACTGCAATTTTAAAAAAGTTTTCTTTAACAATTTTATAAAGAGAAAAAACAAATATCTATTCTTTTTATACCACTAATTAACAAAATTAAAATTTTAAATAGTAAATTTTTTTTAAAGAATAGACTTTAATTTTTTTAATATTAAATACACATTTTAATATATAGTATATTTATTATATAGTATATTTTAAAATAAGGAAATTCACTTTATATACAATCCACAATTTCTATCCTCTTACTTAATTATTAAATTTCTTAGAACTCCTTTAAATGATGTTTAAAGTCGTTTTTTTATTTACATTTTTTATTTTATCTTACTCTCAACCACCTCAAACAAGATGGATTGGACGTTTTGGTTATTTTGGTAATCAACATATTGCAAGGATCATAACTCGAATTAGGAATTTAATTGAAAGTATTGACATTAACCAACCAATTATATTTAATAATCATGGATTTTATCTTCATGAGACTATTGTTGTTAGTTATCAAGCAGTTATGGTAAGGATTTATATAGTTCATTCCGGATTTAGAAACTTTCTTAATTGCAATCCACTTCCTATTAATTTTCAATTTTCTGGCCAATACATTCGAAATACTTTTCTAGAAATATTAAGATTAGTAGAATACCATGCAAGAATATATGGTGCAGGAATGATTGGAACTGTATATAGATATTTTTCAATAGATTTTATTGGACTTGGCAATAATCCTGTAAGAGGACCTAATGAACCATACCCTAGTTTACCTTATCCAGAAGATTTACCAGATGATAATAATCCACCTTCAAATATTTTTTATGTTAAAAATGACATTGATTCTTCACAATGTTGGCCATATCGAACACAACTAATAAATGGTCCCTTGTATTTTTATGGCACAAAAATGATAAATGGTAATAGTTTAATATCCTCAAATAATAAATTTAGAGCTATATTAACAAAGTGTAATTTAGTAATTGATGATATTGAGTTAAATAAAAGTATATGGTCTACAAAGTCAGAAATAATTGATATTTTTTGTTACCTTCATCTTCAACCAGATGGTCACTTACTTATAATAGACAATAACAAAAATATTATTTGGAAAAATAATGCATTTTGCTTAAATTGCTTAGTATTTGCCATTTTAACAATAGAAGATTCTGGCCACTTAACAGTCACATTTTATAAAAATGGTTTGAAAGAAGTAATTTGGAAAAACAAAATTTAACAGAATATTAATTCTATAAATATAACTATAAATATAAAATGTATCTACCTATGTTTATTGAGTTGTAGGGAATTGCATATCTATAGGATTACCTATATTTAGATTAATCTTGTATTTATAATTTATAAACATGTTTATAATTATTGATCAATTGGATTATTCAAAAATACTAAATAAGAATGACACTATTATTAAGCAAACCAAGTGTTGTTGCATGCAATGTGCAGCAAATTATTATTTATTATAGTGATTGTTGCCTCTATAAAAATTTCATTATTAGTTATTTGTCTTTATTGTATTATGTTTCTTTATAACTATAAAAGAAAAAAAATTACTGTATCTATCACTTAATTTTATTTTCTTTGTGTTTTTTTATCTAGAATAAATCTAGTGAGGTTGAATGTTTGTATTAATCTAAATTTAAATAAAATCATGATTATATACTTATTTATTTATTTAGTGTTAGAAGCTCATTATCAAGGAAAAAGTAAAGTTCAAATCCCCATCGTAGATAGTGATGGCAAAATACCCTTTAATAGGATAAATTATATTTACTCCCCTGATGCTAAGGATCAAGTTGCAACCAAAGTGGTGTAAGATGTGGCTTGAGTGGATATTTTTGATAGAAATGCCCAATCAATTTAAAAGGTATAAGATATGAGAAATAAACTCCTGAATATAATCATTTGGAGAATATCCAAACCAAAGCTTTAGTATTAGTATTTTAGAATCATTGATGGCAACAATGACTTTAGAAGGAGAAGGTGGTGGAACACTAGTGAGGTTAGAAGAGGTATGATATGGTTTCAATAAAGAAACATGAAACAATGAATGCAAGATTATGAATGGAGAAAAAATTAAATTTATAAATAACATTAGCAATGCAAGAGATAAAACCTAAACTTTCAAAATCTAACTTAATGCAAATGTGAGTGGTCTTTTAATAATGACAAAGAATCCAAACCTTAGATAGATAAAGAAAAAGATTGGCTAAAATGATTTGTAGCACAATATTGTGCCTTGGTCAAAAGAAAATGCTATGCATAACTGCAAACTCCCAATCAACATTGATTTGCTGTCACTTAAAACTCAAAGGACCTTTATAGTATTAAAAATAAGCCAACTCTTTCTTCTAAGTATGTTAACTTTGCAGATGTTTTTAGAGCTATTACATCATGTTGCATCTATCTTGGTGGAAGGAAAGTCACTGTTTGTAATTAGTCTAATTTATAATATTTTATTGGTGGAGTTATAGGCTTTGTAAAATAATCCATTTTTTGTGGTTAATTATTGTGGCCTCAAATAAAGTGAACTTTACATCAGGCATAGGTTCTTGGTATGGTGGCTAGGTTTTGCAAGTTTGGGGGCTGGCGACAACTCCATGGTTCAACACTTTTTTTTTCTTCTTCCTCTCGTTGTTTGGTTTTCAGTTTTTTGGGGTTGGAATTACTTAGCATGAAATTTCAAAAAAGGGATAATTAAGAGTGATTTTAAGAAAAATTCATCACAATATGCCTTCAGATGGCTTAAATGTCTTGGCAATTAAATGGAGGAGTGCCTTAAGAAGAGTCTTGCTATTCTTAAGGCATAGCAAGTGGCTTTAGTTTCAGGGAGGAGTCACTTGGGAAGCAAAGGAGTAGATGCTCGCTTAAAGAGTTTTACTTTCTACTTGTTTAGTTTTATCAACTATCCCAAAATTAATATTCATTCAGATGTTGGAACAGCTCTGGAAACTTGATTTTTCACTAAAATCTACTTGTGTGGCACATAGAATCTTATGGTAAATAGAGTTGTAATACTATTTATTATGAATATTCATAATCTCCAAAAATGTATATAATTTATGTTACTGACGAAGTTATGCCATGAAGCTTTACTGTTCCCTGAGATTGGCTTTGAACTCTTCCTGCTCAGCTTAAGTGGGAAACAAGAAAGGTCTGCTGCGGAGGTTAATGATCCAAGTAGACAAAGGTAGCGTTTCCGATTTTCATTTGACCGGACTTCCTCTAAACAGAAAAAGGAATGCCTGTAAACTAGAGGCTTGACGATGCTTCTTCTATGATTTCACAGCAGGGAGCTTCAAACCGGATGTGATCGTAAAGGACACCAACAAATGGACTTCGGCTGTTGGCCTGCGTGAGATAGATGCTGTTGTCGCCTCTTTTCAAGAGCCCCCCATTGATGTCTACGCTGTAGAGCCTATACAGCCCATGGATCCCGTGCCTGGCGATCGCATTGTCTCGCCCAAACATCCCCGTCACAAAGCAAGGCGACGATGATAATGAATTCACGTACACCTGTAACCAAAATAAAGATATCTAGTGAAGTTTCTCCTCTGGGAAGCACAGACCTTGATATTTCCATAATGAGAGCCAGCAATGGCGATCCTCAGCGTGTAGCTTTCATCCTTGATCGCAAGGTCTAGCCAGAATTTGATCTCCCACGTCGTTGGTTCAAAACTTCCATCGCTCTTTACTCTGTTCAAAGGCTTTTAAGAGTTAGAACCAGCTAAAACCAGCTGCATGAACGAACCTTACGCCATGTATGAAGAACCAGTCCTTTGGCCACTGACTAGAGCCAACAGTGTAAACCAAATCCTGGCTGCTGTAGATTTCGGAGTATCGAGTCCATAATCCATACTGTCGAAACCTGAAGCACGCAATGTTTGTGACGGTGGTTTTTCTTCTTTCAAGCACCTTTCTTGGTACACGAAAAGTTTGCTCACGTATTTCGAGTCTGGAGATGGAACAAAAAATCCTGCAGCCGATCTGTCGGGAAAACCAATTTCCCAGAGTGTTGGACCATTCCTGGGTGGTTTATAAACAAGAGAACCAAGGTCATACGAACCGCCTGCAACACACAGAACACACAAGAGATGAAATGAAAAGTTGAGGAAATAAACTCGTACACCAAACCTTGAGAGATCGTAATGCTATCTCCTTGTTTCTTGTAGTCTCCAATCACGCCAGGCACCCAGCCATACAGATCGTAAGTTCCAGGCAGTACATTCGATATCTCAAAGTTCCCGAATTTATCAGCTTGTGTCCAGAACTGATATCCCTGTATGTCCCCATATCAGATCGAGAATCCAAAACCCGTGAAAAGGAAGTTTTTTCCAACTTGCCTTGCTATCTTCTTGCCACGATCCAGCGTCTCCCGGGGGAGCTAGGCCAATCCATGCAAACGCAGCTGGAAGCAATTTGGAAGAGAGGAAGCTGAAGAAGAAAAACAAAGAAAAATCACTACAGTCAAGTAGAATTTCTTTTCTGCAATGAAAGAACCTGTCGAAAACGTAAAATTCCCCAGAGACATGGCCACGCTCCGCTGCTAGAGTGAAATCTGATGAGCCAGGCCAGCTATACGGCCAGGCATCGATCTCCGCCTCGGCCTGATCCCGGAAGCGTGAACAAATCGATCAAGAAACGAAAATGTCGCGATTTCTCACCTGGAGCTTCGCATCCTCCCAAAGAGATCGATGATCGGTGCTGGAGGAGTTGAGGTAGACGAAGACGGGGCCGAAGACCTTCTTCCACGCCTCACCGTCGCGAAACTTGGGGCAAAGCGTGATGCCGCCATAGTGGCTGCCAAGGAAAACCTGGGAGAGGCAATCTAAGAGCCCTAAAAATTTGAAAAAGAGTTACCGAGAGACACGTTGGGCCAGTATGAGAGAGCAAATTTTGCTTGAGAGGTCCTCCAGTCTTAAATTCGTAGCTGGGCGTGATCATCCAAAAGCCCACTAGCGGATCGAATGAGATCCATCCGTGGACCTTGGTCGATCGATTCTCTCCAGAGTATTGGTACTTGTCATCCACCTATAGATCCAAAGTTTTAAATTCCATCTCTGCTAGAACTTTGAGAAGAACTTCTGGAAGAAAAAAATAAAAATAAAAAAATGGAGAGATTAGTCGCTTGCCTCGCCTTTGAGGTTGGGATTTTTCGGATTGACGAGAATGACAGCCTCTTTATACGCGAGTGTCTCCGAGTTTTGTGGATATCTGTCTTGTGGATATGGCATAACTCGCTGCTTGGTGTCGCTGATTGCCATGAAATCGAAGCTTTTTGGACGAGATCGATCAGAAAAACGAAGGAAAAAACCACCACTTTCTTACTTGTCCTGTCCAAGTTTCCATGCCACACGAACTACGTTGAGATTAAAATCACTCCATCCATAAGGTCGATCGAAGATAGCATAAGTGTAGAATCCAGATCTTCCTCTCAGGACCACGAATCTTTAGCAGAAAATATTTAGTGATCGTGAGAAACATCCAAGAGATCTTGTTATTCTACCGCTTGTCAATGTTGAGTGGAACCATTGTCTCGGTGGAATCATAAGGTCGATAGAAGGACAATTCAACCATGTCCTCAGTGTTGGACACAACAGTAAATTTTGTTCCACTGATTCTGGGAAAATCAAAAGAGAAAACATGGTTTTTGACGATCAAGCTCTAAGAAACTTACACATCAAATTTGTCACCACCATCTGGTAAGCTCCAAACCAAGTTCCAGTACCTGTAGACCCACAAGAGGAAATTCTATGGAGTTTTCTATAAGAATTTGCCATACCCTCGATTTGTTTCCTTGTTTCTCCACTCGAGCAAATCTGTGATGCCTCCATAGCTGATCCTAGTCACGTCCCCTCCTGGGTTTGTGAGTGTGAGCTCTAGAAACCCATTGCTGATGACAACCTGCGAGAGAGAAGTATCAGCCAAAGATGCGATTAAAACCCTGTGAGCGTACGTAAGAGCTATTATCTTCAAGCACCACTGGAGGGAGCGAGGCTGACGACATTGGCAATTGTCTCCAACTTTTTTGGGCGCTCGATATATAGACGCTGGAAAAGAGGTATGAAGCACGCCACCAATGCCGGCTCGATTCCTTCTAGATTGAATCAAGCCACACGAAGTAAGCATGAAGGCATGATTGATTGATTGATGAGCAAGGTAGCGAGCGCCTTGCAAAGCTTTCTATGGCCATGGATGACGGCCCCAGGCGTCCACACTCAAATCTTTCACAAGTACACACGGAAGCAAACGATTCCTTGATTTTAAGGTCGGATTCTTCCACTCATGCAAAGTAGAGCTCTTCCTTCTGCGAGAGATCTTATCACCTAGAACATTTGTCTATCTTGTTTATGGTAACATTGATGTTAATTAATCAAATGGAACATATAAAACCCTAGTCTTTCCAAACAATGCTGAATCCATAGAAGTAGAAAATTTACTTCTACGTTGACATAGTAAAATCTCTATTTTCTTGCCACGATCCAACGTCTAGGCGCTAAAACTTTTTCTTGCCAATGACAGCTGTGGCATTGCCCAAGCTGGAGGTGAGGGGCATCGATCCCCTTACCTATCGCATGCGAAGCGATCGCTCTACCATCTGAGCTACACCCCCTCAACATTTCTTATTAGAATAGTCACATTAGTCTTTCAATAATCCAAATCCATCAACGAAGTCTAGCATGAGGAGATGATGGATTGTTGATGTGTAAGAAATGGGTAGCAAGGATTGTCGACGATTACGTCCCGGACGTTCCAACGCTCGCCCAGCGCCTGCGAGCTTGCCGAGATGCCAGGGATGCCGCCCAAGCCAATCGCCTCCACACGCAAGTCCTCCACAGCCCACACGCAAGCAATCGATTCCTTGCCAATCTCCTCATCGAGACGCACGGCAAATGTGGCGCCATCCGCGACGCCCGCCTCGTCTTCGACACGATCAAGCAGCCCAATCTCTTCTCCTGGAACGGGATGATCCAGGCGTATGTGGAGCACGGCAATCTCCGCGATGCCAAAGAGCTGTTTGATCGAATGCCCGGCTCGATCCGGGACATGGCCTCTACAACCATGATGATCAATGCGTACGCCAGCGTGGGTGAGCTCGAGGCAGTGAAGCAGCTCTTCGATTCGTCCAGCCAGAGAGATCTTGTCACCTGGAACACGCTTTTGCAAGCATTTGCCCAAAACGGGCATTTTCTGGAAGCTAAACTGTTCTTTAATCTTATGCCTCATTTGAATGTAGTCTCCTGGACAATAGTTCTTGCGTGCCTTGTTGAAGGAGCGGATGTGGAAGAAACAAAGATTTTCTTTGATCAAATGCCCGTGCGAAATACCTTTTCCTGGAACTGCATGCTCACAGCATTTGCCGCAAACGGGCATTTGTTTGAGACGGAAGCCCTCTTCGATCTTCTTCCAGTGAAGGACCTCCCGGCATGGAACGCGCTATTCAGAGTTCACATCGAGAACAGGGATTTCGATCGAGCAAGAGAACTCTTTGATCGAATGCCGGAGAAGAATCTCATCTCGTGGAATGGATTGCTCTCCGCGGGTGCCCAGGCACGGGAAGTGGACTCTGTGCGTGAAATCTTTGCCGTAATCCCCAAGCAAAACATCCGGTCGTGGATGGTGATGCTGCTGGCGCTGGCAGAGAATGGCCTCCTTGAAGAAACCAAGCGCGTGTTCGATTCCATGCCGACCAAGGACATGATTACGTGGACGACGGTCGTGCTTGGATATTCCCGACACGGGCATATTCCCGAGTCCCAGGAGATGTTTTGGCTGCTGCCCCAGCAGGACATAGTGCTGTGCACGGCGATGCTCCAGGAATATGCCCAGGGCGGGCATTTTGCACAGGCAAAAGAGATGTTTAGCTTAATCCCGGAGCCAAACATCATCACACGGACGGCCATGATCGCGGCATTTGCCTCTCAGGGCCACGTCAGCGACGCACGTGCCATGTTCGATTCCATCCCCCGCCACGACCTCATCTCCTACAACGCGATGATCGCCGCGTATGCCGCCAACGGACGGCTGCGCGAGGCCGGCGACGTGTTCGCGCGGATGCCGCTCGTCGACGGGGTGACGTGGGCGCTCATGATCCCTCTGCACGCCCGCGCTGGCGACGTGGACTCGGCCCGGAGCCTATTCGCGGAGATGCCCGAGAGGAATGTGATGCCCTGGAACTCCATGTGTACGGCGTTGGCCACCAACGGGCCGTACGACGAGGCGCCAGGGCTGCTGCGCGTCATGGCCCTGTACGGCATTCGCCCGGACAAGATTACGTTTACCAGCGTCCTCGCGGCGTGTAGCCATGGCGGGCTTCTCTTCGAGGGCCACGACCAGTTCTTGGGGATGATCCGGGACTATGGAATCGAGCCCGACATGGAGCACTACCAGTGCGTGGTTGATCTCCTGGGACGCGCTGGGCTCTTGGAGGAGGCCTCGCAGCTCACGCGAGAGATGCCCTTTGCGGCGGATGTTAGCGCGTGGACTGCGCTGCTGGGCGCTTGTAGAGTCCACGAAGACCCAATCACCGGAGCTCGCGCCGCGAATCAAGCGTCCAGGATCGATCCCAGGCAAGCCTCGAACTACATTCTCCTCTCCACGACGGCCCTGGCAAAACACTATTAACCTAAATGGTCAACGACGGTCAAATAGTCAACGGCTATCTCCAGGCTTAAATAGAGGAGGTTAAATAAATGGCGATGCTTAGATTTGGATAAGTAGTGGCCAGTGGCCAAATAACTGTAGGGCCCAAGCTCCTGGCAAGATGGACCCGGATCTTTGCATCCCTGCTCCATGCATTTCCATTGGACCGGAACTACGCCAGCATCCACATTTCCAATTTGGGACAATGACCACCTGGCCCAGCCAGTGGCTCATAATTGTGGCCATCTCTTTCTTATATTGAAACTGCTGCTCTCTTTCTTTCGCCCCGCCAGTGTTGTGATCTCTCTCTCCTCCTTATTTTGCTGGATCGAAGATTAGGGTTCTTCGCGGCGATGGTGGAGCCATGGCGCCGATGGCGGCATTTGTGATGCAGCCATGTCGGGTAAAACTAGCGCTGTTGCCGCTGCTTCCAGGCCTTGCGCCGTGAGGAAGGCGAAGAATGGGGGGCAGAAGAAGCAGCCGCAGCGAGGGCTGGGTGTGGCGCAGCTGGAGAAGCTCCGGCTCCAGGAGCAGCAGCAGCAGCAGGATTTCTCATTCCCTCCTCGTCCTCCGGCCCCGGTGGATCACCAGGTACTCGATAGATCCCTGGGCTTGATGATTCCGCAGCAATGGCCAATGCTCCCACTGCTGCCCGGCCAGCATCATGCCGCGCTCCTCTCGCAAATCTCTTCCAGCGGGCTCTCTTGTCCGGGAGAGAAGGACAACAGTCCTTGCTCCAGGAGCGCGCTTCATCCGAGCTCCTTTTGCGTGGACAAGCTGACGCGAATGAATCATCACAGCTCTATGAATCCAGTGCCATCCTCTTGGCAAGATTCGACGCAAGGTGCTTATCATCGATCGCCTCCTCCTCCTCCTCCTCCGCTGCTTAACTCCGCATCAAGGCCGCCGGGTTTGCCTCGACAGCAACAGATGGAGTTTGCCGTGGTACGCATCTCTTTATCTCTTTCTCGTATCTTTCTTTTCTTGTTCTTGAAGCAACGCTCACTCACGCCAACAATGCCCTGTCTTGCAGCTTGGCACGGCTCCTCCGCAACGAAATTCAAAAGAGCTCTCTTCATTCCAAATTGATCGCCATCAACACTGGACTTCGGACGACAAAACGGTACTTATTCGCATCGATATGCGTGTTTAATATCCGTGGCCGATGTTTTAGTGACATCAGAGATTCTTTTCTTTTTTCTAGACTTTGTCGTCTCAGAGGAAGCGGCCCAGGCTTGAATTATGGCTCCGTCCAAAGAATGTGTCTCCTCCGAACGGATCAGATCTCGGGTAAGCCAAGTAATTCTACTTTCTACTTGACTTTGCTCTTTTAAAAGTCCACTTCTATCACATCCTCAATATATTCCTGCAGTGTCACTCGTGACAATGCTCCCGGAGGCTCGAGTCCGCCAGTGGAAAAACCAGTCATGCTTGCGACATGGTTGGAGAAAGATGATCACCAAACTGACAGGACACTTGCTACGGGGACGTCTCTGAATGATTCCACGACGCCATCGCCCACTGTGGTTAACACCAGCTGCTCCACCGTGTCGTCGTCTCCGGTTGTCTCCGAGAGACGGCCGCAAGTCACCGCTGCTGGAGCTTTCCCCGACGTCGAGATCGAGAGCACGCCTCTGAGTGATTTCCTCACGCTCGGTCTGGCAAGCTCCCCGAGAAAATCGCTCAAGAGAAATGGTGCCAAGGATCTTCATCAACTAACAAGCAAGTCGCAGCAAAAGGTTGGAAATCTTTTGTCTTCGAAGGTATATCTTTGATCTTTGTTTCGCTTTTTTCCAGGACGGGACCTGGATCAACTGGATACGCATTGGTGGCAAAGCTGCCGATGGCTACGCTGACGGTGTCTCGTTAGACTTGAATCTAAGACTGTCGATGTGATTTTTGTTCCTCGTGACTAATCAGACAGTGTCTTTTTTCTTTCTTTTTCAGTCCAGATATTTCAGCTGGGCCATGCAATTCGGAGGAAAGTGTTGGCATATTTGTCCTGCCGTTTTGGGGGCGTGCGAGTGATAAAACTATTTCCCATGCGGGTAACTCTCTAATTTTGCAACAAAAGAAAGTATGAAGAGGAAGTTGAAGAGGCATGGTTGTCTTTACACTTCTTGAGGGGAGCTGAAGTTACGTTTGCTTTGGAAGAATGCAGCAGAGGTAAGGCGATTGGTTGCTCTCCAATTTACTTCCAAGTTTTTTCATCTTGCGTTATATCCAGGACGCCTCTTGAATCCGACCTCCACAAAGCCGAGGTGACCATCGAGTTTCTTCGTGCCCGCCTCGTTTCCGAGCGCTCAATCTGCAAAGTTCTTCGTGGGAAAACAGCGGATCTCGAAGGAAAGGCAAGCCATTGTTTCTCTCAAGAGTCTAGTTTCCGATGAGCTGAGAGATTGTTGCACAGATATGTCAGCTGGAGAACAGGCTAGAGGGCGAGATTGCTCGGCGAAAAAACGCCGAACTGGCGACGAAAGAGCTCATCCTGGCACTCCAGTATCCTGCTCCTCCCGTTGCTCCATCTCCAACGCCGAGAAAACACCATATCTCGGATCAAAAGCAAAAGCTCGCGACGACGCGATCGCCGAGACCAGCAAACGACGATGACAGTGGATGCAACTGCAAGCTGACGACGATCTTCTCGTTTCCACGCTCGAGCAAGCCGTGCGATAGCGGAGCGAGCTCCAGTTCTTCGCGCAAGGCAGAAGCGTCGCCACCACCACCGCCGCCACCTTTGCGGGAGATAAGTTTGAGGCATGGAATCGGCGAACAGGCAGCGCGGATTTCCCAGTCGGGCAGGATCATCCGAGCTAGAGAAGATCGCGGCGAGAGTTTGCCGCGGCAGCAATCCAAATCCATGGAGCTGATCCACTATCGATCGGAGCAGCAGCAAATGTGGGTGGCATTGTCCGATAGCGATGCGCAATTGTCCCCATCACCATCGCCGCGGCGCCTTGGAAAATCGTGTAGAACGATCCCGAGGAGAGATCTCTAGGGAGTAACGTTGTCTCTTCCAAAAAGAAAGTTCTTCGTGAAAACGATGTTTTTGAAGAACCCTAGCTCTTCTCTTCTATTCTAGGGTTTAGACGGGCGATGACCGATTCCATGGAGCGGCGCAAGCTAGGCGCTGCCGGCCGCAAGGTACTCAAGGTAGCGGTAGAGGAATTTCCGCTGCGATCGGCAGCGATCCCGCCCTGCTCCATCACTGCAGCTGCCGTGGCTCAGCAACGCGAGGATTCTTCGGTTCTTGTCTACCTGGGGACAGATTCAGGATATTTGCTTCTCTACTCGTGGAAAAGATCGGCCAGTGCTGCTACTGCTGCTCTCCAATCTCCCAGGATCCGTCCGGCCAGGAGCTCTCCCCGGAATTCACAGCCGTCGCCGCCGGCTTCTCCTCTCAGGCACTCGCATTCTCCTTCCCGGGAAGGGATCGACGTAGAGTCGCTCAAGAGCAATGGATCGGCGGCTTCTCCCGAGCGGCAGCGTAGCGATTTGAGGCTCGTGACGCTCAAGTCTCTGGGACGGACCGTGGAAGCGGTGTGTGTTCTTGAGATCGTCGGCCAGGCAGCGGTTCTTGTGGATGGCCAGGTACTCCTCGTCGATTTTCTCTCGTTGGAATCACTGGGGAGCATTCCAGGCTGCAAGGGCGTGACTGCCATAGCTCACGCTATATCTTTCGATGAGACGAGAGTCCCACCATCGCCTCGGTTGGCGGATGGTGGTGATCGAGCTCATTTGGCAGTGGCTGTGAGGAGCAAGATCCTATTGTTCGAGGTCGTCTCGTGGCGGCAAGAGAAAGAGAACGTAGCATCACCGGATGGTCTTCCAGTGACGAAGCTCTCTCTCATGCGAGAACTCTTTGGGATTGAAGGAGCTCACGCTCTTGCCTGGGTGAAGAACTCCATCTTCATTGGGACGAGCCGCGAGTACATACTCTTCACCTTGCGGGACTCCCGAGCTACGAGGCTGTTTTCGTTTCCGGTGGAGAGCCCCTGGAAGCCTCTGCTCAAGCCATTTCCAAAGGAGTCACTGGTTCTACTGGTGATGGATATTGCGGGGATCATGGTGAACGAAGAAGGTCTTCCCGTGGGAGGAAGTCTGGTGTTCTCGGAGATTCCAGACGCCGTTGGACAGAGCTCGCCGTATGCATTGGTCGTCAACAAGGGTGTTGTGGAGCTCTACCATTCTCAAACCGGCTCCAAGGTCCAGTCGCTGGCCTATGGCTCCGTTCCGGTTGAGCCACCTCGCCTTATAACGGATGATAACGATGGAATCATCGTCATCGCCAATGGTGACAAGGTATGTTAACTTGTGATGTCTCTGATTCTCATTCATCTGGTATATAATCGGCAGGTCTCGTGTTTCACTCGAATTTCGGTGGATGACCAGCTAAAAGATCTTTTAAAGCAGAAGCAGTACTCGGAGGCTGTGAAACTGGCGAATGAGGAAGAGGGTGCTAAGTCAAAGCTGGGCATGGTGCATGCTGAAGCCGGGTTCTTGCTTCTTGCCGACCTCCGTTTTGAAGAAGCCATTGATCACTTCTTGCGGTCGGACATTGTCGAGCCTATGGAATTATTTCCTTTCTTTCCGTCTCTTACTTCTCGCTGGCGGAATATGGTACTTGTTTCTGGTGAATCTCCGCTGTGGCTAACGTCGTGGCTTTCAGGTCCCTCGAAAGCGCTACTGGGGGCTTCACGCACCTCCTCAGCCAATACGTACAGTTATCGAAAGCGGTTTATATTCTCTACAAAATGGTCTGCTCACGTCGCCGATTAAGTCGAAGCAGTTTCAGGGCGGTAGCAGAAGTGGACAATTGATGACACAGTATCAATTGGAAGCTTTTCAGTGTTTCGGGAGGTATCTATGTTTTAAAAAGTTCTATCTTAGACGCATTAACATCTGTCGAATTTGCTTCATCTAGATACTGGGAGACAACACGGAAAAAAGATTTAAGCTCGACATCAAGAGATGCCGTCGATACGGTCTTAGTGAAGCTTTATATCGAACTAGGGGCTACAAAGGAGCTTGAAGCGCTTGTTGCCGCCAGCAATCACTGCCTTTTGGTACGTGTACTCATGCTTCCTTTTTGTTCAGAGTATGACTGACAAAGCAGGAGGAAGTGGAAAGCTTGCTAAGAACCTCTGGGCAATTTCGTGCTTTGGCGTTTTTGTACGAAAGTAAGAACATGCTGGACTGTGCGCTCGAAACATGGCACTATCTTGCTCAATCAGCCGAGCAGTCAGCCACACTGGAAACAGCTAGGCTGCTAGAGAGATGTTTTGATACTGACTTGGTACTCCGGCACGTACTTTGGGTTCGTATCAAGCTTCACTTTCGTCAGCCTGACTACAACATACAGTACAGGTTATTCGATTGGACGAGAACATGGCATTCCGTATACTCACATCGCCTCAAAGGACTAAAGCACTTCCAGCAGGTTGGAAAACCAATTTTTTTCTGAGCTGTTACTTACTTGCTTTTGCAGATGATGTTCTACGAGTACTTGAAGCAGACAGCACCATGATTCGTCAAAGGTAAAGAAATTGTTTAGATTTTCTTGGTGGACTTCATATGAATATTACGCACCTGTCAGGTACCTACAATGGCTTATTGATGACCAGGGCTTTGACGATGCGCATATTCATACTGAACTGGCACTGTCTCTTTCTCACTCAGTACTTCAAGCTGACGAGGGACCGGATTCCAGAGCGGCTTTACAGTCCTTTCTTGAGAGTTCGAGTAAGTATGATGTTGGTGCTGTGCTCGACTTGATAAGAGGAACAAATCTCTGGAGGGAACAGGTAATAACACATTACATGGATCTTAACAGCTGGACTGACCCCTGAGGCTCCAGGCAATTTTGCATAGGAAACAGGGAAATGAGAAACTCGCACTGGAAATCCTGGCTTTGTAAGTCTTTGATTGCCGAGAGTTGATTGTAACCGTTTTTATTTGTTTCAGGAAACTCGAGGATAGCGATGCTGCAGAAAACTACTGTGCAGAGCTTGGCCGCCCCGACGCATACATGCAGTTACGTAATTCAGTCCCATGTTTTCCTTGGTGGCTTATCCTTGTCAATTCCTGCAGGCTGCTCCAGACTTATCTTGGGAACGAAGGAAATAACGTAAAACATGCTGTTCGGCTACTTGATCGGCATGGTCCCCAGCTCGACCCGATAGAAGTTTTGGATGTAAGGATGCCCATCTACTTTTCTTATCCATCCTTGTTCTAAAAACAATGCGTTCCAGGCTTTGCCACCGGACATGCCACTTCACTTGGCATCTGAGGCGCTCGTGAGAACGCTACGAGCTCGCATTCATCTCCATCGCCAGGGCCAGGTACGCGATCAATCGTGTTTCTCGTTTGGTTCTCATGGGCTCCGCTGCCATCACTCTAGATCGAAAAGCACTTGACTCGAGGCATCAACTTCCAGACCAGGATGGAAAAACTCGAGGAAAGATCTCGGGAGATTCAAGTCACTGGCGAGAGTGTCTGCAGCTCGTGCAACGCACGGATTGGAACAAAACTCTTCGCAGTTTTTCCAAACGAATCAATCGCTTGCTACAAGGTAAGCTCCACGTTCTTTCTAGTTTTAGGCGAGAAATCTCTCGATCTTCTCTTTCGCAGTGCTTGAGACTACACGAACAAAACACGCAGTAAATTTTGCCACTAGGTAGTAACTACACAAGCAGTAAAAATTTTGTCAATAATCTTACTGCCACGCGTCGCAATCGCAGCCAAGGATTTCTCAGAGAAATATCTTCGTAGCGCTAGGGTTTAGGGTTTACTACGGGCGGGAAGAATGCATCGCGTAGCGCTGCATCCGGGCGCTACGACGATCACCCCCGCATTTGGGGGGCTCAAATTCAATCGCAAGTGCTCGCTCATTCGGGCAGTCGGTAAGAATCCCTCTACTTCGTGTGATTTTGCGTGTCATTGATCGGTCTCGTTGTTTCCTTGCAGCTGGAAATGGTCCGTCGAGGGGCTTCTCTTCCGCTACGAAGAAGCAGCGAGAGGACACGAGGTATGGCGAAGAGGAGTATTGGAACAAACGCTACGCAGAGGAGGCGTTCATGACATTCGATTGGTATCAACGCTATGCTGATCTCCAACCAATTTTGAAGAAGCATATACCAAAATCTGCCCGGGTTTTGATGGCTGGCTGTGGCAATGCGGGTGAGCTCTCTTCCAAAGCTTTGTTTTTCCTTGGTTTCTCAAGAACTTGTGTAGCTCGTGAACTAAAAATCTCTCTTTTCGCAGTTATGTCCGAGGATATGGTGAGAGATGGCTATCAAAACATTGTCAACGTAGATTACTCGTCCGTTTTGATCAACGCTTTGCAGTATAAGTACAAACACATGCCTCAACTTTCATGTAAGATCACGCCTTCTTTTTTTTATATCTTCGGAGTTTCTTTTTCCTTTTCAGATAAAACCATGGACGTTCGGAACATGGGCGAATTCAAAGACAATACTTTCGATGCTGCAATTGACAAAGGTAAAAGAGACGCTTGTACTCTCTTCCTTGCACTATCTTGCAGAATATCACCGTGGCTTTTACAGGTCTGGTAGATGCGATGGTTGTAAGTATCTCGCAATCTTTTTCTTTACTCTCTGGATTCAGTATCTTTTGCTCAGTGTGCGACTAACGGTGCGGGAGACGTAACCCAGATGCTGCGAGAGATGTACAGGTACGCTTTTCCTCTCCATTATCTACTGACATGCCTTCACTCATCCGTTACCTCCAGGGTCATAAAACCGGGTGGCAATTTTGTCATGGTAAGGAAAACCAAGACCATTCTTTCGCTGCCAGAGCTAACCTTTCGGTTCCTCTCATCCATTCCAGGTTACGTATGGCTTCCCTCTCATCAGAGTGCCCGCTTTGATGGACCGGGGCATGAGTTGGATCACAAACTGCTGGATTCTGCGTAAGAAATCTACGTTTTGGTTATGGAATAACTCTCTCGCACCGTGTTCCAGCTAAACCATACTCCGGGAGCGAGCTCTCCGAATACCCGAACCCCATCCCCATGGAAGTCCAAAACTTTATCAACACAAAGCAAGAGCATTACGCGACTGGCACCAATTTTGTCTACGTTGCCACCAAGCGCTCATAGACGAGCTAAGTGCGCACACATCTAGAGGTCGGTCGGCGCGGTACTCTGGTTTCTCTTTTATAGCTTTCTCCTCGTCGTCGTTCGTGGATCGTATCCTTCCCGCTGGAATCTCGTCAATCGTTCTAAAAGCAGCAAAGTACGCTCGAGGGGTAAGGGAGGAACTTTAGACTTTAGACCATGGAAAGCTTGATCGAGTACGAGCTTAATAGAATCACAAAGCTTTGGCAAGAATGAACCAATGGTTTTTATTACCAGTAAGAATATATCGAAGCTATATCCTCTCACCACATGTAGGTTACGTGTGTGCACTCACACACATGCGCGCTGCATGTCCGGCAGTACAGCCATTAAATAATCTTCGCTGTCCCATCGTCTCCTCTCTCTCGATCTTTTGCTTGTTTTGTTTTCATCTCACTTGGCTTCCACCACCACCAAAAAAAATCTCTTTCTTTCCCTGGATTCTATCCATCCATACCTACTGATCTTGGTTTCTCTCCAATCTCTGGATCCTGATAAACGCTTAGAACTCCACCGCAAAAGCAAAACCACACCCGGAAGTGGAAAGTGAGCGATAACCGAAGAACTGATTTCCCTGACCTCGCGCACTTAAGAGAAGGGGGTTTGAAAGCGAAAGCGATTGACAACTGCATTGCACCCATTCCGCGCTCGTACGCTTCTGCGCATGCTGTCATCTTTCTGCTGCTACTGCTGCTGCTGCTGCTGCTGCTGCTGTTCCTGCTGCTAGGAGTTGCAAACTTGAAAATCGTTGTTAAAACGAAGGCGGCCTGAAGAAAGGAATCCACCACGAGCCTGTGTAAGTAATAATCTAAAGTATCTAAACAAACAAACCTGTATCGACGAGCGTTGCTTGGCTTGCTTGTTTTGGTCCCTGCGTCGCATTGAACTTGGCGTCGTCCCGGCTGATTGGCGGCCAATAATCGGTCATCAAAGCATTCCAAAGCGACCGATGATTTTCAAGACTGATGATGAGCCTGATGGTGTAGTTAAGGTGGTCGAGCTCGCGGAATCGAGGACGAGCGGTGGTGACCACCGCCACCTCCGTCATCATCCTTGTTGAGCTCCACGATTTCATCATCACCGCCGATTCCATGGATAACTGCCGGAAACTGTTGCTGCGAGCCCGACTGATAGTAAGAGGCTGGAGGATGAAACCTGCTACTGCTGCTGGTGGGTTCGCGCGGACCCGAAACGTTTCTATCTAGTAGACTACCAAAATGATGAGCCTGCTGCGGGGACGCTGGAAACGGCTCAAACTGCAGTGGGGACAAGCTCGTAAAAGAATGCTGCGGCCTCAGTAATCCTTGAAAGTATGACGATGGCGGTGGCTCTTCGAGAAGTGAGGAAGGCCGAAACTGAGGACTGGATGCCACGAACGGATCGGAGGGAAGCGGATTGGACGACAAAATTGCTGCTGCTGCTGCCGCTGATAGCTGAGGTGAGAAGTGTCCAGGAGAAGTAACCGGGGTCGAAAAGAAGGACAAGTCCAGAGGAGTGGTGGCCAGAGGCAGCGACGCAAAGCCTGGAAAAGCGGGATGGAACTGCCTGCTTGGAACTTGCTCCAGGGACAGTAGCGCCTGTTGGAAGCCGAGCTGCCCGAGGAGTTGGCCTTGGTAAGATTGAGAAGGCGGAGCCAAGTTCTGGAACGGGACGTGAGGATTCTGGAGCAAGCTGGTGAAGCTTTCAGGGACATTGAGCGCGCTGCTGTCGAAGGGTATCATTGGAGCCGAATGTGGCATGCTGCTGGCGATGAACGACTGTGCCTCCGGAGAGTGCGAAGGGCTGGAAGGATCTCTACCTGTTGTTGTTGTTGTTTTCTCCTTCATCCGCTCCCTGGCCCTCTCCCTGGCCTTCACTCTCGACTCGAGCCTCGCCGCGCCTCCTTTCCCACCATCTCCTCCTTCCTTGGCAGACGGGCTCTCAAGGAAAGGCTCCTGTAGCTTTTGCTCCTCTTGCCGTTCTGGCTCCCTGAAAGAAGACGAGCCTGGAGATAGTCCGATGGCTTGCGGATAGAACCGAGGGACGGCTGGTCCTGACTTCACGGACAATGCTGGAGAGAATGCTCCTCCGTGAGCGCCACCCGATGCCCTCTCCGCCGTTAATGGAACCGGTGGAAGGTCGTCTATCGCTGCCTTGGCCTTCTTCAAAAGCCATTCCACTGCCTTGCTTGGTTGATCGTATCCCAGCCTATCTTGCACGTCGTAGAACTGAATCGCTGTCGCCACCGAGAGCCTCACTCTTCTATCCCGAAGCCCCTTGGAAGTCTGGACTTTGCTATGTCGATCTTTCCCACCTGACGGTCTAACGCTACCACGGGGCCTGTCTACCTCTACCTCTACGGAGTGAGCACTTCCGGGCTTGGGGGAGTCGACTACTACCTTGGCGCGAACTTTCCTCTCTTCCGCAACATTCTTCTTGAACGTATCACCCACACCTGCGCTCTCGGAGCTGAAATCCATGGCGGCTCCAGATCCCAAGGCTCCTCCACTCTCGGGCTTCCGGAACGAGCCATCATCAAAGCTTGTCGACTCGCTGTCGGTTCGTCCTCCTCCCTCAGCATCCGCTGCTCCCTCCCTATCCCTTTTCCTGCGATCCATGCCGCTTTTCTCCGTCCCCCTTTCGATGAATTTTCCATAGTCCAACGATTCGTGACGTTTCCCCTGGAGGAAATCTTTGGAATTTGGTGTCAGCTTCTGCCGACCTGTGGAGCCAGCATTCCAGTGTGAGCATACTGGTGGTTGTGATTCAAACTACGAGAATTGTGACAGCCTCTTCGCCCATCACTTGCAACCATTCTCGAGCTCACATTCTTTCAGGAGACTTTTAGCTGATCATCTGCAATGTAAAAACTATAAGGCTCCAGAACTTGTGCTTAAGAAAAAAGCATCACTTTACCACCGAGATGGCAAACAGGGACGACCAGCAGCAGTGATCACAGCCGGAGAGGAATCATGAGCACCAATTTGCTTGCTTGTCAAGTCAGGCATAGCATACCGGTCCTAGCATGTCGGACTTGTGTTGTTGTTAGAATATAAGTGGGCGTCGAGTACCGCAAAAGAGAAAAGCAAGTGAGGAGAAAAAAAAAACGAAGAAAAGAACAGCAAGAGAGACAGACCTTGTTGCACTTGCGAGAATCGGGAAAGCAGTGAGTAGCCAGACGAGCGATCTGTCACGACGATGTCTCTCGGTGAAGAAGAACACACTGTCCGATGAAAAACATGATCAGGCCAGTGTACTGCTGGTGCGATGAGAACCATTTTGTCTGATAAGCGAAACAAATCCTCCCAGCTCCAGTCCCAATCCTCCCAGTCCCAGTCGTGTTCCACCCAGTAGCTCCATCCAAAACCGAAGTCCCATTAACTATGTCTGCCACTACTGCCCGCCCTGACCCCTTTGGACTCGAGTGAAAGGGATGCGCTAACCAGAGCGCTGCTCGCCAGAGCCACCAGAGAGTTGCGACAGCGAAATCTCTTTTCTCCCGCAATGAATTGGCTGATGGAGAGGCTTGCCGCCGCACAATAACGGAGCTGGAAAGGGCCAATCTAAATGCTGGCGGCGCCGCGGCAGCGAGAGGCTGTGGGAAGGAATCTTGGCCAAAACCAGGCGCTGCAGCGATCGCTTTTCGAAGCCGCGCGATGGAAATCCTGGAAATCTTGGCATACGCTCCGATCAGCCTTTCTTTCCCTGGAGAAACCGCGAGATCGGTTTATCGCGTGCGCGCTCAAGGATAGCACGAGAATGGCGAACTTACATCGCGTCCGTGGGGTGTGATTGGCGCAGTTATGGCGAAATCTCCAGAATGCTGGCTCGCCGTCGGCCAAGAACCCTAGGAGCAAGGAAGAAGAAAGCTTGCCATAAACCCCACGGGCGAGGCCTCACGCGTGAAGGGCGCCAGTTCAAACGCTGGCCTGGCCCTTCACGCGTGATGGGCATACACGTGTCAGCAATCTGGACACTAATGCGCGAGGCACGAATCTAGCGTTATAGGAAACCTTGATTTTATAGGCTTTGACCATCAATGTACATGGTTTGGCAAGCGAAATTTATTTTTAATCAAACTCACTCCATCGTGACGATTAAAAAATCTATAGAATCGTCAACTTGCAACAATTTCGCCTGTGGGTATAATCAAAGGAAAGCTTTGTTTTAGCTTGGAAGTGAGTGATCAAAGACTTTGGATATAGCACGTAAACGGAGGCGTTGTTTTCATGGACAGTGTCTTCCAAGCCGCAACTCTGAGAAAGATGTGAAGCAAGGAGATCGATCGCTCACCTCGTGTGATCATGCCATAGAAACATCGTCGACGACCTGGAAAAACCATCCCTCTCTCGCCAAGAGTGACATGCCCACGCAAAGTGGTCCTTGTTTCTAGCGTGAGTGACCAGACTTCCCGGCTTAGAGGCTCTAACAGCGCGCATTTTTCCTGCCCAAGAGAGAAAAAACACTTCGAGAGATTCGATGCACAAAACTAGAGGGAAAAAGGAAACGAAAGCACTGACTCACCGCGTGCGTGTGCTGAAGAGTTTGTCGCGAATCACGAATCTGGAACTTCCTTCCAGGCAAAACGAGATTAACAGCGTCACGGTTGCGTTGCGTGCCAAGTCAGGACGAAGAACGCGTACCCCCCTTTTCTTGGACGGGCCATCCACACGAACGAATCCAAAACAAAAAAACGCAGATCTCAATGCTGCTGATGCCGATGCTGAGGCTCCTGCAACACTCACGTTCGCAAAGTATTAGCATAAAACTCGGCTTAGAAAGCAAAAAACAAAAGCAATCTAACTTACGTTTTCGGGGTGTCACAACCAAACTTTCTGCTGTAACTCCTCCGCTCTCCTGTAAAAGTAGGCCCATCGTCATAGCACAGGTTGGTGATGCTTCATCATCATCACAAGCGACCAAATTTTCCTCCATATCTTTCTCCTCCTCTTTGTTTTTTTTTCTTTTTTTCTCTGCTCGTTTTTCGGCTGCCACGGACGGGGCTGACCGAGTCGTCCTTGTCTCAAGCTCCGAAACACTGGTGGCATTGCAACCAACTTGACTCCATAGTGACACCCATGATGCAGCACCAACACCAGCCAGCAGCTTGAAAGAGATCGACTGACAACGTTGCTGCTGTAAGAGCTGCCTGGCTGCCACTGCTCTTCCCAAGTACCAGTTATAAAGAAAAAATTTCTCGCCCCATTGCTGTTCTTCTTTTCTTCCCGTCCTCTCACGTGACATCCCCGGCTTTAAACCTTTTTGTCCTCTTTCCTCATTTCCTGATGCCTCCCACAAACTTACTGATCAAGAAAAAGCGGTGTATTTCCAGCTGATTGCGACGCAGCAACTCCAAGCGGCTTCACAGATCTTCCGAGGCGTCATCTGCGCTTGCAAAGGAAATATCCCGTCCCTGAAAGCTTGACTCGCTTCCTACGTGTCAGTGACAAAGTTGCTGTTGTTGCTGATGCCACCGTTTCGAGAAACAAAGGGGCGTCGGCAACACGATGGCAAATTAAAAGCTTCTTTCCATTGACTACAAAGCCTGAGGAAACAAGGGAAGAACTCCTGCATCAGTCCATCATTAACTCCCGATCGATGAGAAGAAGTTTAAACAACGGAGAACCTTTGCGTTTTTAACTCTCGCGCCGCTTGTCGGTTTTTTCTCCTCCGCTGGTGGCTTCGATGGAAGAAGATGATGGCTCCGTCGGCGCGGTAGCTTTATGGCCGGGGTTCGTGATCATGACGAAGTCCAGAAGCTGCGGCTCTTTCTCGGTCTTCAAGGTAGATGGCATTCCGGAAAGTTCCTGAACTAAAGAATGATAAACAAGAAACAGTGAAAGGATTAATTACCTTGAGAAGATGGATCCTAAGCTGGCTCGGAGAAACGCTTTCTCCAATACAAGTCATGACGAATGGAGAGTAATGCATCAAGGCGTGAGCTGCCGCCAATTTCTTCTCTTCTACCTGGAAATTCGCGTTGGGATTAGAAAAGATCGCGCCCACATCACCATTTTCTCACCTCGTAGCTCTCCATACACACTAGCCCTAGAGGAAAGGAAAGGTTTCACCGACTTGATAGAATAAAATAAAAGAGCTCACCCGCAAACTTTCACTTGGGAGCCTCTTGAATTGGTTTGATCCCCACGCTGCTGAGACGCAGCTGTTTAGACGTACGCCTGAAAGGTTCATGAAATGCATCATAGAGTCGCTTCACCTGCACAGCATTAAGAGAGAACGTTTCAATACGAATTTCCAATGAAACCTTCGTACCTTCCGCTCGCCGATACCAGGACAGCGTGCTAAATCTTCCATGGAAGCGCTCATCACTGATGCCATGCTCTAAAGCAAGAGGAGTAGAAATCGTAAGAACGAACTTTTACATCAAAGTAAAAGCAAGGCAAGCAAGAGATTTCTGCTTACCCCAAATGTTGAACCGAGTGTAACAACATCCGTCTTATTGATATGCCTTACGCTCGTCAATGCACTTGTGAGCTGCCAAACGATTAGCATTTGTTTACGCAAACCATCTCCAAGTAAGCTTACTCGGGACAAGTAGTCTTGGTCAGTCCTTTCTTGGATGTTATCGGCTGGCTTGTTTTCGTACATCTTTATAGTTTCCAGGTAGCGAGCGCATTCTTCCAAGCTGCAACGAACGTTACAACATACGATCAGAAAATACTACAGCAGTTTTGAAGCAAAGTACCTCCAAGCACAGAGCAGACTACAGTCATGGAGCAAAGCCGTCTTTGTCACTTCGTGCAATGGCTTAATGACATCCTCCTGAATAGTTCGAGCAGAAGAAAGCGTTATAGAGCTGAGCTATGAAAGAAAAGTGTGGAGATATCACTTGCCACATCCACATAGCACAACACGACTCGCAATCTAAAGTTTTTCTGCAGCTCGCGAATTCTAAAGTAGAGGTAATCCGGGTGAAGAAGATGGTAGCGGATGCTACACACAAAGGACGCAGAAGTTTAGAACATCTTTCCAAATGCTTGAGAAGTTTCGCCACCTGAGATACAAGGCACAGGAGCTCTGGCCAAGGACATAATCGGGAACAATGTCGTCAAACGTCCACCTCACATTGCGAATAAACTTGAGCACCGGATTTCCTTGCTGAAAAGAAAAAGATGAATCACTCGTTCTTTCGGAGCTTGGAGAAATCTCACTGACCTGACGCCGGCTCACAAGGATCGCATTTCGAGATTGCGAATTAGAAGCCCCACTTGCTGCTCCTGCTGGCGCCGATCTGCGAAACAACGATCAATCGCAAAATCCTCGCAATGGTAACTCCAATCCAAAACAAACCCTGAAGGAGGAGGCGCTGGAGCGGAGTAGAACGCGCCTTGCCTCACGAAAGAGAATGCATCCCCAAAGGACTGTTGCCGTGGAGCTTCTCCGTCCATAGCCCAAAACCTCCAGCCCTAAATAAAAGCCCTAATTTCTACCGTACAAGGAGGGGAATGTACGGCAAATCTTTGTTTCAAAGCATTCTCGGCTATGGCGGATGGAGGGAGGAGGCGAAATCCCCCGGAGAGGTGATCCTCGAGGTAGGGATTAGCGCACCCTGGCACCATGCGACCGGCATTCCGGCCGCAGCAGGAGCAGATCATGATCGCGGCGGTGTCCAAGCGCCGGGGATTCTTCCTGCTGTGGATCGCCTTCTTCCTCTGCCTCTTCGTCTACCAGAGCAATTACATCGCCCAGGTGAGTGGATCCAAGAGAATCGCGAGAGCGGTGCCCAGGCTCCGGCCAGTGGTCTTCAATCTCACGGATTTTGGGGGGATTGGCGACGGCAGGACGATCAACACGCGCGCATTCGAGCGGGCTGTGGCTGAGATCTCGAGCGCGGCGGCCAAATCCGGGGGCGCGCAGCTCAATGTTCCTGCTGGCGTGTGGCTCACCGCTCCATTCAACCTCACGAGCCATATGACCTTGTTCCTCGAGGAAGATGCCACCATTCTCGCCACCCAGGTACTCTATCCATCGTCCTCCAAGCTTTCATCGTTCCAAGTGTTCTAGCTCATCGTTCTAAGCGTTTTCTAGCAAAGAACTTTCTAGATCTTCTCGTTCAAAAATCTTCTCTTTGGTTTTCCTCGTTCCATGCCCGATGCTTCGATCTTCCTCCATTCTTTCTTCCATTTCAAAGTGTTTCTAGCGAAGAACTTTCTAGTGTTTTCTCTTGATCTTCTCGTTCCAATTGAACTTCCTCCTCCTTCCATGCTCGATCCTCGATCTTTACGTGCGTTTGTGCGTCTTTCTCAAAGCTTTCTCGTAGTGTTTTTTTTGTTTCCATCTCCATGCTTCCTTGTTCTAACTAAGAACTAACTGTGTATTATAACAGAGCGAGGACTTGTGGCCTCTCATGCAGCCTCTACCATCCTACGGCCGTGGACGAGAGCTTCCCGGCCCCCGCTATGGAAGCTTGATTCACGGCCAGCATCTCGAGGACATTGTCATCACAGGTTCGTCATTTTCCTCGCTTCTATAACTTCATCGATCTCCAGCAGTGTGACCATACAGGACACAATGGAACCATCGACGGGAATGGGAGGAAGTGGTGGGAGAAAGCCAAGCTCAAACAGCTGAAACACACGCGGGGACGTCTCATCCAGTTCATGTGGTCTCGCGGGATCGAGATCTCCGACGTGACTTTGAGGAACTCGCCCTTCTGGACTGTGCATCCTTACGACTGCGAGAATGTAACCATCAGAGGCGTCACGATAATTGCTCCACCAGATGCTCCAAACACTGACGGGATTGATCCTGGTAAGAAACAATGCAAGTTCGTGTGTAAGTAGTTCTTGACAAACTTCCTTTGCCAGATTCTTGTCGGAACGTTTTGATCGAGAACTGCTACATAAGCGTCGGAGACGACGGTGTCGCTGTGAAGAGCGGATGGGATCAATACGGCATCGACTACGGCAAGCCTTGCGCGAACATCACCATCCGGAACATTCAAGTGAATGCTCCTGTAAGGTGGGAAGAACTTCTTTTCCTTTCGCTCTATTCCAGTTCGTTGATCGATCAAAGTTGACGTCCATCTCCACAGCGCTGGAGTTTCCATAGGAAGCGAGATGTCCGGAGGAATCACCAACGTAACAGTGGAGAACGTTTACATCTGGAACTCCAAGCGTGGAGTGAGGATCAAGACGACGCCAGGAAGGGGAGGCTATGTCACCCAAGTGTTCTACCGCAACATCACCATGGAAACCGTGAGAGTCGGCATCGTGATCAAGACCGACTATGGCGACCACCCGGACGAGTTCTACGATCCCACCGCGCTGCCGGTGGTGGAGAAGATCTTCTTCGACGGCATCTATGGCAGCGAGGTGAGAATTCCCGCGAGGATCTATGGCAGCAAAGAAGTCCCCGTCCGGGGGCTGGAGATCCGCGACATGAACGTCGGCGTCACGAGAAAGAAGAAGCACGTCTTCCAGTGCTCGTTCCTCCAAGGCCAGGTGTTTGGGACGATCTTTCCAAAGCCTTGCGAGGATCTGGGGACGAGCTCGAGGCCGGGAGTTTTCAGAGAGGCAAAGATGACTTCCGAGAGTGATGGTGACGACGATGCTTAGAAATCGAAGGAACCACTCACGGTATCTTTTTTGAGCAAGAAAAAAACGTAACTTTCCTCCAAAAAAGCTGACAGCTCGTTAGAAAACACTAAGAGCTCTTGATTTCTAGAAAAATGAGAGTACTTACAGAGAAAAAAAAAATGGTTACTGTTGATTGAACCTACAAAATAATTCACAAGATGGTTGATAAGCTTACTTAGAACTCGTTGACGTAAGTTAGAATCGCCGAAGCCTTGCAAGAGCACCTGGTAGAAAAAAATATCCATTTTTTGTCAATGGAACTAGAATTTACCTGGAGCGCCAGTGATAGTGTCAAGAACATCTCTCGCCACAGAGAAGGTACCACCGCTTTCCTTCCTCCTTTCACAGAAGAGATGGCACAGGGGCTCTCCAGCCACTTTCCAAGCAAACGTGAAGCTGGGCTTCCACTCTTTCTCGTTTTCGCTCCCTGCTCGCGCTCGATCCAAGCAAAACTGGACGTGATCGTGGACAACGCTGTAGATGGCGCAAGACTCTTGGTAGATCTGATAAATACTCTTCTTTGCTCCATCCAAGTTCGTGGATCCGGTATAAAGCATCTGAAAAAATCGTCTTTATGAGTGAAAACCAACGACAAACTTAAAAAGCATCTGAAAAAATCGAGAAAAAACCTTTTTGTGTGATCAGCGAGAACCTTACCTGACAATACTGCGCAGCGATCTCGTCCGTCTTCTCGGCCGATTTCTCGTCCAAGGCCAGGCTTATTTCCAGACGATAGTTGTTAAAGTGCTGCCTCCACAAGTCTTTGTAGCTCAGGTAATTCCCGTAGACAAACTCCTCGTAGAACATCAGAGGTCCTGAAACAACAGAAAGCTTCCTCTCAAGAACAAAAGAAAAGCACGAGTTGTCCGTACCTGTGAATTCCTTGGCTTCGTTTTCAATTACCTCGGTCACTAGATTATAGATCTTTCCAAATATCGAGGTTGATCTATACACATTGTCCTGTTGCTGGATCTTACGTCTATTCGGATTGTTGCTGTTCTCTTCGACTAGGAAATGCGGCTTGATCTTGTCGCACAAAAGCCTATCCTCGATAGTAACCTGCGAAGAAATGCTCAAACCAAAGTTTTCACTCCAACTAAGATAACCATTTCTCCGGTTTTATCCGCGTCCAGAGCCAAGTAGTACAAATCAGCGAGCTCGAGAAGGCAATTCTGCCGAAACTCCCGTTCGCGTACATTGTCAAAGCTTGTGCTGAGATACTTGTCCATGTGAATCAGCCAGTTTGTGGCCGCTCGGGAGATTGCAAAGCTGCAAAACAGTGAGAAAAACCAGTGACAGAAAAATGTAAAGATCGATCTTACTTTGGCTTGAATATGGCTCTGAGGAACATAGCCACTAAACGGCTCATTATAACTTCGGGGCTCATCCCCAAGCAACTCGGCACGGCCGTGGTTCCGTTTGTTCTTTTCTCTTGCCATGGCAATTGCGGCTTATAGAGGTTTGAGACCTGCTAAGACGAAGATCATCAGGAACAAAGATGGTAGTGTTTACAAAAAGAAAACCAGAAACACACCTGCTCGTTCGTGCAAATCCAGTACAAATCACCGTCCAGATCGCTGTTTGCAATCTCGTGCACGACGGAACGAGGCCCTTTCGTCGGGAAGATTATAACATACTTGCTGTTTCCGAGGCAACTCTCCAGTTCCTGGTTCCAAGTTGCCTCGAATACGTGAACGTCGCCGGGGTGCATCCCCGGGTGCTTATAAACGAGAACCTTGTGCCTATGCAGAGGTCCATTTTCTCTTCGACAGAAAGAAACAAAAGAACAACTTGTAAGGAACGATTAAATGCCAGAGAGACACTTACAAGAGAATCGCGACTTGGTTTCTCGCAAGCGTGTTTGTAGGATCCGCAGATCCCATCAAGTAGTACGAGCCTTCGAGTGGAACATTGGCTTTTGCGTAGCGTTTGAGCTGCGTTCGTATCATCGTCATTAGACTGTTTCTTAGAAAGTGATCCGTCAGCGGGATCCCTGCGAGAATCATCCTTCTCGGCATATCTCCGAACGAGAATCTCGAACAAACTGCATCAAACACAAAATGACGTCACAGAGGAAGAGAAAGAAAAGAAGTTCGCCACTTTAGCTATAACTTACGCCTGTGAGCGGCAGCAATATCTTGCAGGGGAGTCATGGCCTTCGCAATCGCTTCTTGCACTACCTGGATGAAAAAACTTTCAGGAACACCCCCTTCCAGTAAGAGAGCTATCACGTAGCGTGACAAGCTTGCTACTGGTGGCTTGTGGCTATACAAAAACTCCGGCCATTAGAGGTTAGCATATTTCTCTCATAATCTCTATACCTTGTGGTGCAAATCTCCAAAGAATTGAAGCTTGGACAGTTTGCCAGTTTGGGATCAGCCTTAACCTTGAGCATTGAATCCCTGTACACGATTGTTTTATGCTGAAGCTGCAAAGAGAGAGATTATTGTAAGCACCGAAATTAGGAGAAACTCACTGTTTTTAAAGTTAGAAGCGTGCCTTTGACTGCTATCCCGTGATAGAAAAGACGTACTTGAAGCAGAGCAGGATACTCCTGTAGAAAAAAATCAGCTCGATGAAAATGGAAAAAGAAGATCAACCTCTGAAGTATTCACTGCAACTTGTTTCGCTAAATCCTCAGAAATGAATCCGGTTCCATCCGTATGGATCAAAGGCTTGCCGTTACAGCCCACTGCAATCTCTCCCCCCGGATCATGCTGCAGCAAAGATAATCAATCTGTTAAAACACGCAGCACAACTTCGGACAAAGGCCGCAACTCTGCATGGAATGTCCTTGAAACAAACGACATTAACTTCGCTCATGTTTACGTTGGCTGTCCATGTTTTTGAGAGTGCCAGTTGCAGCCTAGAGCCAGGTGCGTGAAAACCTGTGCAAGTAGAAACAATCATGGAAAACAAACCTCTTGTTGTAGAGCTGCAAGCATGGAACCGTGTGGATGTGCATGATATACTTCCGACAGGCATCCATCGAGCGGAACTTCAAGAAGTGCGGGTCAACCAGGTCGCTCGCAGCGATGGATTTTGTACACACGAAAAAGGATCGTTGCTGCCGCGTTTGCTTGACTTTTCTCATGTTTTTGCGTTTTTTTTCTTCCTTGTGCACTAAAAGAAAACAAACTGAGTTCGAGAAAACACAAACTAAAAACAAGAGCAAAGATGATCAATCCATCTCGTACCAAAGTACTCGAAATGGCGAAGCCCAACGTCGAAGCCCCTCTCGATGATATCTCGATACATCTCTGGACTCGTGACGCCTTGGCAATTGAATCTCACCTGGAGAACTTTATCGTCTCCAAAAGCTCTCTGCAAGGGAGTCCTGCCATCCTCGTAATATGGCCTCTGCAAAAAGAGAAAAAAAAAAAAACATAAACTTTGATTGCTTACACAAGACAAGCCAGAGAAATAAATAGTCTACCTGGTAGGAAATCCTCCCATGCTCGTCGACATCACAGGTATACATCAGCGACTTTGGAACTCGAGGAGCGCTATTCTGGCAAGAACAAACAATGGCCTTTTGGAAACCAAGCAAGCAAAGCTCCTAGCCTACATTGAGCGGAAGTCGCTGCCTCGCATTCACCAGCGAGCATAAGTACGACTCGAAAGCTTCACACTTGACGTCCTTCATTCGTCTCAGCTCCTCCACGCCGAGACGACCCTTTGCAAGGCACTGGATGAGATACCTCTTGTAGAAGTCAAGCTCCCCCAATGCTCTATCCTCGGAGCTCACTGGAAGAACAAAAAAAAGAGGTATCTTGAGACACACAAAGAAAGCTCCACACGATCAAAGCAAACCTGGCAACTGGGACATGACGGCGTCGTCTTGCTCGAGGAACTCCTCCACGTCGTCTTGAGACCATCCGTGGAAGAGTCTCTTCCTCGCCACAGGCTCTTCCTCATCGCCCATCATCGTGTACGGGCGCCTAAAACCCCCAATCCAACGTTCACATGCTCAAAAACTACAGCCCGACTAAATGCTCCCCCCGAGGAACCCGCGTCACGCCGCCCGGCTCTGCGGTACCGCTAGCGGTATACGTAATGCCATGTCAGCACCTACCATGAGCCCTAGATTAACCAGCGCGGCATCAGGACAAACGTGGCACCGTTACTGTACACGTAATGGTCCGAGCTGGCTGCCACGTGACCACTGTGGCTTATAGAGCCGCGTCGGCATCAAACCCTCGAGCTTCATGACGGAGAAGAGATCCAGTGCCCTGTGGCATGCCAATGCTGTTCCAACAAGTTCGATCGCGTCGAAGCTAGCTAGATCCAATCATACATGTGAATCAACGGGATGAGCAGCATCTCCCTGTGAGAATGATCGCAAGCGCCGCAAGGAGAAGGATCCAAGAGCCCCAGCCGCGCAATCTCGCAGTGGATCTCCTGCCCTAACCCGCCCCCCTAAATATCCCACATTCCCGCCCAATTCGAACAACATACTCCACGTAGGGCATTCCACGTCACTATGCTGACAAGAGATTGTCACAGCGAGACTCGAACTCTTGGGTAACTTTGCCAACTTAAGCCAGCAGAACAAAGCTTTGTCTCAGCACAATGCCTCCACAAACTAAGTTGCGTTTTTTTTTTTTTTGTACAGAAAGATATGCATGCAGTTACTTGGGGTGCAAAAACATTTGCCAAATCAGAGGAAATTGAAGAGAAGAAATTCGAGCATTCGATGATAGCGCTGAGTGAGATGGTGCTTTGAGGTCTTGTGTGGACAGCATTGATGTTTAGCTTTCCGTCTTCATCATTTTGGCAAATTTTTGATCGGATGCAGAAAGAAGTTTATCTAATTTATGACCTTCAACATAATTTATATTAGATTATATTTACATCATACTATATGATGGATGCTGTTAGTGTCCAAATACAACACATTTCAACTTTTGATATATCAAGAAAATCAGTTCTAGTCTGAAGAGATTGACTATGAAGTCAAGTCAGTCCTGCCAAAAGTTCGACAAGTCCCAAAAGCTAGGTGGAGACTTAACATTACGTTTCTCACCCAAACTCAATAAAAAATGGTTTTGGTATAAATTATCAAATAGTAATATTAATTTTATTGTGGTTGCCGACATATCCAATCTTAAAGTTACAGAGTAAAATTATATTTAGTGTGTCCTAAAGTCCATAAGTACGAACAGTTATTCCAGTTCTAGCCAGTCAAGTTGACTGTGACTTCTTTTTACTTCTCATCTGGAGATCGTCTCTTGAATGGCTCTGAAGTGAACGATTTCCGCATAAGAGATTCAATTATACCAATGGTGCTTGTATCATTTGGTGCGTTACAACGAAAAAACTGAAAATAATAAACCAAACACTAATATATCAATGCTGCAAACACTAGAACATTTGCACAGCAGATTATTGTCAATCCTTTTATTTGGGACATGACCAAGTCTAGCTTCAGATGTCCGCAACGTTGGGATTTCCAGAGTCCCTGCAATTCCCACAATAGTTCAGTGTGGCCTCGCAATTACCCCCATCGAATGCATGGCTTCCGCAGAGTCGGCAAGGCTGGTTTTCATACACATGGAGAAACTGCTGCTTGAGAACTGCCCCACTCACGGATGGATAGTTGCCATCGCACCTGAAAATTGCGGTGCAATGGCCAGATACACGAGAAGTGAAGCCATTATAGATTGTTCCGTCGGTGTAGCGAGAGATTGCTCGCCGGCAATCGGCCTGGTTGACTTGCGATCCACACAATCCAGAGCCATTGCAGTTGTCGTTCTTGGCGGAGCTGGACGAGCCAACGAAGATCACAAGAAGAATAGCAAGGACAGAAGACAGCGTGAGAGAAGACGCCATTGGAATTTGCTAGAAAGAATGCGATCTTCATCTGGTTTATAAAGTATTACATGACCTTTTAATTTTTAAAGCTTCTTTTAATTTTATTTTTCTAATCGAGAACTTATTTCAAATTAAGACTCAAGTGGTTGTCACCGTGGAAAATATCAACAGGAAAACAACAAAACTATCGTCTAAATAACGCTTCGTGAATTTTCTAAGGTAAACGTTGAGCTGTCTTTGCTTGGACTATTGATCACGATAAGAGTTACGTGATTCATCTAAAGAAGAAGTTTTGTTGTTTTCCTTGATATTTTGGATCCACAGTTCTCGAGATGTCATCCTTGTTAAGGCTAGAAGCCTCCAGAAACGCAACCGTAGTCTCTCTGGATTAGAAAACCTTGCTCCTCCAAAAGCAATTGTAAGTACTTTGTTTCCTGGCGCTTGGACTCTAATTCTCGCTTCTAAAACTATGTTCTATGTGCTTGACAGAGGTTTATTTTTCATCAGTTTCATGAGCCTTGAAACTTCAGCCATAAACGTCTGAGCCTTGACACCCAACGAGTCCCAAACCCCTGCTATAATATGCTCTCTGCGGAACAAGTATGTGAGAAATATAGCTATGACCACTCCAAGCGTTCGCCATGTGTAATGCCATGTCAACACCTACCATGAACCCGTTCAGCCACCAGCGGTATACCGCGCGGCAGTCCACGCATTGGCCAGCAGCACAAACGTGCACGGCTCCGGCACCGGCAGTACCAGCTCTTGAACCGCCCGCTGACCACGTGCCACGTCACCGTGGCTGCTACACGCGCCCAAGAGAGCCATCCACGTCATCGCGTCGCGCGGCATGGCGTGGGAGAGCTCCTCGGCCCCTTCGAGCTGGCCTGCCCGCCCAAGCGCGTCCACGATGCACACGTAATGGTCCGAGGTGGCTGCCACGTGGTAGTCCGCCGCCATGGACGCTGCCAAGCCCAGCGCTGCCGCGACCATTCCCCTGTGGCTTAGAGCCGCGAGAACCGCGATCAGTGTGATCGCATCCGGCATCAAGCCCTCGAGCTTCATGGCGGAGAAGAGATCCAGCGCCTGGGAATCCCGGCCATGGCGCGCGAATGCTGTGATCATCGTGTTCCAGGACACCAGACCCCTGCGATCGATCGCGCCGAATTCCGCGCTAGCTAGATCCAATCGCCCGCATCTTGCATACATGTGAATCAACGCGTTGAGCAGCATCTCCCTGTGACGACGATCGCAAGCGCCGGGATCCAAGAGCCCCAACCGCGCAATCTCGCAGTGAATCTCCTGCCCTAACCCCAGCCTCGCACTGCCGGCGCAAGCCTCCACAAGAACAAGCCAAGACACCTCTCCTAAATTTCCCACATTCCCGCCCAATTCAAACTCGCGGAGAAACACATCCAAAGCCACGTCAGCCTGGTAACCCTCCACGTAAGCTGCCATGAGGGCATTCCAGGTCACCATGCCCTGCTTGGGCATCTTCTCCAGAATCTCCCTCGCTGCGGTTAGATGCCCCGTTTGGGCAAATCCAGTGACGAGCGCATTCCAGGAGCTCATCTCTCTCTCGGGAATTCTATCAAATGCCACCCTCGCGGCATCCATCGCGTTTTTGTCTGGATTTCTCGAGTAGCAGCTGAGCAGCGCGTTCCAAGAGATTGTGGTGTGCTTGGGCATCCGATCGAAAATTTGCCTAAACGATGAAGAGCCACACATCAATGCCGTCCACGAGAACACATCGTGCTCACTCATTCGATCAAAGAGCTCTTTAGCATCGCGCGCCATGTCATTCTCACCAAAGATTGTGATCATCGAATTCCAGGACACCAGATCCCACTCTGGCATGAGCTCGAATTTCTTCGTTGCCTCTTCAATTTCCCCTGATTTGGCAAATGCTAACACTATTGCGGCCCAAGTAATTACATTCCTTTGTGGCATTTTACTATACAAAGAACAAGCACGATCAAAATTTCTAGAATTAAGGCAAACAATCAACATAGCGTTCGTGGAGACAACGTTGTGCTGAGGCATTAAATCGAAGCATTGTTCTGATATATTCATTTGCCCATTTTCGGCATTTGCGACAGTTAGAGTGATCCAAGAGTTTGAGTCTCGCTGTGGCATTCTCTCAAACAGAGAAACCAAAAGCCCAAGATCTTTTCTACTACAGTAATGGATCATGGAGTTCCAGGAGACGATATCGAATTGGGGCATTTTCGAGAATAGCTCCATCGCTCGATCGCAGCCCGCTTCTTGCGAGATCGATGTCAGTGCGGTTGTCCAGGAGATTAGATCCCTTTGCGGCATCGCCCAAAAGATCTCTGTCGCGGATTCTGCGCAACCACTGCTGGAGATCATCAGGTTCCACGAAGAAATGTCCCAGCAGGGCATTCTCCAGAAGAATTCCTCCATGCTTTCCCTGTTTGCATGTGCCTTGAGGATCAGGTTCCAAGACACGACGTTCTTGCGGGAAGATCGCTGGAAGAAATCGATAGCACTTTGAAGACCCAATCGACTCACGATGCCGCCGAGCACCGAATTCCAGGCGATCACATCCTGCTCTGGCAGCCTCTCAAACATTTCCATTGCTTCCTCGAATCGCTCCTCCGAGAGGCCCTGAATCATCGAATTCCAGGTCGATGCGTTGTGCTGTGGAGCCGCGTCAAAGATCTCTCGCGCTTTGGTCATCTCCCCACGCCTCAAATACGCCACAAGGATCGCGTTCCAGGAGAAAAGGCTGCGCTCCAGCATCCGATCGAAGAGATCCTTGGCCTCGTCGACACGAAGGCTGCTGCCAAGCGCCGCGATCATTGTCGTCCAGGCCAGGGAGAAGGAGGAAGAGTCCCCGGGAATCACCAAGAACAACTCCATGGCGCTCTCCAGATGCCCGTTTTGCGAGAGCCACAAAACCATCGAATTCCAGCTTATTCCATCCCGCGCTGGGATCTTCTGAAACATCTGATTTGCGCGGTCGAATATGCCGCAGTCGAGACACCCCTGGATCATCGCATTCCAAGAAACAAGGCATCGATTGGGCATCCAATCGAACAAAGCTTCGGCCTTTTGCAAATCCCCGCCCGCGGCATACGCTAACATCATCGTTGTCAACGTGATGGGATTCCACTGCGGCATTTTTGAAAACAACGATGTTGTCTCGTGGAATTTCTTGTTGTCTGCGCAGCTTGCCATGATTGAATTCCATGATACGACATTTCGATTTGGCATCCGATAGAAGCAGAGCACTGCCTCGTCCGAATGCCCGGTCTGGGCAATTGCTGTGAGCATGATGTTCCACGAGTAAACATTGGGGTTCTCGATCTGTTGGAAGGCAGCTGCTGCATCGCGCAAGCTCCCAAGCCGCGCATACATTTGAACGACCAGATTCGCGAGAAATGTGCTCCAGCTCGAGATGCTCCCATGGACATGCGCGTGCAAGCGCCGTCCCTCCGCAAGGCTACCACAGCGACGGACTGCACTCGCCAAATGGTCCTCGATCATTCATGGAACTCCATAAACTAAATTTAAGGATATTCTTTGTGTTAACCATATTTACCTATAATTAAACTATAATTTGGCTTTGACCTTTATAGTTAAAATAATTATTTTTAACAAAGTCAGTGCCAAATATATAATACAAATACCGTGTCCAAATACAACACGAGATAGTTTGACTATAAAGTCAAGTTGGTCTTGCCAAAAGCTGGAGAAATTCTAGCAGTTACAGTTTAATATGGTGAGACCAGAACAACTATGCCGCCAATTTTCCACAATAAAAAATATATTACCTGAAGCCCTGCATGATCAAACTCGTAATATTGCCGGCCAATTCTAAAATTCATATGGATCAGTCAAGTTGACTTTGACTTTTTTTCTTGGCAGATATGTATCTAAAAGAGTCTATCTAGGATCTTCACTCTAAAGTAGAGTCTTCTCAGATCTCCACTCTATCCAAGAATTAAAGGGACCAAGAGTGATAAAGTATTCAATTTGCATCTGTTGATGGCCCTGTGGAGTGAATGATTTCCACAAAAGATGCTAGTAGTTTTGCAAAGTCACAGCTTCTATGATCGAAAGTTCACTGCAAGCAAAAGGAGATTTATCAATCAAGTCCAAAGTTTTATGAATATTATTGGAGCGTGCCATTCAAGACTAGAGGGACCAGACATCCATGTAGTTCCCATGCTACACCATGCTACATAGTTAGACATAAACAAACCATACATACATTCAACATCTGGTGAAATAATGCTGCAAACACTTGCACAGCTTATTTAGAACATGTCCAAAGTCTAGAGCTTCAGTTCTTCACGGCATTGGGATTTCCAGAGTCCCTGCAATTCCCACAATAATTCAGTGTGGCCTCGCAATTGCCCCCATCAAATGCATGGCTTCCGCAGAGTCGGCAAGGCTGGTTGTCATACACATGGAGAAACTGCTGCTTGAGAACTGCCCCACTCACGGATGGATAGTTGCCATCGCACCTGAAAATTGCGGTGCAATGGCCAGAAACACGAGAGGTGAAGCCATTGTAGGTTGTTCCGTCGGTGTAGCGAGAGATTGCTCGCCGGCAATCGGCCTGGTTGACGCGAGATCCACACAATCCAGAGCCATTGCAGTTGTCGTTCTTGGCGCAGCTGGAGGAGCCAAGAAAGATCAGAAGGAAAGTAGCAAGAAGAGAAAACAACTTGAGAGAGGACTCCATATGATAGAAAGATTGTTGCTAGGTTTATGATTTTTTGCAAAGGAATGGTCTGGTTTATATAGGGGTATTTTGAAGATTGCGTGTTTGATACGAACACGCCATGACTCACTCTGGCTGCTGTGGTGGTTCGGGCATGCCAAACCTGGGTTTTCCGAAGGTAGGACTAGCCTAAATTTGGATGAATGTCCTAAAGCATCACAGTGCTCCAACTTTCACTTGCTACAACTATACTAACGTTGGAGCAGCAGATGAATCAACTGGAATGACATCGCTCATCTTCTACAGCATCTAGCATTCAAGAGGACAAGGTGATTGGAAATTGAGATGAAGTGCAAACACTTAGCGATTTTGAGGTTTACTCAAACACAATGAATCCATGCATCTCGCAGAGAGAGAGAAAATTGCTTTGATTGATGACGTGGTTTTGCATAGTACATATGCCCATCCAAAGGCCATATATATCCCTAAGTGATGTCGATGTGTTTGAAAATAGTGTAAAATACTTTTTTTAGTAAACAATAAAAATCACGTGAACTCTTCTTCTAGAGCCTCCAAATCACTCTTCTTTTGTATTCCAATGCTAGAACGTGTTTTTTGACTAAACGGCTTTGTCCGCAATGGCTAGCTAGCACTTCGATTATCCGCTCACATTCATGGTATATCAGGTACTTCGATGCTCTTACTGCTCACCGTTCGTGAATTATCTAAGCTTTTACGATCTGTGAAAAGCTTAAACTTCACAAACAGTGAGCAATGTGGAGGTAAGAAAATCGAAGATCATACCAAGAAAGCAAGCTTTCTTGGTATGAACAGGTCGGACAAGCTCTTGATTTGACCACCGAAAGGTTGTCCAGGCCTTTTCAAGTCACGTGATGGCAGTACGTATCCAGACGATAGTTTTGTTGATATTTTGGATGGTTCTTCTTGGGTGTTAGCGCCAAGGGTAAGAATTACTCCAGAAACGTGGCCGCAGTATGGAGTGCATCCTTGCAATCCAAAAATTCACATATTTCCTGGCGCTTGGAGTCAACCATCCAGGCTTTAAATCTTGTTTTTTGTGTGTGCAGGAAACAAAAGTTTATTATTTCTCAAATGCTCCTGTGAAATACTAAATCTAAAAACATTCTTTGATTTAGTTTACTTTAGGGTTGGGCTTTTCTCAACAACCTTTAACATAATTATAAATCAAAACAATATTTTAAATCCAGCTTGATTGGTGGAGCATGTCAACCCAAGTACAACACGTAACAAGTTTCATTTAGTGAAGACTGACTACAAAGTCAAGCTGGACAAACTTTGACTTCTGTTTTACTTAACTCTGTTACCTTTCTCTTCTCCCAGTGAAGATCATCGCTTTAATGGCTCTGCAGCGAACGAATTGTCCACAAAAGAAGCTTCTATACTCACTGCTTCAAATCAAAAGGAGGATCAATCAAGTTCAATGGACCTTGAAGTTGTCATTCAACATTTGGGGGGTTATGAAAACCAAACAATATCAAACTTGCACGGCAAATTATTGTCAATCCTTTTATTTGGAAGATGTCCAAAGCCTAGCTTCAGTTCTCCACGGCGTTGGGATTTCCAGAGTCCCTGCAATTCGCACAATAATTCAGTGTGGCCTCGCAATTGCCCCCGTCGAATGCATGGCTTCCGCAGAGTCGGCAAGGCTGGTTGTCATACACATGGAGAAACTGCTGCTTGAGAACTGCCCCACTCACGGATGGATAGTTCCCATCGCACCTGAAAATTGCGGTGCAATGGCCAGAAACACGAGAAGTGAAGCCATTGTAGATTGTTCCGTCGGTGTAGCGAGAGATTGCTCGCCGGCAATCGGCCTGGTTGACGCGAGATCCACAAAGTCCAGAGCCATTGCAGTTGTCGTTCTTGGCGCAGCTGGAGGAGCCAAGAAAGATCACAAGAAGAATAGCAAGAAGAGAAAAGAGCTTGAGAGAAGACTCCATTCGAATATGTTAAAAGGAATGCTGTAATGAGGAGCTGAAGTATGAAGAATGATTTTGCCCATGGAAAGGTTTGGTTTATATAGGGGTATTTTGAAGACTGCGTCATAGAGTGTTTACATGATCTCTTGATTTTTAACGTATTTTATAATGCAAGAACTTGTTTACAATTAGAACATGCTATTTGACTAGACTCGCACCAGCAATGGGCTAGAGATTGTCACAGCTAGCACATTCGATTGTCCACCCATTCGTTCCTGCGCTCCTGTATCAGGTACTTCGATTTTCTTACTTCCACACTGTTCACTGTCCGTGAATTTTCGAAGTATACAATAAGCTGTCTACAGGCTCTTGAATTTCACCGATTTAAGGCTGAGCCATCCTTTGCATTTAATAAGTTACGGGATTCATCTACAGATGATAGTTTTGTTGTTTTTCTTGGCTGGTTTTTTTTCCGGGTGCCAAAACGTGACCGCAGTATGGAAGAAAAACCTTGCAACCCTAAAAGCAATTTTAAGTACTTCTTAAATCTCATCAAACTTTTACCAAGCAACAAGACAAGGTAAGCTTCATGGATCGCTCGCATAAACAGTTCGATAAGAAAAAGAAGAAAAACTCAAATAAGTTTGTTTCTTCTAGCCTCTCTCTTTGTTATCTATCAGCTGAATTCATGCCATGCGCCACCAGGTGGAGTTTTGGTAACAAGGAGACAAAGTGCTTCATTTCAAAACGCTCGACCTTGTCGTGGGTGTTCCTAAGAATACGTTTGTGCATGTCAATTTTCTAGTGTTTAGTAGAGCGTTCAGGAGACTGGAAGAGTTAGATCCTGATGAATTAATAATCCAACTTCTCATGACTTAAATCATTTGATGATCACAAGTATCACAACCTTACCATGGGTTTGGCAGTGATATAAAAGATCGTTAGGTCTATATCACTAGTCAGTGGATCTAGAAACAATCTTTGTTCATACTTACTCAGTGGAAGCAGCTTAACCTCAGCTGATCATTCTTATAGGTTGACAGTCCCAAAGACATGCAATCTCATACTACAGAATCCGAAGGGAATAATTAAATGGAACTCGGGAACACAATGTTCCCGAGTTAGCAACTCAAGGTTGCTAAATGGCAATACTTGGTTCTTGGATCTAAAGGAGGGGTATGGTCTAGCACTTGCGTGATGGTTACTTGGCCATTTACAGAACAGAGACCGCTAAACCTATTTGGAGATCTCCCTAAGATAATCACCCTTCAAGTATTAATCTGTTTTTTAATGTTCGAGTTTGGTTATTTTACTCATTAGAGCGGAAAACATTGTATTATTCTTTGTTTTCTTAAAACATGACGAGAGTCTCAGTAGCTTTTGGATTTCCAGAGCTGGAGCAGTAGTTCAGTGTGGCCTCGAATGCGTGGTTTCCGCAGAGTCGGCAAGGCTGGCATGAAGGCTGTACCACTCACAGACACCTGAAATCGCGGTGCAATGGCCAAGTGAAGCCATTGTAGCTTGTTCCATCGGTGAAGCGAGAGATTGCTCGTCGGCAATCGGCCTGGTTGACTCGGGAGCCACAAACTCCTGAGCCATTGCAGTTGTCGTTCTTGGTGCAGCTGGACGAGCCAACAAAGATCACAAGGAGAATAGCAAGGAGAGAAGACAGCCTGAGAGAAGACTCCGTATTGGCATTTGCTAGAAAGAATGCTGCAATGATTTTTGTAATGGGATAGTCTGGTTTATATCCCGAGTCCTACAGTGTTTGCATGAACTCTCAATCTTTAAAGTTTTTTTCTAGACTCTAGGGCCCAAGAATTAGGGCTTTAGCTCGGCAATGGCGGTGAATGACG